TATATGGAAAAGGTAATTTCAAAGTATATATGGATAAGGTAATTTCAAAGAAAATGGATTTAATAGTTTTAGTATAGATTTAAAAATATCAATAATATTCAAATAATTTTCTAAAAAATTTATTAAATCACTTAATCAATGATTATATTTAGTTCTTCATATATTCCCAATATTTAATCCTAATTGGATCATAATTAATAAGATTGTCACATATCTCGATTGCTTTTTGATATTTATCGTCTAATAACATATATTAAATTTATAAACTCAAAGCAAACCTATTATTAAATCTCATATCAGAGAGAAATTCAATTAAATTGAAATCCTTTAAATTATATTAAACAAATGTTTTGAAAGGATTTTCTTTATCATCTTAGAATTTAAACATTCTAAACCATCCTCTCAAATAATTCCATGAAGCTTCATTATCTTCCTTTATTCTTATAGCATTCTTTATATATTCCAATTCTGTATTAAAATCAAATTACATTTTTGTTAATAAAAAATATCTATAATTCCAAGCAGAATTATTACCAATATCTTCATCTAAAAAATACTAAATATCCTTTAATTCTTGAGCATATAAGTTGAATTTTTCACACAACCAAACTCGATATGACCATCCATGATAATTTTTATTATCCTCTTCAAAAATTGAATGAAGAAATTCAATTTCTCCTTTAGAATCATTAATTTGATCAATAACTTATCTTCTATGTTCCCTAAATAAAATGAAATAATTTATACCATATTTAATAAACCTTTTAATTAGTAAGTGTAACCATATTTATAAATTCAATTTCCTTATTTAAGTCTTTATTCAATTATTTAAAGCACTTTCTTCTTATAAAATATGCATTATAATTTGAAGGTAACTTTTCAATTATGGTACCTGTTAAATCAAATACTCGATCGCTAATTTCTCCTGATTTTACTATTGCTCTGAAATAATCCATAACTTCTTCATATTCTTAATCATATTTCACATTTAGCAATTCTACTTTGCAAGTAAACTATGGGACTCTTTCAACATCAGACCAAATTAATTTATTAAAATTCATAATAATTATTTCATCATAACTAAAAATTCCTCATAGCTCACTTCACCATCTCCATTAATATCTATTTCTTTAATCACTTCTTACCATTTCTCATCAGTAATGCTTTCATTACCTTCTAAAACTTTTTTTATTTCTTAAATACTAATTACTCCATCTCCATTTAAATCAAATTATTGAAAAGCATTTTTTAAATTGTTTTCTGTAAGTAGAACTCTTTTTTAAGAACAAGCCATTATAAATTCTGAATATTCTAAAAAGCCATTATTATCTATATCAATTTATTACATTAAAATGCTAGCTTACATTTATGCTTATAATTCATCATACATATAAATTGTTTTCAAAGCCTTAGCTAATTCATCACATGTTAATTTACCATCTCTATCTAGATCAATTTCATTAAATATTCTAATTAATTATCGTTCTTCTTCTGGAGTTTATTAGAATGAACCCATAAAAGAAAGAACAGCTTATTACAGTTTATTCTTTACTCTAAATTCTATTAATCTACTTACACTTTCTTAAAAACAAGTATTAAATTCTTATGAAGCTCTTCTTTCTTTTCTTAATTAAAAAAATTCATGTTCAAGTAATTCTTTTGCTGATGGTCTTCTTTCTGGATCTTTATTTAATAATATCTTAATTAGATTATTTAATTCAGATGAGCATTTTTGAAATACAGGTAAATCAAAATTAGGTTTAGTATCTAAAATTCTTCTTTATATTTCATCTGCTTATCTTGCATAAAAAGGTAAATTCCCTGTTACTATTTCATATAACAATATTCCTGAACTCCATATATCACATTTTTCATCATAACATTACTTAAAAACTTCTGGCGCCATATAATATGGTGTACCAACAGTTGTATAAAGTTTAGATCCATTTTAAAACTATGTTGCACTTATTTTTATTTATATATTTATACATTCCCCAATCTATCATTTTAATCAAAATGCAACCATCTTCCTATTTTTCAACCAAAATATTTTCACTTAATTATTTTTATTTTAGTACCTCTTTATATCTCTATGAATTATTTTTTTTGAATGTATATAATGTAAAATAGAAAATAGCTACTTCATAATTTGTGCTATATCATACTCATCAATCTCATCATGTTTACACAAATATTCATATAAATCCCCTCCTTCCCAATAATCAGTAATCAAACAGTATTCATTATTGTCTTCGTAGAACTCATATAATTTTAAAATATTTGGATGATCCAACTATTATAAGATCTTTATCTCATTTTAAGATTAATCTTTTGGTACTCTTTTAAGAGTTCTTTTATAATTATTAATTCAAAATACTTTCTAACTCCTTAATGTTCAATCCTCATAACTCTGCTATTTGGTCCTTAAGCTAAAGATTTTTCTTATTCATAATTTGGTTTTTTTGATTTTTATTATTTAAAAGTGTTAGAAGAAATTTTGATTTCCATTTAAATCAATTTTTTATAAATAACTATTCAATACTAAAAAATACAAAATAATAAAAAAAAACAGAAATCATAATTCTTTTATACTTTATTTTATTAATTGCTCAAATATTTAATCACTTAATTCCATTAGTATATCTACTCTATCATCTTCTATTAAATACCACTTATATTCTGAATCTTTTATCTAAAATAAATTAAACTATTACATCTTAAATTAATAATTTATATAATTGTTCATCTTTTATCAAACTTAAATTATTTAACTATAAATTATTATCAATTCTTGATGAGTTTTCAACTAAATTTAAATATTATTCTTTCATCTGTAATTCTTTTTTTTGAATTATTTTTTCCATTTATTATTAATAATTTTCATCTAGACGTAAAAGTCCACATAAAAAACAGCACCAATTCAAAACTCTTTGTTAAGATTACTCTAAAATTGATTCCAATTCATTTAATAAATTAATTTTTTAGTTAATTTTCTACCATGAATAAGCAATTCCAGAATCTTGTTTAAGTAATATTATTACTAAAAAAATATGGTCTTTCATAATTCAAAGCTTCATTGCAAGCATCAAAAATTGCCTTATTATGAATATATTACCAATCACGAGTAGCATAAGCAATCTAATCATTTTTATCTAATTCTTATATACGTTTATTTTCAAAATCTATAAATAATTTATCACTCAATATATATGCTATATTTTCATCAATTTCTTCATTATTATTATCATCATCATATCCATGCATTAGTTTTATTGTTTTTTAAGGTGTAAATCCATAAGTGAGGTTTAAATTTTTTAGTAAATTCATTTTATGATATGTCAGTATATATTTAAAGAGAGCTTCATTATAAGAAGAGATTTCTTAAACTCAAGTCGGAGTTATTTAAATTGAATTATTAAAAAAAGTAAGATCTTTTATAAAAATATAGAAATTATCTCTATTATTTTATACTTCATTTATTAATTCATCTATTATATAATTAAATAATTCTTCTGTCATTAAATTTATTGTTTTTAAATATCTTCCTAAAATTGTTCTTAGTTTTTATTATTTGTGCCATTATTATTATTAAATTAATTATCTATCTACTTAGATATTAATTATAATTATAGATTTTCTTAAAAATCTTATTCAAATTCCTCTGATGCTATTAAAAGATCTCTTTAAGTTTTCTTTAATGCAGAAATTTCTCTTTTGTGACATATTTCTATTGTTTTTTTTGTATATTCTAAATCTTCTAATTCTTACTTAAGCCATTCTTCAAAAGATTACTTATTTTTACTTTTTCTACAATTTTTTTCAACTTCGTATCTTAGATATATAGCTTATTCTCTAAATCCTATAAGTTTTCCTTCATCTCTCAATGCTAATTGTTAATATTATAGAATTAATGATTTTGATAATTCGCCACTTTATTTTTTTCTTTAATAATTATGACTTCTAAATTTACTAACTTAAGACTTTCTATTTTTTATTTGATCAATACTTCTATATTATTATTAAATTCTTATGGTGATATGCTTCTCTTTGTTTCTAGTGTTTATTTAGTTGACAGAGTAACAGGATTTCTCCTCTTTAATAAAATGTATTGGGTGATCTTATTTATTGGTTGGGCTTAAATAGGAAATATTGGCAATTATTTTTATGATTCCTTATTTTCTTTTTTTTAGTTGTATTGCCTCTCCTTCTACCCGTATAATCTATTATTTAGCCTTTAAGGAGAAGGAGAATGATTATCAAATTACATTAGTTAACCTATAAATTATTTTTTATATGATTACTATGAATTATACTTCATTCTAAGTAAATTCGAATAGAATTATAAACTATTCATAAATAATAAGATTTTTTTATCTTCAAATTAAGTATTCAATATTAAAGTAGTTATTTACAGAATTATAATTCTTTTGTTTTAAGAAATAAAAATAATTTTATTAAAATTTACATCAAGTATTTATTAAGACCAAGGCTGTATATTAAAAATGTATTAATTTTGTTAAAATGAAATTTATAAGATTTCTATTTTGATAAGTTAACCGAAAATCGTATTTTTATAATACATTACAGAATTAAATTTTTCATAAATATTTTTAGATCATACTCGTAAATAAAAAAATATTCTGAGAGTTTAGAAGTTGAGCAAAAAATTTTTTTGTTTCATCTTAATATTGGCTTACCATTATATCTTTTAGAAATTTATTTTATAATTGAAACCTTTTATTTATTTGGCTTATTTAATAATTCTCTGAATTTTTTAGGTATTTAATTTCATCATTCGATAATTCTTGGACTTCTTAATCTATCTATTGTAAATCATTTATCTTTCTTTTTTTTCTTAAATTTGGCTCATTGTTTTTAATATTATATTAAGAAATCAAGCTGTTTTCAAATTCCAAAAGTTTGATATAATTCTATTATTTTGTAATTTAAAGAATTTCATTCATTATAATTTATTGAGGGTCTTCAAGGTCATCTTAAATAATTAAAAAATTATTTGGCTAGAGCATGATTTCTGATGATTTTAAACAATAATTTTATCGATGATTTTTTAATTCTATTAGGTGACCACTCCAATTATTACATCTTAAGCATGTAACTTCTAACATTTCAACTTTTAATTCCATTTATTTATCTTTTTCATAAAAGTTGTAATTAGGAAAGTCTCTTCGACAAAAAGGGCATTATTTTCTTTTTTACATCCATTTAGAAATGCATTTGCCACAAAAATTGTGTCTAAAGTAAAATTAGTGTTTTACCCACAAGATGTTTTGATTGGTTTATAGAAAACCTGAATACATATTGGACATTTGAATTCATTGAAGTCTACTTAATTTATTTAAATTTCTTCTCTCATAAATTATTTAATATTAATTAAAAACAATCATTTATTTATTTTTAAATTTTATCCCAAAGATCCTTGATTTTATTTATGATCTAATTAACTGATTTTTTTGTTTTTCTTTTTTTATAAGAAATCTAGAAAAATTTCTATTCCTTTTTTATTTTATTATTATATTTCAGCTTGTTACCTTTATTTATAAATTTTTTTTCTTTTTTCTGCCCTATTATGTTAAATTACTTATTTAAATGGTTAAGAAAAGTAATTAAAATGGCCACTTTCAAAAATTTTCATAAATTCTCAGCTTTTCTATTTTTATTTTTTTTCTTAAGAGAATTAACAATTACTGGTATTTCCTTGAATTATTTGATAATCACAAACTTCTAGAACTTTATTATAAACTATTTGAGGATAAATGAAAGCATTATTTAAAAAAATCCTAATTATAGGTTCTAACTGTATGACATTTTTGTTTTCTGTGTTTATCTGATAAATTCTAAATTAAATATCAATAGAGTACATTCTAAGTTTGAATTATTTATTTAAACTTTTCTTCATTTTCTTTGTTGATATAGAATGATATAATTTAACCAATTTCCAATATTCATTTTTTTAACAATTGTTCTATATCATTATGATTGCAATCAAATCTTATAAAAATCTTTGTTAATATGAAATAATGCCGGTTAGTAATATAATATTGAGGTCTTGGATGAATTAATTTTTTCTAGATTGTTTGATTAAAAAGCATAAAAATTAATGTTAGCACATAAAAAAGGAGCCAACTGAAGCTACTGTTTGTTTATTAGTAATAGTTTATTGATTAGAAGATTGAATATTTAGGAACTTAAGCAACAAGATAAACGACTTAAAAATTGGAATAATATGTTTGGTACTTTTTTAGGCGAAATTCTTGTTCATTAAAAAAGAAAAATAAACATCTAGACCCATTATATCGAAAAGAAGCTCTAATGTATTGTAGGAATAATGTTTTGATAGATTTTGAGTAAGTAATAATTTCGAAAAATTTCATTGAAGGGAAATAACTGAATGTGAATTGTGAGGTGGTTAAAATTAATCAGAGTTATTGGATAGACAAAGACCTAAATCTATTAAGATAATTATACTATTTAAAGATCTGGATTCATAAAATTACCGAAAGACTTTAAAATTCAATCAGTATTAAGAAATTTAATAAAACATAAAATGAAAAAAGAAAAAGAAGTTATTAGGAGAAATAGAAAACTCAAAAATGTATGCGTCATCAAATATATGTTTGAAATAAGTGATGAATACATTCAATTATTAGAAAGAAGATGTTTAGTTATTGTTAAGAATTCCCTCTATGGCTATAAAATTGAAATAATATGAAAACTGCGGCTAATTAAAATCAAACAAAAAATATATATGAGCCACCTATTCAAATTTCTACTATAAAGTTCCAGATTGACTAAAAGGCTCAATAATATATACTTATGATCAACAATCTTAAAATTGTATTTCTAATGAAAAAACAAAGAAGAAAATATTTTTTAAATTTAATACAAACATTTTTGTTGTTCAAAAACAATCTTAACCATTAAATAATCTTCTTATTTCTAATTCTGTGGTTCCTTTTCTTATATAAAACACTTGAACAACTAATATATTAGTAATTATTTAAAACTTATTAAATATATTTCTGATTACAAAATAGAAGATCCATTTCATAATAAATATATTTAATCAAAAATTTTGAAAATCCTTACTTATATTTGCAGGTATTGTTCCAAATCATGATGCATCTAAAAATCTTAAAAAAGTGTATAAATAAACCTAAATTAATATTAAAATATTTACATTACTATATTATTTTATAGAGAAATAATAATAAAAAATATCTTAATACTTGAGGGATTAGAGAAGTTGAAAGTATCAGAGTGAAATGATTTTAGAATATATTTTGGAAAATGAATTCTTTTTTAATTTATTACTATTTAATTCTATTTTTTATCACTANAACTTAAGCAACAAGATAAACGACTTAAAAATTGGAATAATATGTTTGGTACTTTTTTAGGCGAAATTCTTGTTCATTAAAAAAGAAAAATAAACATCTAGACCCATTATATCGAAAAGAAGCTCTAATGTATTGTAGGAATAATGTTTTGATAGATTTTGAGTAAGTAATAATTTCGAAAAATTTCATTGAAGGGAAATAACTGAATGTGAATTGTGAGGTGGTTAAAATTAATCAGAGTTATTGGATAGACAAAGACCTAAATCTATTAAGATAATTATACTATTTAAAGATCTGGATTCATAAAATTACCGAAAGACTTTAAAATTCAATCAGTATTAAGAAATTTAATAAAACATAAAATGAAAAAAGAAAAAGAAGTTATTAGGAGAAATAGAAAACTCAAAAATGTATGCGTCATCAAATATATGTTTGAAATAAGTGATGAATACATTCAATTATTAGAAAGAAGATGTTTAGTTATTGTTAAGAATTCCCTCTATGGCTATAAAATTGAAATAATATGAAAACTGCGGCTAATTAAAATCAAACAAAAAATATATATGAGCCACCTATTCAAATTTCTACTATAAAGTTCCAGATTGACTAAAAGGCTCAATAATATATACTTATGATCAACAATCTTAAAATTGTATTTCTAATGAAAAAACAAAGAAGAAAATATTTTTTAAATTTAATACAAACATTTTTGTTGTTCAAAAACAATCTTAACCATTAAATAATCTTCTTATTTCTAATTCTGTGGTTCCTTTTCTTATATAAAACACTTGAACAACTAATATATTAGTAATTATTTAAAACTTATTAAATATATTTCTGATTACAAAATAGAAGATCCATTTCATAATAAATATATTTAATCAAAAATTTTGAAAATCCTTACTTATATTTGCAGGTATTGTTCCAAATCATGATGCATCTAAAAATCTTAAAAAAGTGTATAAATAAACCTAAATTAATATTAAAATATTTACATTACTATATTATTTTATAGAGAAATAATAATAAAAAATATCTTAATACTTGAGGGATTAGAGAAGTTGAAAGTATCAGAGTGAAATGATTTTAGAATATATTTTGGAAAATGAATTCTTTTTTAATTTATTACTATTTAATTCTATTTTTTATCACTATTTATTCATTCATTAACTTTAATATAATTTTTATGATTTTTTTATGTATTTTAATAATATATTAATAATGAATTTGCCTGAAGAATCAACTATTAATTTAGATAGTAGAAGGCCAAGAAACAAAACTGAAACAAAATGTAAATCTCAGAGTCCTTAAATAAAACCTTAGTTTACTTAATATTAATTACAGCATAAAAAAAGTAAAACAAAAGAAAGATTGGCTTAAAAATCTGAGCAATTACCTAATGTAACAAGGAAACTTAATCCAAAATCAAATAGTTTTTCGAAAAAAAGGAATCAATTTAAACCAGCATCTTAAGATAATTGTTTAAAAGTAAGAATTTATAATTAAAAAAGTATTACATTGGATGGGGTAACAACGAGGCATTAGTAAAAAGAATAATATCTAAAAGATTATAATGGAAAGAGACAACTGACTCAAGCTCGATGTTAGTAAATTTCAAATGGCAATAAAGTGAAAGAGGATATAGATATGAAAGACTTATTTTAAGTTAAAATTATAAATAACTTGTCAATCATTTTGAACATCACAAAGAAATTTCAAATAAATCATATCTAATAAAAAATTTGTCATAATATTGCGAGGTAATATTAATATTAACAATAGAAACATAAATTAAATGTGTTTGATTATACTCCATTAACATTTGTTATTGATTTTAATGATGAGGATTGTGATTACAATATAACTTAATTTCTTAAAACTTATGAATAATTTGCTCCAAAAAAACCTTCATCAAAATAAATGTTAGATGTAAAAAGAAGATTAAGAGGCAACTTTTGTAATGCCTATTAAAGAGAACCTATTTCATAATACACAAAAATTTAATTAAACAATAATTTTTTAGCAGAAGATTCTACATATATGTGGTTATTAAAACCAACATTTTTAAATAGAGGAAGAGGGATTTAAATTTTTGATAATCTAGAGACTTTAGTCAAGTTGGTATCTGATTTTTAAGAAGGATTAAAAGAAAAAGCATTAAATTCAAAAGATGAATCTTCAGGAGAGGATGAAATCCCTAAATAAGTTCAAAGTGCTTAAATCACCAAAAAAGACCCTAACCAAAATATTAAATAATAACCTTCTGGTTCTTGTATTATAAAATCACATTCTTTTGTTATTTAAAAATATATTGAACGGCCTGCATTAATAAATAAAAGAAAATTCGATATTAGAGTTTGGGGTTTAGTGACTCATGATTTAGATGCTTATTTCTTCTAAGAAGGATATATTAGAACTTCATCTGAAGATTTTACATACAATATTGAAAATACATTTGTTCATTTAACAAATAATGCTATATAGAAATATTCTCAAAATTATGGTTAATTTGAAGATGGAAATCAATTATCTTTTAAAAATTATTAAGATTATTTAAATTCATAAAAGATAAATTGTAATGTTTAAGATGTATAAATTTTTAAATATATTTAGTTAATAAATAAAATGAAAGAGAGAATATGGATGGTATTTAATTCTGTACGAAATAAAATCAATTTTGAAGATAGAAAATACTGTTTTGAAATTTTCGGATTTGATTTTATATTAGATGCTGATCAAGAAGTTTGGTTAATAGAAGTTAATACAAATCCATGTATAGAAGAATCCAGTCCATTATTAAAGATGTATATTCCAAGAATGCTTGATGATGCATTTAAGCTAACCCTTGATATTTTATTTCCCCCTTAACATCCTCATAAATAATCACTCCCATAGATTTGTATTATTGATATCTCATATTTGCAGATTAATTACCTTAAATAAAGGAAGAGCAACATTCTGACTATCCAGTTGTTGGCTACCCTAATGATGAAAATATGTGGATGTTATTGGGTTCATTAAGTGATAGAAAAATTAAAAAGAAAAAATGATTATAATACTATTTTAATTATAGTTGCTAAACATCAAAAATATTATTAGCAATAATATACTATTGTTGTAAATTATGTTTGTTTTCATTTCACTGATATACTTTTAACTCTTTCAACATTTTATTCATTTAAAATATGTGAACAAAATTACAATTAAGTATACCAAAATTTATCAAAGTTTGATCTAAAACATAATTCTATAATTTATAATAATCCAAAACCATTTTACACTATTTATGATTAAATTTTATAGAATTTTCAAATAATTATTTCTCTTCTACAATATTCTGCCTTAATTATTGTTCTACACAAAATGGCTTTAAAAAAATTTAATTAATAACTCCAATATATTTATAATCATACATAGAATCCTTGACATTAAATAAACTAATTAGTTTTAAGATGATTAAAAAAACGTCTATTGATAGAAAAGCTATTTATGATCTATTCCAAAACATAGACCTACTATTTGCTTAATCATTATTAACAAGTTCCTTTCCATTTATGCATTGTATACCAGACTAACCATAAATTGAGAACATTTTGAACAGAGTGGATGCAGAATCAGTATAAAATAAAGGTATATGGACAGAAGCTTAGGATCAATATTTAAAAATAATAGTCCTTGGAACTTGCTTAAAGACCAGAACACGACCATTTGATTTGGTAATAAATAGTGCTTTATAAATATAGTCAACATTATAATGGGATTAAATCTCTAGAATATTCAAATTGCATAATTGGAAGGCATGTAGAAATAGATGGTTAAATGAAAAACACAAAAAAGTTAACTGGACTCCTTAAGAAGATTAAATGCTTGTGCAATTATAATCATTACATCCAAATAAATGGTGTGAAATAGCAATAGAATTAATGAAAATTTGTTAAACGCCTTATATTCGATTAGGAAAATAATGCAGAGATAGATGGGTTAATAAACTAGACCCAAAAATATTAAAGTATGAAAATTTAAAATTTAATAAAAGTATACCATGGTATAAAGAAGAAGAACTAAGATTATTTTAAGAAGTTAAGAAAAGAGGAAAACGATGGGCTGATATATCAGCTTAAGTATTTAAATTTAGAAGAACAGAAAACACAATCAAAAATAGATTTTACAATTTATTAAAATAAGAAGAAAATAGATAAAGATTAGGTAGAGTACCTAAAGAAGAAAGAGATATTCTATTAATTGATTCTGTTATTGAAACATTAACAAGAGATTTGAATAAATATGATAAATCCACAAGTCAAAATGAAGTCAAAGTTGATAATAAGAATTTTAAATTTTTGGAATTAGATTAATCAGACCTTGATGAAATAGTAATAATTAAACACAAAAAAATTGAAAAAATAGAAAATCTATGAATTTTATTATAATCTGTATAAATATAAATTCTTTTATATCAGTTTGACATTTTATGCAGAACATATTTTTTATTTCAAATCAAATAAATGTATATCATTGAAATTCATACTCATTTTGATTATGTAATTAATTTAAAAAAACGGGTTATTCATAAATTTTTAATATTAAATAATTATAGTATAATTAATTTCTGTTAATAGGAAATATAAAGGTTAAAAATTTTAATAAACTATTTTTATTCATTCCTATCAATATAATCAAATTTAATTAATTAGATGTAAATTACTTTTTGAATTCAGCAATCTCATCTAAAACAGGTATAAAACTTTAAAATATTTTATATCTCCGAACATATAGAAATTTTGGAATACTATCGTTAGCCTTTTAAATAATATAAAAATATAATCTAAAAATTTTAAGCTTATTTATTAAGATGTTATAAATTTTCAACTTCACAATGCTCCTCTAAAAATATATTTAACATGACTCCTAATTAAAATACAATAATGCATATTTTTAAAAAAATTCTCAAATTATCACCTTAACTTTATTTAATTATCCGAATTTGTCAAACATATTAACTTAATATTATCCATCTGAGTAATCATAAATATTCTTGATAAACGATTAAAATTTTCATTAAATTGAAGAAAACATTGGAATTGATCTATTTAAATATCATTTTTTCAATGAAGCTTTAAGATACCCAATTCATTACTAATAATTAAATAGTATGATGATATATATTCAATTATATTTTTTTAAGTTTCTTATTAAATCTTGTTTATTTCTTTCGAATAAGTCATCGCTATCATAATCATAAGAACTCATTTTGCTTTATAATTCATCAGCGTAAATATTAGATTCCTTATAGTAAAATTTCATACTTAATCTCCATTTGCAGATTATGGTATAGACATCATGAATTATTGTGAAAAAATTTATCTCTTAATTAATGAGGGCTTATGTTCTATTTTTATTGATAGACTCTTTTTGGTTTCTAAAGCATTTAAGTAATTTGAATTTATTAATTTTGGAAAACAAACATTTAAAAAAGATTAAGATTTTTAATAGAAACTATCTCTTTCTTCTTAAATCTCACTTATAATTTCATTAAAAGAGGTTATTAAACTTCTTGCACTATCTCCGCCTTTTCTCCAATAATGTTTTTTCTAAATTTAATCAAATTATAAAGTCAGAGATTCATCATCTGTCTCAAATTTAGTTTTCAATTCGTTTATTAAACGATTAGTTATTTTAAAAGTTTTAAAGTATTCAATCAATTTAGATTGTAAATAAATGTTGGAATCTAAAAGATCGTATAATTCATCCTTTATCATTTCATATAAATCTTCTATATTGTCGAAATCTGATATCAGTCTAAAGATTGCAATCGAAATTTTTATCAAAACCTTAATTCCTTTTTACAAAAATAAATTCCAAACTTATAATAACTATTTAAATCATGAATTAATACTAAATTTTATGGGAAATCATAACCAAAGATTACAAGAAACCATCTAGTAGTAATAATTCCTATATCAATTTTGTTTAATAACTAAATAATTGAATAGATTTTTACAAAATATGCAGATAAATTTGGAACATAATTTTTTAGAAATACTGCAACAACAAAATTTAGGAATTTTAATTAACTAAACTAATCAAGGAATATAATAGCATATTTCATTTTTTTCAAAATATAATACATGATCCAAAAGGTTTATTATTCACTTAAACCACTGATTAAAAAGCACCCTGCTATTTAATTCAATCCTTGTACATAACCTAATTGTTCATAGATTTTAGACAATGCAATCAATATTCTTTATAATCTCTATCTGTTATGAATTTATTTGAAATATTGATGCTATGAAAATGTTCTATCAATATCTTTTTATATATTTGTAGCTTCATTTGATTATTAACAAGAATAGTATTTATATTAATGAGAGTATTATAAATTTAATCTTTTAAAGTCGACCACATAATCCCAATAGATAAATTATTAACATTTCTAATCTATAATAAACAAAGAAATTAATTTATGCTCTAAAGGTTAATGCAATCTTGAAAAAATGACTTTCTTAAAATATTTTTTCCATCTTCTTATTTTAAAAACTTTAGAGCTTAATTGAAAATTAATTAGTGAGCCAGTATCCAGGAACGAGGTTAAATTATCAAAAGTACTTTAATTCATAATAATATCGATAAAAGATGTTCCAAAACTTATTTCATCCTTATCATCTAGAACTTTTGGATTCAAGTTAAAAGAAGTATATTTTTTATTCATAAATTTATGAATTTAATTAATTATATTATTCAAGTTAGACAATATCATATGCATGCAATATCATTATCTAATGTTTTTAATTCATTAAATTAAAGCATATTTAGATTTCAAATTATTATTGAGCAAAATTAAATTTAAAAGTACTGAATTAAGATAATAATTTTATCATTGAATTTTATAAATATCTATTCTAAATACAATTTGACACAGGTTGAGAATTCGAATATTATTGAAACTATATTAAATCTTTTAAATAAAAATATAATAAGATTTATTCTGAGAGAAAAGCAATATAAATATAGTATTGAAAATTAATGTATAGAATGGTGGTATTTATTAGTTGATTTTTTAATTTTTCTTGATTAGATTACAAAAATGAGTAGATAATAAATTTATAGTGAATTATTCATGTTTATTTTGAATAAACTTTATTAAAGTAGTAGATCAGGTATAAATTATAAAAGAAAATATGTATAAAGAAAGTTGTAAAAATTTTAAAATAAATGGCCAATTTTGATTTTAAATTGTTTAATATGTACTAAATATGTTTATTTATAAATTTATCAAAAGATATGATAAATATGCTTTAATTTATAGTATAAAAAAATTTCATCTCAAAAAGTAGATTCAAATAATAAAATAAAGAGACAACAAATAATCAAATATATATATATTATTCCAAATAGAATCATTGATTTTCATATAATTTTTTTGCTAAAATACCTCCATATTTGATTTTTTCTAGTTCTTATTATTATTATTATTATTCTGGAGTTAATGGTTTTTATTATTTTTAATTTTAATTTTCTCCTTTAGGAATATCTTTAGGATCAATCATAAACATTTCTTCAATTTTTTTATCTAATTCAATGTCATTTAGATTACGCTCTAATACTTCACCTTCATCTTCTTCAATAACTTCAGATTTTTCAAGTATATCTGAATTCATAAGATTATCTTCTCTTTCTTTTTGAATTTTTTCTCTAATTTTAGGATTCATCATAATTATTTCAAGATATTTTTATTCATCAAAAGAATATTAATTTAAAGTAATATCTTTACTATACTTAACAACATCTTCATAAATAGTACAAAACTTTTAGAAGATAGAAATCATAGATTCTAGAAAATTCATATTAATTCCTTAAAGATTCTTCATCCATACATTATTCCAATCGTTTTCTACAGTAACTGATTCCCAAAGTGTTCTTAAACGTAGTGGCCCCATAAATACTATATTATCGATAGTTAAAACAATGCCTAGTAAAATTTATAGTAAGGACATCTCTTTAATTTCGTAAAGTGTATGATCGTAAACTAGTTATTTGAATTCATTTAAACATTCAATTCTAAATAGAAAAAACAATAAATTTATTTAAATACTTTTAATCTTTTGTTTCATAAAGTGGATCTAATTATGCTTGCATTATTGATTTCATTTCTAAAAATACTTTATTAAGAAACTCTTCAACATTTGTATAGTAATTAGTTGGTCTCTCAAAAGAATAACTATCCAATCCATAAATATATTCATAATCAAATGATAGATTATCAATATCATGCAACTCTTTTGTTGTATCTGTGTATCTTGGTTCTGTTCTAACTATCATATGTTCAGATTATCCACTATTTTTCCAGATTTCTAATGGATATCTACTTGGATTATTTATCAATATATCAAAACCCATTATAAATCCAACTTTTATTAATCTATGTCTACTTTATGGATCATAAAAATTAAATATTTTTCCTGCTCTTGTTTTACCCATATATGATAGTGTTATACCAGGTATATATTCTTAAACCTCTAAATATGGATTCTCAAGCCGATTTGTTATTTTTTAATGTAACTATTTTATCATAAATGTTGCCCTTTACAATTCTTTAGTCATAATTTTAAATTCATTTTAATCCCATCTAACTATTCTTTTATTTGGTACTGGAACGCCCAATACTATTGCTAATTAAGAAAAAAAGTATCCTTATGCAATATTTGGATATCCTTTAACAACTACTGATCCTTCATTTGTTTCTACAAATATTACTCCTTTATCTAAAGAATCACTTAATGCTATTGCTCTTAAATCACTCCAATTTATTTTCTTTGTTAAAGTTTTACTTGCAAAATTAAATTCCTTTAAGTTATAATCCAAAGGAATATCACTTTTTCTGTCATCTTAACTTGGACCTGGTCTTCTTAAAGGATAAGGTACATAATCAGGATGCTCCATTTTCCTTTTTGGTTTTGTAAATTAAGAGATCATTAAAAAATTATATAAATTATTTAAATAATACTATAAACTAATTAATTATGATAATCAAAATAAATATATGAACTGCTGATAATCTATGTTACAATCAAGATTAATTTCAACTGCTTTTAAAGTCTCTTTTGTTATTCGACCATTTTATGATAGAAATGTAAACATTAATTTTAAATATTTATCTATTTTATATACATCTGATTCTAAACAGATAGCAATGAATTCTAATAAATTATATAATTAAAATCTTACAATAATATTCTAAGTCTTAATATTTATACTTTATCTATTATTCAATTTCTTATTTTGTCAGAATTCCAGATTAAGATTTATTCATAAATAAAAATCCATTTTTGATATTAATTATTTCACATTGTTCTAATTATGTTGCTAAATAGAGTAAACCAACTTATTTAATTTAATGATATGTTTGCCATCTTTCAATATTTGCTTTTGTTAGTATAACTTCACCCTTTTAAACATATTTCTAAACCCAATCATGTTTTAAAATTTGTTCTAAACTTAATCTTTATTAATAAGGTGTTAACAATTAAGTTATTATTTCTTTTGCTTACAATGATACATTCTTCCATTCAGGTCCATCAAAATCAAACTTCCCCTTTTAAATTGAATATAATATCTCTTATTCTGTTTCTCCATAAAATGGAGGATATCCACATAACAAAACGTATAATATCACACCAATTGACCATAAATCACATTTATTATCATATATGCCATCTAAAACCTCTGGAGCAACGTAATATGCCTTGAAAAATATATCTAAGTTATTTATACAGTTCCTGCCTTCGTCCATTATTGCAATATACCAGGTTAGAATATTCTCGCTAAACCAAAATCTATTATATAGAGGGTATTAAGATCATTATTCTTNAATATTTGGATATCCTTTAACAACTACTGATCCTTCATTTGTTTCTACAAATATTACTCCTTTATCTAAAGAATCACTTAATGCTATTGCTCTTAAATCACTCCAATTTATTTTCTTTGTTAAAGTTTTACTTGCAAAATTAAATTCCTTTAAGTTATAATCCAAAGGAATATCACTTTTTCTGTCATCTTAACTTGGACCTGGTCTTCTTAAAGGATAAGGTACATAATCAGGATGCTCCATTTTCCTTTTTGGTTTTGTAAATTAAGAGATCATTAAAAAATTATATAAATTATTTAAATAATACTATAAACTAATTAATTATGATAAAACTAATATAAAAATCATAATTTATTCATAACTAACAATAATCAAAATAAATATATGAACTGCTGATAATCTATGTTACAATCAAGATTAATTTCAACTGCTTTTAAAGTCTCTTTTGTTATTCGACCATTTTATGATAGAAATGTAAACATTAATTTTAAATATTTATCTATTTTATATACATCTGATTCTAAACAGATAGCAATGAATTCTAATAAATTATATAATTAAAATCTTACAATAATATTCTAAGTCTTAATATTTATACTTTATCTATTATTCAATTTCTTATTTTGTCAGAATTCCAGATTAAGATTTATTCATAAATAAAAATCCATTTTTGATATTAATTATTTCACATTGTTCTAATTATGTTGCTAAATAGAGTAAACCAACTTATTTAATTTAATGATATGTTTGCCATCTTTCAATATTTGCTTTTGTTAGTATAACTTCACCCTTTTAAACATATTTCTAAACCCAATCATGTTTTAAAATTTGTTCTAAACTTAATCTTTATTAATAAGGTGTTAACAATTAAGTTATTATTTCTTTTGCTTACAATGATACATTCTTCCATTCAGGTCCATCAAAATCAAACTTCCCCTTTTAAATTGAATATAATATCTCTTATTCTGTTTCTCCATAAAATGGAGGATATCCACATAACAAAACGTATAATATCACACCAATTGACCATAAATCACATTTATTATCATATATGCCATCTAAAACCTCTGGAGCAACGTAATATGCCTTGAAAAATATATCTAAGTTATTTATACAGTTCCTGCCTTCGTCCATTATTGCAATATACCAGGTTAGAATATTCTCGCTAAACCAAAATCTATTATATAGAGGGTATTAAGATCATTATTCTTTTGAAATAGAAAATTTTCTGGTTTTAAATCTCTATGAACAATATTCAATGATTGATAATAGACAACTGATCTAATAATTTATATGAATATTATTAATGCTCCTTATTCATCAAAATTACCCAGTTCCAATACTTTATCAAAAATATCACCACCCTTACATATTCTAAATTTAATTTTTATTTTTATACTCCATTACAACATATATATTTTCATTATCCTCATATGTTTCAAAGACTCTAATCACATGTGGATGATCCTTAAAAAATCTAAATCATCATATTTACTAATAATTCAACAGTTCTCAACTCATTTGTAAGTCTTTCTTTTTATTTTACACTTGCTTTATGGATAATTTTCACTGCTCTTGCTAACCCAGTAGCTCGATGAATTGCTCGATAAACCATCCCATAAGATCCTTAACCAAGTTTCTAAATTTATAAAATTAACATACATCATTCTTATTAAATTCATATATGTCTTAAAATTTCTTATTCTTGCTTGAGTTTTTTATTAAATCAACTTTTTTCATTTATTTCATTTATATATAAAAATAAAAATTAGTTAAAATTCAAAATAAACATTTTATAATTATGGAATGATCATCTAGGTAAAATTAATTGTTATATTTTAATTGCTATCAAACTATTATACTAAACAAATATATATTAAGAAAAAAGTGAATAAAAAAAAAAAACTGATAAAAATTAATTATTTTTTAAATTAAAACATTAATAATCAAAAATATTATTTATAATTTATTTAACATATTTATATATGTAAGAGAAATAGAATGAAATATTCGAAATTCTTTAAAAATAAGTGGATGAGAGAAAACAAATGAAGAAGTAAGAAATGTTTTAACTAAAGAAAAAAAAAATAGAAGAAATAAAATAAGACAAAAAAAAACTTGTAAATAATGCAATTTACTATTATTTGGATAGACTGATGGTCTTGCTAAACATCCTTATTAGTTTTACCCAGGGAAATGTGTTGGATAATTTTTCTAGAAAAGTGACTTCCTCTTGCCTAAATAACAAAAATAAGGTTTAGACCGAATACAGAGTGCATGGTTACCAACCTATACTCATTCTCGTTTAATTAGTGCTACACCATTTGATACAGAACCATTTCCTCGTCCTCCATCAGTCAAAGAAAAAGTCTGGAGACCATTCTCATCTTAACCAAACAAGCTTAACATGATATAATTAGTACCACATAGTCCAAAAGATAGTGCATTAACACCCAAAAAAAATTCAATGGCTTTTGATTCAGGTGAAAAAATACTTCCAATTAAACCATTTTTACCAACCAGAAGAATATTCAGTGCATTCCCAAAATGATTATTCACTTAAAGAGATTCTAACTAATAACTTAAAAAACAAAAATATTATTATAATATTATTATTTGCAAAATTTATCCATCTAATTTCTTTAGTTTAAAATATTACATAAGAAGAAATGTAATATAAATATCAAAAAAAGCTTTTAATCAATATCAAGAAAGTAAAAATGAATTGGTTTTCCTTTGTTGTTCCAACATTTAAAATTACAATTTACATTTCTATTTATGAACTATTTATTGCTCTAATTTTGCAAATTCCTCATTCTCTGCCATTTTTTTTGCTTACAACATATACTCTTGCTCTATTTATTTAAGTTTTTCTAATTCTTAACATTTTCTTTCACTTTACTAATTTCGAAATAATTCTGCTTCTCTATAAAATTATCTTTTTCTATCGGTTTCTAAATTTTCTCTTAATAAAATTGCTTATTAGATTTTAGAGATTTCTATCTCCTTCTGTTTCTCTTCTATTTCTAATTATTTTCTCTTTTTTTATAACATTTAAATAAAAATATCATTTTACTTATCATCATTTAACCACTTATTTCTTAATTAGTTATAATGAAATTCTTTTATTTATGAACTAAGATGTATTATTATATTTTTACATATTATCTTTATTAGAATTATTAGATATATCAATAAATGAACTTTAACTTTTACAAGGGTCTGATTTAAATTTGGTTGATAAAAATTAGGATGGATCAACACTCTAATTCACTTTTTTTTTTTAATCTTTTCTTGCATTAGATCTAAAAATAAAATAATTCTGATAAGCTCTTCTAAAGAACATTTATTTTATTGAATTATTTTATCCATATTTCTTAATGAATAGTTCTTTATCCATTTTTTTATAATTAAATTATGAATAAATAAAAAATATATGGCAATCAATAAACAAAAATCAATGATGATCCTTGTATTTAGATCCTATTATAAAATTTCTAACATATAAACAAGGTGAGTCATCTGAATTTGGTATACAATCATCATCATAATCATTTTCTAAAGATTGTACTTGAACATCAATAAATTATTTATAAGAGGCAAGATTTCTATTTGATCCTTCATAATGATTCATTTTAGAAGTATTATAAGAAGCTATTGTTCCTACTGGACTAGAAGCTCCCTCAAGAATTGTAGAATTTCTTTTGGGAACTTCTAAATATATTATATTTTTGCGACTATTATCTAATCTACCATTTATAAATTTAGTTTCTTATTGTGTTACTTTACACATAGAATTCTATAAACCAGGTTAAATATCAATTAAATCATCAAATTAATTTGTGTTTGATTAAACATCAATGGAGACACTCAGATTGTCTTTATCTGAAAAAATACCAGGAATCTTTTCCCAATCAAATTTTGTATCCGCAATTATATCATCTTATAAGAGTTTTTTCAAACCATAATAATCTGGAGTTTATTAGAATTCATATGATTTTGAAATTTTTAACATTTTTACTAAAGACTTAATAAATTATATGTAATATACCTTGGGTAATAAGTCATTTAATTTATCCAAAGAATTATTTTATTTCATTTAAAGTATTTTCTTATATTTATCTTCTTTGCTAACAACTTAAATATTTTACCATGGCAATTCACCCATAAAAAAATATATGAGTATATATGCTAATGATTCAATATCATCTCTTCTGGATTATTCATTTCCTATTAGCTAAATCTATTATATATAAAACCTATTAATGCATTCACACTAGCATATCTGGCAGTTCCTATTAATCCTTTGTTACTTATAAAAGGTATATGCTTTCCATTACTATCTCTGTAATATTTTGATAATCCAAAATCAATAACATAAATTTGGCTACAATCTTGAAGACCTATTGTAAAATTTTCTGGTTTAATGTCTCTATGAATTAAGTTTTTTTCATGAAATGCTATCTTTTATTTTTTTAATACCCTAAACTCTTTCTAACAATTATACTCCAATCTTCAATACACTATTTTAGCTAAATTTTCCATTACATTTTCTCATTAATTATTCTAAATTCATTCCTAAATAAGATTCCATAAAAAAGTTGTAATGATCGTCTCGACCATAGAATTTTAATTATGGAAAACCTTTTAAAATTAATAAAATAATACCTTTCAAACCTTTGACATCTTATAACACTTTTATTTCTCTAATGAGTAAACTAACACCTTTTTAACTTTCATCTCTTTTCTCAAATTTAGTGGCAATTAATTCTCCATTTTTTAGATTTTAAGTTTTAAAGACCATTCCAAAAGATCCTGCACCAATTTTCTCCAACAATTTATATTTGCCTGCAATAACTGTTCCTGGATTTAATTTTTTTGATAAAGTTTTGCTATTATCTCCATCATTCATTTGATTTGTATAATAATTATGAAATTCGAGTAAATATTAATTACATTATTAATTTTATATAATTGCTTTATCTATCAATCTAGATTTAAGAAAAGTTAATTTGAAATTTCAGTAAATTTTATTATTATCTTTGAAATATATAATTCATTTAATTTATTTCATTCAAATTCCATAGCTGTAAAGTCTAAAATTTATTAAATCTTAATAGCTAATATTAAACTATTTTAAATGATTTTTATACGTAAATATATGCTAATATTTTGAAATTGTTCAAGCTAAACGCTTTGATGATTTTTACAGAAAGTTGTACACAATCCATATTATTTTTATATAGTTATTTCAAAAAATTCATTGCATTTAACTAAAATTTTATTGTTTAACTCTTTTGTAAATGAATCAAACAGATGAAGTAAAGTCAATTATCTAAAAATTATATTTATGAAGCCTCTTTATGTAGAATCATGACCAATAAAAAGATTAGGATTCAAATAAAAGTTCATTTTTCTAATTATGTATGATAGATTAATTCTATCTAAAACAATTAATTATCCCTAATAATATCATTTGCTATATTTTCAGTCAATTAAACAGTTTAAGAAAATTAGAAGCAACTTAAATTTTATTATTGATCTTTGCTGATCTAGGAAACGATTATTATCAGGTATTCTTGATTTTTAATCTTTTCAATATCAATGCAAGAAATGTTTCTATAAAATTTATTTATTTACAATTTTTACTATATGTGTTTGTACTTCACATTTGCAAATGTATTCTATGATATTTTTTTGCTTGCTTGTTCCTGTAATTATTTTGCTTTTTAATTTTAGAGTCAATTACTTTAAATAATCTATATAATGATATTCCTCTATTCAACAATCATCCTAACTTAATTCATATTTTGAGAAATAAGGCTTATTAATTTACTATTTTCTTATTGTATATAATTTTGTAAATAGATATATTAATAATATTTAAAGAATTGTAGAAACCTTTTTTGTCTAGATATTTTAAAACAAAAAAATCAAGGTAAAATTAAAAAATTATTGAAGAGAATATCATCATTTTCACTTATAATTCCATCCTTTTTTATTTTAGGTTAAACTTAGAACTCTAATGATTAGATTAATTGAAAATAAAGATACTTTCAAAGCTTAAGAAGATTTATAAAATTGTTTATGAGTGTGAAATGTCCATCCAGTTAATCTATCTAATTTATTCTTTATAGTATTCAATAGAATTAAGAATTACAATTATTTGCCAATATATCTTTATCAGGTTAAATAATGAAATAATATTTATTATCACCTAAATAATCAGAACTTTAATTAGTAAGTTCTCATTTTTTTCTGGATTTAAAACAACATATTATGATTATGCATAGTTTTGTATTGACACAAGTATAAAGAAGGTATAAAAGTCTTCTACTTATGAAGCTGTTTCTAAATAAAATGAATAGTTCTTTTAAGGTATAACATTGTAGTCACATGTCTTAGTTAAATCTGTTTTCAGGATGTATAGTAAAAAACTAATTTTAAGAAAGAAGAACATATATTTTTAACCAAACTTATAAATACAGAAATAATTTGAGCTATTTTAAATCTATTTAAATTTTTTAATATCATTTAGTTAATTGAGAATTAACAAGATATTGCATTTTCCATAAATATTAAAAAAAAAAAGCAAGTCCAGACGAAATGTCTTATTTTNTATTATTGATCTTTGCTGATCTAGGAAACGATTATTATCAGGTATTCTTGATTTTTAATCTTTTCAATATCAATGCAAGAAATGTTTCTATAAAATTTATTTATTTACAATTTTTACTATATGTGTTTGTACTTCACATTTGCAAATGTATTCTATGATATTTTTTTGCTTGCTTGTTCCTGTAATTATTTTGCTTTTTAATTTTAGAGTCAATTACTTTAAATAATCTATATAATGATATTCCTCTATTCAACAATCATCCTAACTTAATTCATATTTTGAGAAATAAGGCTTATTAATTTACTATTTTCTTATTGTATATAATTTTGTAAATAGATATATTAATAATATTTAAAGAATTGTAGAAACCTTTTTTGTCTAGATATTTTAAAACAAAAAAATCAAGGTAAAATTAAAAAATTATTGAAGAGAATATCATCATTTTCACTTATAATTCCATCCTTTTTTATTTTAGGTTAAACTTAGAACTCTAATGATTAGATTAATTGAAAATAAAGATACTTTCAAAGCTTAAGAAGATTTATAAAATTGTTTATGAGTGTGAAATGTCCATCCAGTTAATCTATCTAATTTATTCTTTATAGTATTCAATAGAATTAAGAATTACAATTATTTGCCAATATATCTTTATCAGGTTAAATAATGAAATAATATTTATTATCACCTAAATAATCAGAACTTTAATTAGTAAGTTCTCATTTTTTTCTGGATTTAAAACAACATATTATGATTATGCATAGTTTTGTATTGACACAAGTATAAAGAAGGTATAAAAGTCTTCTACTTATGAAGCTGTTTCTAAATAAAATGAATAGTTCTTTTAAGGTATAACATTGTAGTCACATGTCTTAGTTAAATCTGTTTTCAGGATGTATAGTAAAAAACTAATTTTAAGAAAGAAGAACATATATTTTTAACCAAACTTATAAATACAGAAATAATTTGAGCTATTTTAAATCTATTTAAATTTTTTAATATCATTTAGTTAATTGAGAATTAACAAGATATTGCATTTTCCATAAATATTAAAAAAAAAAAGCAAGTCCAGACGAAATGTCTTATTTTGTATATTTATTTTTAACGTTCTTTAGGGTATAAAATTTATTTTATTAATAAAAATAATAACAATTTTTTAAAAGGAGAAAGGAAATAAAAATATTTCATTTCGAGAGCTCTTATTATAATGAATCAAAATGATGATTCATTTAATGATCTTATTTGGTTAAAACATCTTTTATGAGTCTTTATAATTTTTTCATTTCATCTAATTATTGACTTCTCAAAACCATTAAACTTTAACTATTTCTTTATTTATAATTAACATTCAAAGGAGGTAATAATTTTGCAGATCTTCTTGCTGGTGATTAACTTCTCTTTTTTGGACCTTACCATTTCTCTAGAGAAAGAATTTAACTGTCTTCTGATTTTTTAATATCTACATGTAATTTAAATGTTTGTGTAAAAGATTCATTTCTTTATCTTTTTATTTCAGGTAATTTTGGTTCATCATTATAGTTGATAGTTTAATATTACTCTATTGAAGATAATGCAAATGTGAAATGTTGATTTTTTTTCTTTTTAGGTTTCATTGAACTATGAAAATTGGTTTGTGTAGGTATATATTCTTAATTGATTTCGTTCATTATCTTCTAATAATTCAGTTTCATAAGATTGATAGGCTTTTTTGACATTACAGGAATTGAAGTTTTCATATAATATAAATATAAAATTATTATTGTTATTTTTGATTATGTGCTCAATTTACTTCATAGATACTTCACTTATTTAGTCATTTACTCATATTAAATATTATAATTATCATTTATATACTCTACCAAGTACTTTGTTTAACTATATTTATGATCTCTATATTGTTTTTGGAGAATTTAATAATAAATTACTCATATTTATTATGTTATACTTTTAACCTTGCTTTCTAAAAGAATTTTATGAGGATTAAAAGTTTTGTTTATTTGGAGAAAAGGATAATTAAGAAAGATGAGTATAATGATTTGATTTTTTTCTTTAAAGTACTTAATCCAAAATAGCATAATTAAATTATAAGTTCTATTTTGCTGTTTAAATTTATGATCTTAAAACTAAATGCTTTCTGCAGGATTATAAATTAGGAGTGGCTATTTTTGGTTATGATAATGTTCTAACTCTATGACTTGTAATAGCAAATTTTCTTTTCTCTGATGTTTTTTAAAGATTTTCGCTAATTAAATTATCTAGATATTGTGTTTCTTCAATCTCCCAACCTTTTTCAGCAGTAAACATTTAATAAATTAAAATATATAATTATTAAATTATATTATAGATATTAGATAATACCACAAAATATGATAAACATTAATAAAAATACTAAAATCTTAAAAAAAAATTTCATTGCCAAAGTTAAAATAATTATTACAACCTCTTCCTTAAACTGTCGTAATTTTTTGAAAATCTTAAAATAACATTTAAATAAAAAAGATTAGGTTTATTTGCAATTTTTTCTCTTTTATAAGCAATTATAATGAGAAATAAATTTTTTTAAATCATCAAATCAGAAATTAAACAAAAAAAATAATCAATATTAAAGTAAAAATTTATTTTAGAATATAGAAAACCTAAAGGACTTGAAATTATATAATTAGCATTTAATATTAATAAACTAAAAGATTTTAGAAATTACTAAATTATCGATCTCTATCAAAGTGAATATGCGGAAACATAATAAATAATTATATATTAATTTTTCTATCTAAGTTTTAATACCAAATTAAAGTGATTACATTGAAAAAACAACGTGCCTAAAATTGTTAAAAATAAAAGAATTTTAGGTTTTAATGATAACTATCGTCAAAAACAATAAAATTAGATTACAATAGTTCTCTAAGATACAAACTGAATAACTATGAAATAATTTTTAAAATGTTTTAATTTAAAATTATTGTAAAATGGAAGTGCCTTAACTTTCAAGAACAAGATTTAGTTCTAAGAAGCTTAGCGAAAGAATAAGAATCGATAAAAAGGGTCATCCTATATTGAAAGGGTATAAAATGCATTAAGTTACATTCATTGATTAAATTGTTAAAGGAAATAAATTACATGAAATAATATTAGTAGATTGTTGGAAGGAGTATAATTTCAATAAATATAAAAATCAAAATTAAAAATGCTGTTTGATTAGTTGAAAAAATAATCAGTATTATCATTATTTTTATACTTAAAAAACATCTTAAAAATTATGTTTGTATGATTATATAAAATAAATTCAATAAAAAGATATTTATTTGTGTGATAGAAAAATTTTTGTTACTCATATTTAAAGAAATTGGAAAAGAGTGATGTAGATACTATTTGAATTGATAAACTAAGATACCTCAAAAGACTACAGAATATATAGCGAAATCTGATGAGGAACAATAAAACCAACCTTTTTTATCTCATTGAAAATTTAAAATAAATCAAAAAAAATTTGGTTATTTTAATTACTTTAATATACTACTTTTTGCATCAAAAGAAACCATCTTTTTAAGCTCAAATCATCAATTTTTGTGATTAATATAATCATATGTAAATTTATCTAGCTCAAAATAGAAGAAATTTATATTGATATTTATCTAGAAAATAACAATATTAATTTATAAATAAATTAGTTTTATTCTTTCAAATTTTCTTATTAATATTGAGTATTAGTTAAGAAATTTTAATTCTAATAATGATTTAATATTACAATTATCATAAATCTAATTCTATTAGAAAATGTTTTAAATTTTAGAGTTTTTTTTTGGGAAGAACATTGTATCAAAATATTTATTAAATTAGGAATCAGCCTTTGCTTAAAAAGATGACGAAATTAATCACCTAGCCGAAAATATTATAAAGGAAATTGGTAAAATTGACATTCAATGTGACAATTTTTAAAACAATCTTGAATCCTTTATCTTTGTCTATGGAAGTCGTTATTTAGAAGTTTGTGATGAAATAAAGGATAAATTCTAAAAGAAATCACCCCAACTATATTTGAGATTCAAATAATACATTTAAATTTTAATTGCCAAAAAATTTAGAAAAATAGCTAAAAATAAATAAAAATAAGCATATTATAAAGTTGTAGAAGCTATCAAATCTAAATGCAAACTAAATAATCCTATTTTGGTAAAAAAAAATAATATTCGTTTATTATATGAAGAATATTAATAACATTATTCGAAGTTCCTCTAAAGGTTGTCTGAAAATTAACCTTAAACCATGGATTGGATTTTGATTAAGTATGAATAGAAGGCTAAAAATTAATTGACATATTCGCTAATAGAAAATTAAGAATAAAATAGCAAAATTAATGTATATAAATCTCTAATTATGAAATGCATTCATAATTATTTTAGTACTTAATAATTTCGAATATTAACTCAAGATCATATTATTTAATTACTTTAGTTTGGAAATAAACTCTATAATTAAATATTTTAAGATGTGTAACTAGGATTTGAAAAATTTTTATTTGAGGTATGTGATCTTAACTTATTCAAATAAGACTAAAAGGAACTTTTATAGGTTTTCAATTCAAAAGAATATTAAAACAAAAATTTCTTTTTTGAAAATTTTTCATTAGAACAAACTATTTAATTAATTGTAGAAATGTATATTATATTATCAGGTTTTAAGTTTAAGAATAAATTTTTAATGATTGAAAAATATTAAACTTCAAGCCATGCTTTTTTATTGAAATATTGTGAATAAATCAATAACGGAAAATGGGAATTTACAAACTCTTAAATTTTAAATCTGGCTAATTAAGTTATGGGAGATATTTATTTTTAAATTATGTAACAATTAAATTAAAACTAATAAAATTAAGTAATTATACAGATCAACAATTAAAATCAAATGGTTTAGCTTTTTATGAACAATAAATAAACTATAATAAATTTTAATCTATAAAATTCAACGTATAATTTTTGTATCTCTAATTTATTTTCAGATACTTCAGAAAAATGTGAAAAAATTTCTAATGATTATTTTTCTAAATTTATTAACGAGATAATAAAATAAAAGCATAAAGATTTATAAAAATATGCAAAACCAGAAATATTCTATTTGCAATCTCTAAGTAAATTATAAGTGAGATCAAATATAATAACTATTTTTGCTAATGGTTTTCTTACTTAAAAGGATATAAAAGATTAGAATCTTTGTCCTTTATATCAAGATTCAAATTTATAAACATTAATTCTTGGATGGTAGGCTTCATCCGTTACTAATATTTCAAAATTTGCAATTATTGCCAGTTTCTTTGGTACTTCCCTATTAGCAACAGCTGGTTTAGGATTTATTGCAGGAGTTGTAAAATTAATAAGTTTATTTAAAGAATGTTTAGCTGAAGCTAAGAAGGTAGGTAAATATTTGGCTTATTTTCTTTAATAAAATTATTTAGGGACTAAAACCATAAATTTGATTGGATTTTCTCTTGGAACTGTTATTGTATATTATTGTTTAAAGCAATTAATTAAATTCCAAAAAGAATCAAATTCAGATGATCCTTTAATAATACATAATGTATTGATGTTGGGAGGAGTAGCAGATAAAAACTTATTATCAAAATTAGATTATAGATGTATCTCTGGAACCTTTCATAATGTTTATAGTCGATAAGATTTTGTTTTGACAAAAGTTCTTTCAAAATTGACTACAGAAATACAACCTTGTGGTAAATATATTAAATAAAGTAATTTTAGGAATTAATCCAATTTAAAGTATGCATCCAAATGTGAAAAATCATAATTTCACTTAACAAGTGGAAGGACATCTAAATTATAAAGGGAAAACTCTAAAAGAAATATTAAAATTGACAAATTTTGCTGATTAATATTTAATTTTATGATTAAGTTAATTTTCTAATTAATAATTTATAATAAAAAAAGTTATAAAAATACTCATTTGTTCCTTATTGAAAACTAAAGAACTAAAAAACCACTCTAATAATATACTTTACATAAAATAAAATAAAGGATAATTAATCAATTTATTCTGAAGAAAAGATCTTAGCTAATATATCATTATTTTTAAAATTGATACCTGTTTATTAACAAACTTTGTAACATATGAATATTAAATTAATTAAAAGCTATTCAGAATATTTTAGCTGTAATAGTTTCTTTTCATTTGGATTATAAATAATATGAAATTTTTATATTTGATGATATCTCTCACTTTATAGGAATAGATAAAAAAAATAAAATTGATATATTTAGTTAATTTATTGACCTAATATATTTAGTTCGTTATCATATGTTTTTTTAATTTGAGAACTTAAATTAAGTCCAAAATAATAAAGCAGTACCTAAAATTAGATTTAAAATACAAAAAATTATCTATTATTAAAATAATAGATAATTTTTAATTACAATACAAAAAAATATTTATATCTGATATTTCGAGAGAAATAATGACAGATTATGATTGTAATAATTTCTTGTTTTTTTGATATTTATAAATTCAAAATAGTGAAATAATTTTTTTTATAGTGCTTCCTATAATTAGAAATATAACACTTGTTAAGAGCATATGCCAGATGTAAATATCATATGAATAGGTGGATTATTTATTTTTGGAATGAAACATTGATTTAAATTTTAATTATTCTAATTCAGTGGAAAGAGCTTCTTTGCTTATTTTCAATTCTGCCTATATTATTAGAAAGAATAATTTACAATTTATTTTTAGATTTAGGATTCAATTTCTTTATTTTTTTCAAAATATCTTTGACTTTCTATAATAGATTTAGGATGAGTTATTAAAGTTTATGAAACTCTTAATTTAGGTTTTTCATTAAATTATTATTTACTCTATTATAAGAATGATAATTTTCTTTATTCATGTCTTTAAATTGATGTAGTATCGCTTAAACTCAGATCTTACTATGCATTATCGATAATAAATTTTTAAGAATGAGTTTAAGATAACTATTAAGATGGGATTAATTATTAAAAATGACTATTTTATGAATCAATTTGATCTAAAAACTAATTAAGATCATTAGGCATAGTAATAATTTTTTATTAAACTTAATTAGTTTCAATTTAATAATATGATTCAAAACTATTAGTTGAATTTTTAAAAATTTATTGATGAGAATTTTATTAATTTTTTTATTCTTCTCCCATTTTGATTGAATTGATAATTTATAAAGATTATGATGTATTAATTTTTTATTTATTTATTTATTAATCACTTTCATTATTAATAGCTGTCTATTTAAAAGTTTGAGTGTCAATTTTAATTGAATTATCATTATTAATTTATGTTATTTTCTATTCTTGAAAAGTCTAATTAATTGATGGCAATCTATCATATGAACTGAAAGAATTATTTCTATTAATATTAGATGTAGCAGGTATTGATAGAATTTATGTCAACAGGGAACCTTCTACTTTTTCGTTCCAAAACGGTGGAACAGACTTACAATAAGACTATAATCAAATTACGAAAGATTCAAGTTTGTTTTCATCAAACTCTATTGCTTCTATTTTAACTTCTCGATAATCCTTAAGATTTTATTTATGCAGTATCTGGAATTATTTACATTCATCTCTTTTAAGTAATGAGAATGTTGGAAGAAAGTTATACACATTATGGTCTAATATTCTTACCAAAATTGGAAATTGAGCAATGTTTGTAATCACAATCCTTTTACTCTATTCAATATTTGAGCAATCAATTTTAAATAGCATTAATTAATTATATTTGTTTAGTAATTTGATAATAAATACTATGTAGACAATTTGATTATAATAATTTTTTAATCATAATACATTTATATATTTTCTATATCAATCAAAGACAATTTAATTAATTAAAATCAAAAGAATAAAGGAATAAGAAAATCAAATGAATTATCAAGTGATACAAGATAAAGTATAAAGTCAGAATTTAATACTTAAAATTTAAAATATACACATAAATTTCTATAAAATAAACAAAAATATGCAAAAATCAATAAAATTACTGAATATTAATCCTTGTAAAATTATCCTGAATAAATTACTACAAGATCATTAGATATTTACGAATATGAATACTTTTCACATAAAGAGGGGTAAGATAATAGAAAAAATAAAATAAAATTTAAAAAAGATTATAAACATCTTTAATAAGAAAGAAAATACTGACCAATATTCGAAATTAGAATTTTTGGCAAAAGTTAAAGTTTTCATGATAATTATTCAGCTTATAAAAAATTAAAAAATACTAATAATGACAATAACAAAATTAATATCGATAAATATAAGTAAGTAGAAAAAATAAACAAAAATCAAGAAAATTAAAGTTTTTCTAGTATAAAGGTTGATAAGTAATTTATAGATATTTCAAATGAATAATTTGAAGAAATTTTTTAAATAATCCTTTCGACGATGAAAATTCTATGCATTAATTATCTGAATATAAAAGAATGGTATAACAATAGGAAATAAATTAGAGTTAAAGTTATATCATAATTGTCAGTTCCTTAATGATATTCAATCAATAATAAAATTTTTTGAATAAATTATGAAGAATATTTTGATCTAGAAGAAGAAGAAGTCTAAGAATAAATCTTTTTTTGCAAAAATTTAGTTAAAAATAAAATATAAAAAAATAAAAAGTAAATGAATAATAGAATTAATAATAATAATCAAATTATAATTTTAATCACAACATTCAAAAAACATTTTTTTTTTAAATCTAATGGAATAGGTCTAATAAAATTTATAGATATTAATAATAGATTTCAATTTCAGATTTAAATAGAATAAATAATGTAATAGAATGTTAATGATAATTTTAATGAAGCTGAAGAAATTTTAAGGGATAAAATGAGAAAATAAATAAGAAGATTGGAAGAAAAATCATAGAAAACTAAAGATAGATGATAATAATAATAATAACATTAGAATAAATAGGGAGAATATTTACAAGTAAAAAAAAATGAATTATAACAATAACAATAGTAATAATAATAATAAGAAATTGTGGTGAAGAGAATAAAAATTAGTTTCATAGATGAAATATTGGGATGTTTGAAATACTGTACCTAGGAAAAATATTATACTGTAATTAGGAAGTTTATACACAATTTACTTCTGATGCTGATATAAAGATATAAAAATCAATAATTTCGAATTGGGATTCAATATAAATTTACTATTAAAAGATATATTATCGTTTATTAATAATATAAATTATTTTGGAAAAAGAAATTATAACCAATAAGAAAAATTATTGATATAAAACGAATAATATTAAGAATATTAATCAAATCAAAATAAATCCAAATCAATTAAATGTTTTTCCTTTTCATAATTGTATAAATAGACCCAATAGTTTCTTTTGGAAAAGGGATCAAATTCTTCCTTAAAAAATCTTGGTTTATGTTATTCTTTTTTTTCTTCCATGATTTTTCTTCTTTCTCTTTATTTTTCTTCGATTCTGACTTTTTCTTCTTGTCCAAGATCTTTAAATCCACATTCTAATGCTCTCATATCTGATCTCATTCTACTATCAGTTTAGGGTATACTCTTAATATAATAATAAAATATTAATACTCTTAAAATATCTTCGTTTAAATGATTTAATTATAAAATATGATGAGAATAAAAGTAGTACCATTTACTTTCAGGATTAAGAGGATTTCTTTTCCAAATCAATTCATTATTAGCATAAATTTCTTTATTAAAAAATCCATTTAGTTAACATCTAACATTACCATTTTTATCTTTGATAACAGCCTTAACTTAATAAGCATCCTAAGAATAAATAAATATTAAACCTTTTCATTATTTCTTTCTTTTAATGTTAGAATTCCAATATCTCCTGTAGTGTGATTAGAATAAATAGTTTCACCTACTTATTCAAAATACATTTTGCCAAATAATAAATTTTTAACAACAATATTTGGAAATGAATAAGTCATATGTTCATTAGTTTTTTTATTTTTAAAATGTACTAAACCAGGTAATTTAGCCATAATGCTAGTTCCTGAGAAACCTACAGTAGCTTCCATAGTTATTGATAATACAAAATCATCACTTTCACAATGTACCGCTGTAATTGGAGGATGATGAGATACTTATTCACTAATCACTTTATATTCAGAAGTAAAAAATTCATAAGTTTCTCCTAATACAGGATTAAAAAACTTCTTTTAACAATCTATTCCTAGAATGCATCTCACTAATGAAAAAGCCATTAAATATGACATTCTTTTATAAGGATCTTCTGCCTTTGCTGCCTATTTTAAGGTTTCATAATATTCAAAAGAAGTGGCAAAAAATTATAAAGCAGAGAGAGGTTGATGAAATAATACTAAATTAAGCTTTTATAAAATATACATGGCATTGGTATCCTTGTTAAATCTTTTCCTATACATTCTTTTAAAAATGGCCAAAATGCAAACTTCTCTTCTGGATCTTATTTATATGCCAAACATTTTCTTGTTGTATCATTTGTTATGTTTAATCTAGAATAAACTCTATTATATTTTATATTGTTATATTTAATAGGATTTGATAATTTGATAGTTTCTAAAAATTATTAAAAGTTGAAATTTTCTAAATAATTTTATTTCTATTCTTCCTATCTCATTGAATAATTAGAAGCTTAAGTATTTAATGGAATTTCATTCTCAAAATCAAAACTTTCATATATTGTATCTGATTCTCCATATAATTTTATTTTCTCTTCTTCTATTAATGTACAACATAAAGTAATTCCATTTTTTAAGTATTGTCCTAGATTAATAATGTCACTTATTTCCTTATACATACTTAAACTAGCCTTTTCTTAAAGATATGTTAATTATTCATCAAATAATGCAAAATTACTCCAAATATCTGTTAAAAGTTCTTAAATTCTTTAACCATAATTAAACACTTAATGTCTTTAACAAAATTCTTAATTTTTCTTTAATGCGATCAACCATTTATTTTTTTCATCAAAATTAGCTGCCTTCAATAAAATCTAACCTGTTCCTGTATTTATTATAATTCTTAATGTATCGTCTTTACTTTCAGCGATACCTGCTACTTTTAGATGGATCTGACCTTTTGATCTTCCTCCTGGTTAATCACAATATGTTAAGATATGATCATTAAGTATAAAATACCTTTTCTACCATCTTTAAAATGGATTCACCCATTTCAATAAGTAACCTTCCATTATTCTCTTTTGCTAAATTTATTATCAATTATTTTTTAATACTAATTATATTTACAATCTCATTATAATCATAACTCTTTTAAATTCACTATTCAAAATATTCTTAAAATCAAACCTTACCATAGATTTAATTTACTTTTAATTCTTCATCATTTTAATTCATAGAATTTTAATATTTTTTTAATCTTATTTACAAATCTTAATATTTTTTACTTTGCTTAACAAATCTAGATATTTTTGCTTTTATATCTTAGATCTTAAGATCTTAAGGAAGAATGCATCATTAAGTTATTATAGAAATATTTAAATTAGACATTTATTAGAATAATTTAATAATTTAAAACTTTCAATCCTTAAATGTAATAGATGATATTTAGAAAATTTAAGATGTTAATAATATATGTTTAAAATAATTCCACATATTTTATAATAGTGTTTTTTATTATACATGATAATTATTTTATAGTTTCTTTTATACTTTAATTAATTTAAGATGATTTACAGCTGCTAAGTCATTCGTAAACACTTTCTGTTGAATTAGACATATAAGTTGTAGATCTAGGAAGAGAAAATATTTATTGGTTTAGAAGTACAATTTTAATTCTAAATTCTTAATAGGATCGGCCAGCAAAATATGAGCTGGATATAAATTTACAAAATAAAATAAGTTGGAAAGTCAATGACCATGGAATATTACAAGCATTTGGTATTAAATATTAAAATTAATGCAAATGGTTTTATGGTTAACATGGTGATTTGTTACAAATAAAAACCATTCTAAATAATCGAATATTTTTTCATAGCATTTCTAACTTTTATTTATCAAATGAATAAATAGGTTCAGGAGCTTCATGTAAAGTTCTATTGATAACAGATATTTAAACCAAAAAAAAATATGCAGCTAAATGTATAAGCAAGGATTATATAACAAAAAAAAAAACACCTGACAGATTAAATAGGTTGTTTAATGAAATAAATATATTGAGATAGATTCAGAATCATAAAAATATTGTTAAATTAATTGATATTTTTGAAGGTGAATAAACATATTATCTTATTTTTGAATATTTAGAAGGTGAAACTTTGCACAAATATTTAAAATTATAAACTGATCTCATTCCAGATAATTCAATAAGAATAATATTGTTGGTAAGTTTGAATATTAAACTACTAGTAACTATTACATGGCATTAATTCATTTCATTCTGAAAATTATATCCATAGAGACATTAAATTAGAAAATATTGTTCTATCTTAGTCTAATGTTATCAGTTCCCTAAAACTAATTGATTTTGGATTAGCAATTTCAAGTATTTAACCTGTTTCTTTTGCTGTTTGTGGTACACCTGGCTATATAGCTCCAGAGATATTGTAACATGATGAAAATAAACAAAGTTAGAAATTTAAATTCACATTCAAAGTTGATATGTTTGGAATTGGTGTTATACTTTATAGATTGTAATATTAATATAATCTTTTTAGAATGAATAGATAACCTTTGTTTGAATCTGACAAAACCAAAGATTTATTACAATTAAATAAAAAGTGTTAATTTATCAAAAAATATCATAATTATTATACTAATGCACTTAATCAAATTTTATTTGGACTCTTAGAAGTTAATCCAAATAAACGATTATCATCATATGAAGCTATTGAAATACTTTCTTAATAATCAATTTTAAAAGATATGGTAGGATCTTTTGCCACCACAAAAAGTCATTAAAATGAGGCAGATGAATTTGAAGTAGAATAAACTATTGATCATGCTAATTAACCGTATCCATTTTAAGTTAAAATTTTTAAATTAGAATTAGAAAATAGTTATCATTAAAATGATGATAATAAACTTATCACTTCTATGCAAAGATCTTATTATCCTTCTTTTAGCATTGGTTTAAGTTAAGACATTTTTGATAGCTTTACTTATTAAATATCTATGAGAAATGCAATAATTAAAGATGAGATAATTGAATCAGATATTTATTAGATATAAAAGTAAAAGTGATTGTATCGTTGAAATTTAATCTATACTTTTAATAAGTCTTGATTTTTAATTTTTATTATTATCTTTTAATATTTTATTCTATTTTAAAGTTATATCTTGAAAAAATTAATTTATTATTATAAAGATTATTAAAAATCAGAGAAATGAATTAATTGAACATTTTAAAGTTTGAAAAATTGTAAAAAAGATTAAATATATAAAAATCAGCTAATTCATTCAGAACCATTATGATTTTCATTCAAAATAAATCTTCTTGAAAACTACTCAATATTTCTAATATTTCTGAAATTAACAAAATTCTCCAAAATTTATATATAAAACAAGATTTGATAATGATAGAAAAGCTTAAAAGAATTAAAAATTATAGTTAATAACATTTTATATATTTTTAATTAAATTATGAATAAATCAGAATTTTTAAAATATAAGAAAAATTTGAAGATTAGGGAAGAGTCATCATCAAAAACTCTTTGGTTAGTCATTTATGTTTGCGTAATTTATTTGCTTTTTGGATCCTTTAATATTTGTGGTAAATTTTTTCTTACAGGCACTTACATTTACTCATTTTCAGATAACATCTAAGAAATAAATTATCGTTCCTTAAATTTGGCTAATTTTCAGTAATTGATTTTTTCAAATATAAATTAGATGGTTTCTTTCTGAAATAGTTAGTCCATTAAGTCTTCCTTTATTACCAGAGATAATTGGCAGAATGAAATTCAAGTTTATTTTCCTAATTGCGTCACTTGGACCTATTCTATTTTTAACCCCAGCTATATATGCAAGTGATTGCAAAGGTTCAGAAAAATAAGGTTGCAATATATTACTCATATATTTTTGTGCATTTGTTGTTTCAATATTAGCTGGATTAATGTAATCTGTACTTTTATTTGTTATGTTATTTTACCTTGCTAATATAGCATAAAGTAGAGAAAAAGTGATATTTTATTGTTCATTTTTTTTTATGTAATCGATGCTTTTATCTAATTAGACATTCTCTTTAATGGTTACTTGGAAGTATATTAGGTGACAGTTTTATTATATATGATAAAAAAAACTCAAAATTACCAATTTCTTAATTTTTTGAATTGCTGATTATTTTTCAGTTCTTTATAAGTTTAATATATCTCACTATACCAGAAAAATCTAATGGAAGATATAAGAATTTTTAGAAAACTCTAATTTAATTTTATAATCAGAAATCCTCAAAACCATCAAGAAATGATACTAATCAATAAGACATCAGAGAATTATTACTAAAATCAACAAATTCTGATAATTCAGATAATGATGAAAATAATATATTTAAAAATAATGATTAAGTTACAAGATAGTAAGAAAAATAGTAAATAGATTTACATTTATTTAAGCCATAAGTCTTATAAAATTCAAAAACTAAGTCTATTTTAACTTTATAGTGTTTTTCAATTGAAGAAAAAGGATTAATTGAACTATTGGAATCCTCTTAAAGCAATTCAAATTGTACAAATTTTATATCTATTGATGAATATCAAAATAGATCCTACTTTTAAAAACTCTAAATCACATGGAATTATCTCTATAAAGATGGCTTTTCCTGGGTTTTATTTTTATTACTATTTATTGCCAGTATTTAATCATTTTTATATATTTATTTTATTCCTTTTTTTTTTCAACCAGAACTTAAGAAATTATTTCTTTAAGCTGAATTTGTATTAAGAGGATATTTATATGTTGGTGTTGGTGAATTATTTGGTTCATTTGGAATAGGAATGTTTGGAGAATCTAAAGACAAAATTTAGTAATTATTCAAATTAATATAGTGCACTCATTTATATTCTTTATATATTTTAATTTGGGTGCTTTATAGGATGGGGTACCTACTTTTTCAAACTTGAAATTTTCATATTAATATTCTCTATTACTACTGGATTTTGTGATTCATCTATGACATCGACAGTAATTTCAGTTTTAACTTTGAGATTTCCTAAAGTATTATCTTCATTTTTATCTTAAGTATATTTATTTAGTAGATTTGATGTATTTTATATACTCATTTTCATTTGCAGTTTTAGCTTTAATTTTTATCTCTTGTAATTTTGTAGATAACACTTTTTTATCTTTAATTTTACTTTAAATTTTTGGTTTTCTAGCCTTATTTGCAGTGTACAAAATTAATAATTAAATTGAAAAATAATAAATTATAGTAGTTGCATGAGTTTTATTAATAATAAAATGATAATTTATATATCTATATTAATAATTGATTTTAATAGAATTTATTAAATATTAAATGTCACATTTGAATTTTGTTAAGCTCAATTTTATGAATTATACCATAAATATATATTAAAAATTAAATCATTAATAATTAAAATGTCAACTTCTTCAATCTTTCATACTTTTCTATTGAATGAAAAATATTATTTTACTTTATTCAGATATAATAAAACAATCAAAAAATAATATATATTTTTTTGTTTGGATCACATTAACGAATACATTAATTAAGTATACATTCTGGCATTGGCCACCAATATTACAAGTCCTGGATCACAATCAACTTATTAGTATAATAAAATTTGATCAATATTATGTTTTATTTCTTCAGATAAAATGTTTTGAAAATTAGTTTAATATCCATACATTAATTAAGTGTAATTAAAGATTTAAATTCTAGTCTATTCATTGTAGATTGGTAGTTTTTTTAATACTTTCATTCGCTTATTTAATTTTTAAGCTAATCTAGGAAAATAGTCTCTAATTTAAGTAAAACAATTATAATGCCATGAAACATCTTCACAAGAAACTTTTTGAGGAATAATCAAATCATCTTCATAATAATTTATAATATTTGCATCTTTTTCACCTAAGACAATAGCAATTAATTCTTCGCATTATATTATGCAATAAAGTATAAAACATAAGTTTAGTTATTATTTATTAAAATATTATAATACAGAATCTATTCTAACTTAATTAAAATTAGATATTCTCTTCAAACATTAAGTTAATGAAATATATTTTTATTGATTAACATTAAAATCTTACCATTAATTTCTTAATGTTAAACATCTTCTGCTCCCATAATGACATATAAAATTAAATGTGTTTTAATCTAAAAAGTTTTGATTGGATATTTTTTTAAAGATTGATATACTTAATTTTAAATAATATGGATAATGAATAGATTTAGCTTAGTAATCTAATATGGTTCTATTGAAAATTCTATAAATATCACAAATTAATTTTTATAATTTCTATGGATTTAAAAATTATTTTAAATTTGAGGGTCTTTATTCACCTTGAAAATGTAAATATTATAAAATTTCCTTTAATTTATGGTGTGTATAGGTTTCTTCTTCAAATTCTTCAATAAGTTCATAATAGGGACCTTAAGAAGCAAGATCTTATTTAATTCTTTATATCTAATAATAAAAGCATGGATTTGATGTAATTATTTGATTAAATTGCTATTTAATATTTTTGATTAGAATAATTCTCTGTTCTGATTGTTCTGGCCATGTATAAGGGAGGAGATCTTAAAGAATTGATTCGTATTACATAATTTATATTTATATCAAGACTTATTTGATTTAAAAGATTTAATAGTAAATATTTAATATGTATATTATAAATATAATATTACATGATGTGATGTAATAATAATAAGTTGTTATAAATCATTTTTATTTCTTTTTCAATTAAGTATTAATAACTGAGGCTAATTTAACCATTTCACTTGTATAAGCAGAACTAATTTAATTAACATTTAATTATGCATTCTCTAATTTGTTTCTCATATTCATAATTTCATGAAGAGGAATCATATTTGTATTTCTTGAAAACTATAATAAATACTTACTATTTTTAAGAGAATGTTTATTTTTCTTATACTTCTGTTTCAAATCTAACAGGATAAATTTTTCTATCTTCACTTATTGGTCCATTAAGTTGATATTACGTATTATAAACAGATCCAATTCTCATTTATTTAGATGGCAATGTAAAATTTAACGTGCTTATTTTAGATATTCTATTTTTCTTTTGATAATTTACTATTATGATATTCCTGTGGCTCTATTTGGTGAACCTTGTTCAATTTTAGATTTTTAAGGTGATGTACTTTTTTTATTTGAAAATTCTTTTAATTTAGTTTGCAATAAATCGAAACTTGGATTTCTTTTTATAAAATGTATTGAATACCCAATTTTAATGCTTTTTTTTGGAGATGTAGGTTAAGTATGTTAGGATGCTAATGGTGATTTTCCATATTTATCATTAAGTTTTTCTCTGTATATTTTAATATCAAACTCTTCAAGTGGTTTACATGGAACAGTTTTATCTTACTTTTCAAGAATGATATGAATTTTTTACTAAATTGATGTAGCGAGACATTAAATGTTATTTATGTATAAATTTTATTTAATCATTTTACTGTTATAAAATAAATATTGTCTCAAAATGATATCAATAAATCAACTTATTCCCCTTACCTCCATAGATCACTTAGATTCTATCCATTAGTTGAAATTATTTAACAATTCTCCAATTAATTATCACAAATAACACATTATACTATATTTGATTTATTAAGTTATGATTATCTTTTATAAGATACTGAATTATTTTATGGATCAATAATTTTAGGCTAAAATAATTCAATAATTCCTGATTAACTGTTTAATATCAATAATCCATTTGGATTAGGTCCAATAAAGTGATAGTAGTTTCCAATAGTTATTAAATCCAATTAATCATGATTTAATTATTAATTATAATTGTAAACATAATGATAACCATTTTTCTCTTACTAAATTATTATATTATTCTAATTTTAACAATAAATTTCTAATTTTTAACCGAAATCATATGGTTAAGGCAATATATCTTTAAGAATAACTTATTTTATTATATTCATAGTCATTGCTTCTATAACGAATATCTTTTCATTTGATCTAAAATATATAGTTGAACAATCCCTATTATATTTAATCTGAACTCCTTTAAAATTAGATGGCATATCAAGAACTTTTATATCATCAAAAGCATCCAGTTAAACTTATTATATTTTAGATCCACCATAAAATACCAATCTACTATCTTTATTATCATAACAATCTATTTATTCTCTTATTGAATCTAATTCAAAAACTACTTTCTTCCAATTTATAACTTTATTATCTTCACTCATACAATTAAATATAACTTTATCATCTTCCACTTAAAAAATATGATGATGAACTCCATATTTATTTGTAATCAAATTTATTCTTTTCTTACTTAATTGAATCGAAAATCGAATTTAATGTTCTATATATAATTTTAGAACATCTCTATCAGCAATATAATATTCATTCTAATTCCCCGGTACCATTTTTACATATTAAATTAGTTCTACATTTTTCTTTTAAAATTCAAGCTAAAAATTTATTGTATTCCAAATTGATATTTCAGAATATTATGATATTATCATCAATTAATCAAAATGATTTGAAACAACAAACATCGTATTTACATTTAAAATTGTAGTTTACAATATTTCTAAATTAAATGCAGAATATGTCAGCCAAATTAATCTATTCGATATTATTTATATAGAATCATTAGTATAAGCTATAAAATCTATCTACACTAAAATTTCAGCCATTATTTCATAATTTTATTTTCTTAGTAAGACTAATAATGCCTAATCATTATTTTCTATTTATTCTTTAATTAAAATCGTTTCTGAAAATATCCAAAAATCTTTGATTTGATTATTTGTCTAATAATTTATTGTAATCGTATTTCTTTTCGTGCTCTCATATCTTAAATCATTTTCAGTTATATAGTGTTCTCTATATTTTTTAATCATTTATTTAGTTGTAATATACTCTTATACAAATTCTTCATTTATTACTATCGTATCATTTGTTGTTGTTGTTATGTATAAATTATTCTCTGTACTCTAAACCTGCTTAATTTATCTGTATGATTATTTACTTATTATTTTATTTTTTATAGTTATCACAGAATTTCGATACTCTTCAACAAATCCAGATTATATGTAAAATAAATTTTAATTATCCTTAATCCACAGAATCTTTTCATATTATAAATTCACTATTTTAGTTTATGTGTTATTTTTCAAATCAAAATAAACTGTACAATCACCATCACATATTATAGCTGAATTTTATTCATTACTCAAATAAAATCTAGGATTCTTTGACTTTGTTAATACTTTAAATTCAAAATTATTTTTTTTAAATGTTGCTAATACAATTTCATTTGTATTTTTAATTCTGCCTAAAAAATTTGGAGAAGTTTATGCAAATACTACTTCTTCAAACAAATAATTTAACTTTTTTATTTAATTTTATCTATCCTCCAAATATTTAAGATCATAATTAATAATTTCTATCTATGTCAATATTTGTAATTAACTAATTTAATTATTTATCAAAAAATCAATTGCATTTACTTATACAAATTTAATAACTTCAAATGGATGAAGACTTAAAATAACGATCGAATCAATAAAAGAAAATAAAACTGTATCATTGTTCTTTATACAATAATTTTATAATAAATCTAATTTTACATTGTTAATTTGGCATTCATTTATCATTTTAAAGGCTTCTTGATTTATTAATTATAATTTATTATTTTTCAAAAAAAAGAATTAATTCTTTTAATTTTCAAGTAAAATAAATCTGCCAATTAATTAATTTATTGTTCCATATATAATATCATAAATCTAAATAGAATCTTGTTCTCTAAATGATACAACAGTGATATCTAAATCGTTATAATAATTAATAGCAACTATTTAATCATTTACATTAACTGATACATGATTGGTCAAATTATCAAATTATAATTAATCATTTTCTATTTAATAATGCATACTTGAAACTTATTATGTATTTGTTAAAAATAGAATCTTATTTCCATACATTTAATAGAATTTTCTAATGTTGTAATGTGTAATAAAATTTTGATTAATTGGTAGTTAATATTTTATTTCATTTGTTTTACTATTTATTTCATATATTACTCCATCTAAATCGTTGTTTAATTAAAAAATCATTATAAATTAATCAAATTCTGTAATTGAATGAACATTTGGAATATTTAATATTTCAGCTATTATTTTACCATCTTATTCTTTTAATACATAAACTTATTAATTAGTTTTGAGATAAAACTAGTTTCTGATTTCTTTGATAGAACAATTATAAAATTTCCCATTAATAATTATTTCTCCTTTTATATTCTGAATGCTATTTTCACAAACAATAAAACTCTTTCCAGATTAAAATTATTTGATAAACTTAGGATTTGATGCAGTATTTTTGAATGAAAAAGTGCTCAATTTAAGATTTTAACATTTCATATCTTTCATGTCGTTTTTCATTAATATTAGAGAATTGACTGAAATATTATTCCACTCTGATGATTAAAGATTACAATTATAAAAATGACATTAATCAATAGAAATATCTTTTAATCGAATTCCTTTTAAATCTAAATCTTTAAATACTCCATCTATACTTTACAATAAATAAAAAGCATTAGATGCTAAAGTGCAATATTATTAACCTAAGGATGATTATCTGATGATTTTAATTAATTATTATTTAAGACTAAACTTTCTTTTACATTTTTGAACCAAAAAGTTAATTGTTCCTTAAAAGAAAGGACTTGAAATATTTTTAAACATTAGAATACTATTAGACATAATTTCATCAATTTATGAGGTTTTTAAAGCTTCTAATTATGTGATAATAGCTTTGGCAACTAAAAATTCTTAAATAATTTTATTTTCAAATGAATAAATTGAAAATTATTCTCTTAAAGGGATAGAATTTCTTATTAATTTTTTTGAAAATTTATTATTGTTAGATTGATATTCATCATCATTAAGATACTCTTCCCATTCAGTAACAGATCCTCCTACTTTTATTAAAGAACCTTAAATGTTAAAATGAATTGTAAAAATTTCATGTTATGATAATTTTTAAGCTAGATTCATACAGAAATTCCATTATTCTTATTAAAATGCTTATAAATCTATAGTCTATTGACTAATCTAAAGATGAATTAATGCAGTATCAAAGAAATTAGTTAAATATTGTTCATATAAATCATAATGAGTAATACTCATTTTCTCAAAAATCTTAATGACTTTATTTTAAAATTATTAATCATCACCGAATTATTATGCTAAAAATATTTAAGTTTTAGCAATAGGTTCATCGGCTTTATAAAGTTTAAAGAATTGGCTACCTTCTAATTTATTCCAATCTTTTTCTATTAGAGAATTACATTGCTAGATATTACAATTAATAGCATAAGTATCATTTAAATAAATATCAAAATATTCTTTTTTGATTCTTTCTGAATCTGACATATTTTATATATACTTAGGTAATGCTGAAACAAAAACATTCAAAATAGATGGATTATCAATTTATTGTTGGAAATTTAATTATTCCAACATTCTTGTATAATAATAATGTGATTTTATTTGCTCTAAGGACTTTTATAAATTTTGAAAAATGATATCATTTGTGTTTTTTATTTTAGGTTCTTGTTTCAAAGCACTTAAAATTTTAGCTATAGTTGGTTATGATACAAGAGAATTTTCCATACTTAATTCGTTAAGATTGATATCAATTTTTTTCCATAACTATATAAAATTTTGTATTAATAAATCTTGGTGTTCAAATTCACATAATATCTAATAATAATCTATTACTGTATTTCTTATAATTAATTCTTAAAAATTGGTAAGAAATTAATTTTTTAACTCCATTCTAAATGGCAATATTTTCACATTCCAATAGTTTTAAAAATTGTAATCAACTTCATTATTATCTATCCATCTAAGATGATTTGAATATTTAAATAATTCACTTCTTGTGGCGATAATATATTTAGGAGATTTTTGTAAAGATGGAGTCTTCCATTAGTTTAGATTATTTGATTTGAATAAATTAATTTCTATTTAATCTTAACTAAGTTTATCATATTCTTCAAAAATAAACAACATTTGCATTTTGTTTTAACTTACATCTTTTTATAATTATTCAATTTATTATACATCAAACTTATAATTTAAAGATCTTAAAGTCTCTGTAATGGCATTATGTATAGGATCTTTCAATTCTGATAATTTAACTATGATAGGTATAATCTTAATTGCATCATTTCTTTTCCAAACAAATTCTTCAATCATTTTAATAGCTAAACTTTTTCCAGAACCAGCTTCTCCTTATAAAACTAACAATTAATTTTATTATTAATCCTCTAGGAATTTATCAATAATGGCATTCTTATTTTGCTTTTTAGAAAATAATATTTTAATTTCATTTTTCTATTAACATTCTAATTCAACATAAGTACTCTTCACTTATTAAATCTTAATCATTCTTGAAACATGATCCATACGTAAAAGAAACAATTCAGTCAATTATTTTCCTTAATAAAATTTAATTTCAGAAACATCTAAAGTAGAAGTACTTTAATCTGCTTTCTTAAATTCATTCATTAATTAATGATAAAAGGGAATTTAATAATTGTATTCTGATTCTAATTCTTACAAATTTTAAAATATAGTTGAAATTTAATTAGTGTGATTATTAAGTTTTTCATTTAAGAATTATGTTTTTTCAAAAGATGGTTCATATTTAATTTAAAATGATAATTAATTTCTTTCTTATATTTTTGATTTTAAATCCTCTTCAATATTTGGTAACAGATATGATAATATATTTTCTAAAATGAATAAAAATTCTTTTTTGTAAGTTGTCTTAATTTCCTTTTTTATAATTTAATTAGATTCATTCAATCGTAATTATACAATTAGCTTACTTATTATATCATATTCTTCTTATCCAAAACAACAATTCCAAATATTTATTAAATTAATAAACATTAAAATCCTTATATGTGCAGAATTTATTCCTGATTATACAACATGTTAATTTTGATCATCACTTAAATTTAATTTTAATGATTCCATAATAGCATTCTATTCGATAAAGTTAAAATTAAATTTAATATAAGATGCAATTACAATAGTATCATCATCAATCCTATAATTATATAGATTGTCGAAATCTGCTAATCTATGGCTCTAAATTAAATTAAGAGCTCCTACATTTTATTAGGCTGAAGGTTGAGTGATTCTAGTTTAAATTAAATTTAACGTATCATCTAAAGCTTCCTACATATTAATTAATTAAGTTAATAAATCTTCAATAGGTAAATGAGTTTGATTCTCAAGTTTATTTTATAATTGATCAACTCCTAAAGTATACTATTCAAGTGTTGATTTAATTCTTTAAATTTAACTTTAACTTATTTATTTAAGGTTTTATCTCAAACTATCATATCTATTTTATGTATTCGGATCAGCAGTGGCATCAAATGTCTTAAATGTTTTTAATTCTTAGAAAATAGTTTCTAATTGTGTTAGCATTTTAAAGTATTGACCCAAATATTAATTAAATGGCCATCTTATTTATTGATTTAATTTTAATATTTAGTCATATTTCAAATACAATTAATCATATTTAACAAGAAAAACAGTCTAATCAAATTATTATTAATCAAGTTCTGTAGTCGTTTATAAAATCAAATTCCACAAATTTAATAAATCATTGAATTTATCATGACTTGATTCTATCTGAATTGATAATTTAAAATTATTAATATGTTAGAATAGTTTTTTGTTTTAATGTAATAAACTTTCCATAGATTTACATATTTATAATATTGTTTATAAATAGATTTTAGCTTCTTCATAATCTTAAAATTAGCTATTAGAAACACAATCTTTAAATGTTTGGTGTAAATTAATTAATTAAATCTTTAAAATTTCTTTTTCATAATTTTAGATAAAGATAAGAGTTTAATGATCTGAGTTTCTAAACTCAAAAATCTGATTTGGTAAATCTTGATGTTATAATTTTAAAGAAACATGATAAAACTTTAGTATACAATTGTATTCAATTTATTTCAGTTTTTCAGAAATGGCTAAAAATATTTCTTTAAATTGTAAAATTTTCTCATTTACTTTACGAAAACTTGTTTGGACGATGTCTTAAACATCTTTATATTGTTTATAGAGTGATAATACAGGATCTGTTGACTAAGTAGCTTAGACTATTTGGAAAACAGCTGTATATTATCGTTCAATAAATTCAGTTAATATGACAAAATAAACATCAAACCTTATATTTAATAAAAGTAATTCTTTCAAATTTTATTAATTAAGTTCCATTATGAATTCACAATCTTTTTAATTTTGTTTATTTTCTTAGATAAATCCCAATTAAGTTGATAATTTTGTATCAGATTCAGTAATTTATTCTAAAAAATTCCATTAGGTGAAAATGAAATTTAATTATATAAAAAATTTTTAAATCTCTTTTACTTTATTAATCAAATGCTTTATTTATTTTTATTTTTATTCAAATTCACCAAAAACAACTGGATCTGTATATTATTTAGATTCTAACATTCTAATCCATTTATTTAAGCTTATCTACTTAACAAGTTGTAAGTTCTCATTTAATTCAGTATATTGTTAATTGACTTTTCGTATCAAATCAATGTTAATTTCAATATCACAATCAACAAATAAGGAAAATATATATTCAAAAATGGTTTTAGCTGTTGTTTCTTACTTCTATTATTCTTTTATTTCTTCTTTGCTGTCATATAGGATGTTAAAGAATTTATCTCTAGAAATTATTTATTCTTAAATTTATTAGAGTAAAGTTAATGTAGGTAATTTTTCGTAGAGTCCCTGACATTAAGTGCATTTAAGTTTTGGAATATTAATACTAACTTTATATTCTTCTTTGATTTTATTTAAACAAGAAATATCAACAAGCGTTTATATGTCTGATTATTCCATTGCTAATTAATCTTCTGAGAGTGAAGGTGTATAAGAAACTATTTCACTAATAGCAATAATCCAAGCTTATTAAACATAATAATCAGATTTAGACAGAACTTTGTGAAATTCTTGTAATTCATAAATAATTTCTTTTATTGTATGTGTAGTTGATTTGAGTTCAGTAAGTACCCACCATTTCATTATATCAATATTAAAGATTTATTTGTATATTTTACGATATTAAACTTTAGTAGCATCTCTAATTGATTAGACAATTCCACCTTTTATTGTTTCTCTCATAGTTTTTGGCAGAGCATTCATTAAAACTTAATTTAGACCAGCAAAAAGGGCGATTACTTCCAGCCCCTCTTGAAAATCATTAGGCAATATTGTAAAAATCATTTTAGATATTGTTATTTCATATTCTGTCAAACTTTTATAAAATCCTTCTTCGGAATTATTTAATGCTTCAATTTTATTTAAGATATTAACATAGCCTTATTGCATACCATCTTTGATTGATTTAGCTTGACAATAATGCCAAAAAATAGTTCTAGTAAGTTTTTCTGCAAATTTTACAGCATAATATCGAAGTTGATTATTTTTAAGTAAAAGGCACGATTCTAAAATAGCTGAAAGACTTTTCTCTAGATTTGCAATTTATTTATTAAGCTAATTTTATGACTTAATCAGATTGTTTAATTCATAATCAAGAGATAATAAAGCTTAAAGACTGGATAGCAATTCTTTATAATTATTCTGTGTATCCTCAGCGTTTTTTGTGATATACTAAATATTATTTGATAGTATGGTCTCAAATTGATTAGAGATGAGTAATGTACTCATTTGTAATGACTGTTGTTGACGTGAATTTGCGCAAGCACCTCCTCCTCTTAACATTTAATTAAAATTATTTAATGCAACTTCCTACGTTTGGAGAAGTGTTTTTGACAACAGACGATGTATAAGGAGGATTAGAGAACTTGAAGTTGTTCAAAGGGAAATTGATTAGTAGTCTATGTGGGGGTTGTAGGAAATTATTTGTAATAGAGGAGGGTATAGATAATTAAGGGTAAGAAGATTTATATTATTAGAATAATATCAACATTGCATTCACCTGAGCATGATGAATATGATAAAACATTTTCTTAGGATTCAAATAATTTATAATCATTTGATTTCAAAGGATCGATAAAAACAATAGTAACAGGTAAAAAGCATACAGTTTTTTTGAGTGATTAAGGTGATATTTATAGTTATGGATATGGAGAATATGGAGCATTAGGACATGGAGGAATAATAGAGTTAACAATACCAAAGAAAATAATAAGAATTTCAAAGATTGATACGATAGCATGTGGTGAGTATCATACATTGGCATTAAGTAATGGTGATTTATTTGCTTGGGGAAGAGGATTTGAAGGATAATTAGGAATAAGGAAAGATGTAGAGACTGCGGCTTCTCCTATGTTTTTAAGTTACTTTTATAAGAACAGAATAAAAATGATAGCATGTGGAGCATATCATTCATTAGCAGTAGATTAATAAGGAATTTTATATGGATGGGGAGAAGCTAGATTTGGTTAATTAGGAACAGGAAGAAAGGTATCAGAACAATTACCATCAAGAATTGATTTTTAGATTGAATAACCAATGAATTAAAGTGCATTAAGAGTTGGGAAGTTTTTGGCTTAAGAAACTAATTTTAAAGTAGTTTCTATATCTGGAGGATATGGACATTCAGCAGCAGTTACATCTAGTGGAGAATTATATACATGGGGATTTAATTAAAGAGGATAATTGGGGAATGGAGATAAGGATAAGAAAAGTAGTTATTATCCAAAGAGATTGATGTAAGATATTAGTGGAATTTAATTACCTGGATTTAGTAAGGTTATGTGTGGATATTATACAACATATGCAATAGATTTAAAAGGAGGTCTTTGGAGTTGGGGTGGAGGTAATCTAGGACATTAGAATGATAAATTAGTAGATTTACCTAGAAAAATAGTATTAGAAGATCGTAAATTCACTAATATGTATGCAAATGGATAGGCTGCTGCATTTTTTGCATCATTAAGAACCATATCAATGAAGCCTAATCATGGACCTTCAACAGGAGGAACAATTATCAGTTTAATTGGTACAGGATTCTGTGATACTGGTCGATAAAGTGCTCGTTTTAAATTAGGAGATATATAAACTGAAGTTGGATGTGAATATGATTCATTAACAGACAGCTTTAGATGTACTACTCCTAATTTTGAAGAATTTATTGATAAATATCCTGTTGAATGTGTTGTCGAAGTTACACTAGATGGAAATGTCTATGTTGAATGTGAATAGAAATTTCTTATCTATTCTTCTAAAATTGTTATTTCATCACTCTATCCAAAATGTGCATCTATTCAAGGTGGTACCACTCTCATTATTAATATTAATATTGATGATTTGACTGCCTCATATATGAAACATTTAAATGTTGGATTCTAACCTAGAAATAAAAAAAAAGAAGATAAATCTGCCATGAAATAAAGCACTAATAAACCACTCAATCCTTTAGATCTTAGTATCAATGATCCAGAATTAGATAAAGAAAATTGGATGTGTGTTGAAGGCTTTTATGAAAAAGGAAAAATTTCATGCACCATTCCTAATGTTAGCTAATTATAAACTGATAGTCTTAACTTTAATGTTGATATAAGCATCAATGGATAATAATTTACTGGTAATCCTATGGTTTTTAGATTTTATGATATACAAATAAAGGAATTGCAACCAGATAATGTAATGTCTGAAGGTGGAGCTTCTGTTAAAATAATTGGAGATGGATTCTTTGATACAACCAATAAAAGAGTAATCTTTAAAACAATGTTTGGAGAAAGATTAATTGAAATCATGTGGGACAAATAAGATAGATTTTATTCTTTTGTTGCTCCTCCTTTATCATGGCTTTTAGGTGGATAATAACCAACATCTGAACTGCTCAATGCTGTTAAAGCCAGTGGAGTGACTGCTTTACTTACCCTTTCTGGTATTGAATGGATACCTATTGGAACATTTTATTACATTGATCCTGAAGTATTACGTTTGGGTCCTTTCAATTTTGATGAAAAGTTACCTGAAGAATAGAAATAATAATTTATTCATTAAGAGGAATAAGAAATAGATCCTTTGAAGGATTTATAAGGTGCTGAATTATAAAAGAAAAAGGATGAACTTTAGAAAGTTCTGGAGGCTGAAGAACAAGAAATAAATTACTTTTTTAAAAAAGCTGGACAATATATAAGTGTTTATGGGGAAAATCTAGTTAATACTGAATCTCTTTTAGTTTAATTCATATTTAATGGGAACATGGCTGTTAATTAAAAGGTATTTTAAATTATTTATATAAGGCAATTTTCAAAAATAAAAGCAAATTGATTGTTTAAATTCCTGAGTTAGAGTTACCAACTGGATTACATGATGTTGGCATTGAAATTACATTCAATGGTACTTCTTTTAGCCACTCAGGTAAAGTATTTAAATATATGGCATTTGATAAATCTTTGAATGAACAATAGAAATTAAAATTAGAGGATGAAGAAATGAAAAAATTAAAAAAAACACAACCTAAGAAGAAATGATTATTATAATATATTTGATAAAAATTTAATAACATGTAAATAAAAACAAGATAATAGAATCAAAATTTTTAGGCATCTTTAATCGAAATTTTCATTACTAAATGTATTATACCTATAAACAGATTTTTAGATAAATTAATGACATAATGCAGGATATTCTAATTAATGGATATTTATTAGTGAGACTGATTGAAGAAAATTTACCAGATAGAAAAAACATTATAAATTTTTTAATACTCAAATACTTAAATTGGTTTCAAAAAGAATATTTAATTATTGAATAAAAAATACAAAGTCAATTATTAGCAATCATAAAACATGATAAATTCAGATAATTAATATTAAATTAACTTAGAATTCTTCAAGCAAATTTCTAAAAACTAAATCATATATTCGATAGTTATTGTGATGATTATAATATTTTATATTTGTTCAAAAAATCAAAAAAATAGTAATTTTTGATCATCTTAAATATTTGCTAGATTAATAAATCTAGCATCTAATTTATAAAAAACTTTATGATATAAATCAACCTCTTACATTAATCTATTTATTATACCACTATAAGAGAATAATATTTATATTAATTGCTGTTTATAACCCAGAATAAATTCTATTATCCTTTTTTATTAATTGCTTCTATTTGACTTGAGACCAAATCAAATTGACAACAGATTAAAACGTAAAATAAACAATATTATTTATTGTGTAAATAAAGAAAATTGCTGATGAATTAGGATACAAGGACTTCTAGAATTAAAGTTTCAATATTATAAATTATATTTAGAGTAACCCAAGATTTGATTGATTCAACATTATCAGTTTTAGTGATGAAAGGAATTAATGTTAACTAAATTCAAATAAGAAATCTGTTAACTCAAACATCGAAAGTTTAAAATTTTACTAAATTAATAGATTCAAAAACTATATATTTTAAAATAAAGTTAATTTTAAAATTTAAATTATAAAATTTTGTTATAAGTTGCAAAATGAGAGTATTGAAATTTATCAAGAAATGATTTAATTTTATATAATAACTTATCTTGACTTTTTCTAGTTTTTGAATTTGTGATTTCTTTTTTATCGATTTATTATAGTGTTATTCTATAAACTTTAAAAAAAAAATGACAAAAATGTTGAAAAAATTTTTTAGCATGCTCTTAAACAGATAAAAAAATGGATTTTAATCTTTTTAAGAATAATATTATTTTCGAAAACATAAAATATTTCTCATTTTTTTTAATTTAAAACTTTTTAGTTCATATTTAGATTAATCTTGTATCTACAATCTATAATTATGGAAATCAAATTATCTAATTGAGGTTTGAAATTATCCAGTAATTTTATAATTATACTCTTATTTAAATATGCATATACTTGTATATTCTATGCTCTTAAAAGAGTTTTCCAATTCTTTATAAGGCAAACTAAAAATTTCTGATCAAGTTGAGATTTAGAATTTTTTAATTTTATTTATGTTATATATATTAATTTTTGAATATTGCAAATTGTGATTCTCATCAATATCTGATTAGTCTAGGCTAATCAACAAATGAAAAGTATTGAAATTTAAATAAAATATAAATTTTGGACTACATTCAGAAGCAATTTTTAAATTTAGATAGTATTGTTTAAATTTATTAAATTTTAATTAAAAATTATGAATCGATAATTTAATAGATATGAATATTAAATTAGAACATAACCATTACTATGAATCCAATGAAAGCTAAAATGTATGAATTGCTGCTTGATCCTGAACATACCGAACAGCTAGATCCATTCCAATAATAAGTTCCTGATGTCGAAATAAAGCAATTTTATGCATTTAAAGTTTAAATATAAGCCTCATCAGCATCAGAACAAGCAGAAGTAGCTTCATCCTTTTTACATATTCTAAAACCTGTAAAACCATCTTCAAAGACAAAAAAACAAGTACCAGAAAGTTAATTATCAGCACAACCCTTTACTTAACACCCACCATTATCCCATTTACAAATATATAATGCTTTACACATAGCTTAATCAGTTTATTCTGAACATTTTGGCATAGATTTACATTGGTATTAACCAGTTGTGGAAGGTGATATAGTACAGCTAAGATCCTTTGAAACACATTAAGTAGGATCTGTGACAGCATAATCTTCACATTTTGTAAAAGTAGCGCATATACCATCATTAGTCCATGCGCATTCTGTTACTTCATCACATGCAGCCTAACTTGTATATGTTGCACAATCAGCTGATTTAGAATTACAAGAATCTGACCAAACACATCCTGATAATGCGCAATCAGCCTATCCAAGTTCCTCGCAAACACACTGATTTTCAGCAATCAATTTTTGGAACGAAACAGATATCACAGCTAACAGAAATATGTATGTTTTCATTTTATTATCTTATTATTAATAACATTTAAATAATTTTATAATCAGTTTATAAAGAGCTACAGGTAAATCACTTTTTCAAAATTTATTAAATTAAATCATTTTTATCAATTATTTAAATAATTGTTTAAAACCAAATATATTAAGAAAATTTTGATTTTTTATTTTATTTTTTATTCAAAGGTCTTGTTTAATCGTCTAAAAGTATGATAAATTCATAAAATATTATAAGCTTTATTAGTCATCGCAAATGAAGAATATATTCACTATTTAACTTTTATGGTTCCTTATTATTCAAATAAAAAATATTCTACTTCCGAAAGTTTTATTACCACCGCTGATAGGTTAAGTCTACACATGAATGAATAACTCTTTTGAGCTTTTGAGCAGTCTTCATTTGAGGCTGTCTACTATCTTCAATTATTTTTAGACTTTCATTCTTTTAATATAAAATCAAGATAAAATAGAATAATTATACTCTATTTTCGATGTATAAAATTTGAAGATTCTTAACTTGAATATTTAACTTATTTTTTTAATTACAACTCTCTCAAAATAAAAAAAAATAAACTTTTGAATTGAAAATTAATGAGTAGGTTTGGAGTTTTAATTTGATAGATAAAAAACAAAAAATACGAATCCTTTCTCTATTTAGACATTTTTTATAGGTATTTTGTTTTTTGAAGCCTCAATAGCACTTTTTATCATAATATAAAATTCAAGAAAAAAAAATAAAATTTATTTTTAAAAAGAAAAAGCAATTAATATTGATCTATTTTAAAAAAGCTCTATGATGAAGAGTAAATTATGATTCAAAGATCTTCATAAAACTAATTTACTATTTCTTATTTTAAATTTCAAAATCAAAATTTGCATTTGAGAAAAAAATGATAGATTATTCATAAATTTTTTTTTTTACAATTTAAGAAATATTATAGAATTTTGATCATCTTAAGGAAATTTAATCAAAGGAAACGATTATGACAAATTTTGAAAATGTAGATATTTAATATATCGATTAAAAAATCAAAAAGTTATAGAATCTAAAAATTGAAAATCTAAAAAGGCTAAAGACTCATTTAAATAACTTTCTTCATAAATAGAATATTATTAGAGTTTATTAGAAAATATTCATCATAAAATAACAATCAAAGAATAAATAATGAATTTAAATATTATTTTAAACTTGAATGATCTAGTGAATATCAAATTTAAGTGTTTTTTTGAATTATAAATTTTTCCAAAACCTCCATTAATATTTTATTTTAGGATTCAACTTAAATTTAAGTAATAATAAATTGTAGCCTAAAAGAATACTTATGAAAACCAATCTATTGATTTTGTCTAAGTTTTTTTCATTTCACTATATACAAAATAGTAGATAAAATTCATAAATTTTTAATTTCTTACATAGATTTTATTTAAATTCTAAAGTTTATATATCATTTCGGTCAAAAGAACAGTTTAAATTTTTCCAAAAGCTAAGAATTTTAGACAAACTTTATAACTTTTCAAGATTATTTTTTTTGCAAATTTTATTAGTTTATATCACTCTATCCAAAATGCATCTATTCAAGGTAGTACCACTCTCATTATTAATACTAATATTGATGATTTGACTGCCTCATATATGAAACATTTAAATGTTGGATTCTAACCTAAAAATAAAAAAAAGAAGATAAATCGGCCATAAAATAAAGCACTAATAAACCGCTCAATCCTTTAGATCTTAGTATCAATGATCCAGAATTAAATAAAAAAAATTTAATTTGTGTTGAAGGCTTTTATGAAAAAGGAAAAATTTCATAGACCATTCCTAATGTTACAATAATTAAATTAGTTTTTATAAAAAAAACAAATTATTGAATAAAAAATAAAAGGAAAATTATTATCAATCATAAAACATGTTAAGTCTTTTCCTAAATTTGTAAATTTCATTCAGATATTAATAATGAATATAAAATAGAATTCTCGTAATCACATCTAGAAGAACAAAACTTATGACAGATAATTATAGTGATGATTTATATACATATAAGACCTCATTTAAGAAGTAGTAAATAGATAAAAAATAAAGTAAATTTTAATCATTTAAATATTTGCTAAGTTAAAAAATTAGCATCCAATTTCTACAAAACTTTATCAAATAAATCAGCTTTTCGCATTAATATATTTATTATAACACAATGAGAGAATAATATTCAAAAAAACAAGAAAAAATTCCCTCACCTTTTTGATAAATTGCGAATATTTTTCAGGAGATCAAATGTGTAATTAGTTAAAATTGCAATATTATATATATACATATTTAGAGATATCTAAACAAGATTTGATTGATTCAACATTATCCGTACTAGTAATGAATGGAATTGAAGTTAATTAAATTCAAATAAAAAATCTTTTAACACAAGGATCTAAAGTTTAAATTTCTCCTTAAATAAATTGATTGATAACTTTATTTAATTAATTATAAAAGGGTTCATAATAAATGAGAGAAAGAAAACAATAAAATAAAAATCATAAAATTAATGTAGTTATTGTTAAAAAAGAAGTTATTTCTAAAATAGTTAAAACTTAAAAAGGTTCCATAAATAATATAAATTTTATCAAATTAAGAAATGAAAACCTTAGCTTTGATGCTACAGAGACAGTTATAAGGAAATATTTTCAATGCATATCAAAATTATTTAATTTTCATTAGAGTGTTATTAGTGTGAAGCTGGAATAATTAAGAAAATACTTGAATTAGTATATCAAAAAGAAGTTCAAAATGTTTGGTAGATTTAAAAACTATTTTTGAAGAGATTTAAATATCTCGAAAGAGAAAACAGATAAAAATGAAATTTTTATTATTATAGAATAATTATTGTCTTTTACAGAAAAAAATAGTTTTACTTGCTAGTGATGAAGAATTAAAGAGAAAAAAAAAATATGGAAAATAACATTTAATAAAATTGAATAAATTTTTAATATCACATATAAAATTTACAATCATTTTCTAAAAATAATAAAAATTACAATATTAATTTATATGCATTTGAAAGAATGAGCATAATTAGAGATAGTAAAATAAATAGATTAGATTAATATCGATATTAATATTGATTAGAACTATGGATAAATAAGATGTATCAATAACATGATATTTTCGAATGACAATAATTATTCTGTGAATAATGTCATGAAAATAAATGCATAAGATTATAAAAGTTAGAATGTACACAAAGAATTAAAAAAGATAAATATATCAATTTTTAGATCAATTATTTTTAGCAAAAGTGGGTATTAGACCTAATTCTTCAACTAATAATATTATTTTAATAGAAATAGCCTTAACAACAAATGAAGATTTCAATAATTTTTAATTAGGATTGGTTAATCTTAAAAGCAAAGGGAAAATATTCATATTATTATGTAAAAAAACAAATTAATATACAAATCTTCTGTAACTAAATAATTAGAATCAACTTGTTATGTTTATATTTAGAGATCACCCTTAATTATTTCGGTTTCTTTATTCTTAGACTTATTAAATAGTAATTTATTATGAATGGATAATTTAATATATATGAATAATGAATCAGAACATAGCCATTAATAGTAATCAAATGAAAATTAATATTTACGAGTGCTGCTTGATCCTGAACATACCGAACAGCTAGATCCATCCCAATTATAAGTTCCTTATGTAAAAGTAAAGCAAGTTGTTGCATCAATAGTTTTAATATAATCAGTATCAGCATCAGCGTAAGTGAATTAGTAGAATACCAAGTAAAATATGAAAACCTGTTAAAACATCTACTAGAACAATAAAACAAGTTTAAGCACTTTTCTAATCAGCAAAACCTTCATTTATATTTCAGCATCATTACACAATCAGTTGACTCCTTGTATTCTGAATATTTTTGGAAATCTCTACATGGATATGTTCCATTTACATAATATGATGGCATGGAGTTGATATTCATTGAAAAACATTATGCAGAATCTGTTACAGTATAATCAGCACATTTCGTGAAAGTTGCGCACAGATTATTATTCCTGGCATATGTTAGTTTGCTGTCACATGTTGATCAAGTTTCAAATGTTGTGCAATCAGCAGCTGTTTTAGCAGCACAAGAATCTGTCCAAACAAATCATTGTTTTCATTTTATTATCTTATTATTGATAACATTTAAATAATTTTATAATCAGTTTATAAAGAGCTACAGGTAAATCACTTTTTCAAAATTTATTAAATTAAATCATTTTTATCAATTATTTAAATAATTGTTTAAAACCAAATATATTAAGAAAAATTTGATTTTTTATTTTATTTTTTATTCAAAGATTTTGTTTAATCATTTAAAAGCATGAATTAATTCATAAAGTAATCCTAACCTTACCCTTTCATCAGTCTAATATGAAATAAATTTCAATTTTTTTCTTTTAAAGCTTCATATATAATACTAGCTTAAAACATTCTACTTCCTAATTTCTGATTACTATTGCTTAAAAGTTGTTTCTCAACCGGACAGCATAACACCTCTAAAATTTTCAACGTTCTATAAAAGGCAGATCATTTTTTTATTATTTTTAGAATAGAAATCTTTAAATATGAAATAAAGATAAAATAGAATAATCATACTCTATTAATAATCCTTGAAATTCTAAATTAGAAGATTCTGACTTTAAAATTGAATTTGATTTTTTTAACTTGAATTTTTAACTTTTTCTTTTACAATTAATCTTAAAATCAAATTTTTGGACCAATAATTGATAAGTAGGCTTGGAATCTTAATTTGATAGATAAGAAAAAGAAATATAAATCCTTTTGATTTAATTTACAAAATATGATTCCTATTATTATAAAAATTTTCAAATTTTATCTATTTTATTATTCTTTTCTATTTAGAAATATTTTTATATATAATTTGTTTTCTAGGAAATTTAAAATTTATTTAGATTAAGATATCATCTAATTAAAAAAGATTTAGGAGTTATCAAGAAGATTTATTATAAATATTGATTTTTTAAATTCTTCAAGAAATCACAAATTCCTTTTTGTTAAAATGCCTTCTTTTATTTCCTAATTAATTTTATTCAAATCATTATTTAATTTTAAAATCCAAAATGTATGATATAATATTNCTCCTTGTATTCTGAATATTTTTGGAAATCTCTACATGGATATGTTCCATTTACATAATATGATGGCATGGAGTTGATATTCATTGAAAAACATTATGCAGAATCTGTTACAGTATAATCAGCACATTTCGTGAAAGTTGCGCACAGATTATTATTCCTGGCATATGTTAGTTTGCTGTCACATGTTGATCAAGTTTCAAATGTTGTGCAATCAGCAGCTGTTTTAGCAGCACAAGAATCTGTCCAAACAAATCATTGTTTTCATTTTATTATCTTATTATTGATAACATTTAAATAATTTTATAATCAGTTTATAAAGAGCTACAGGTAAATCACTTTTTCAAAATTTATTAAATTAAATCATTTTTATCAATTATTTAAATAATTGTTTAAAACCAAATATATTAAGAAAAATTTGATTTTTTATTTTATTTTTTATTCAAAGATTTTGTTTAATCATTTAAAAGCATGAATTAATTCATAAAGTAATCCTAACCTTACCCTTTCATCAGTCTAATATGAAATAAATTTCAATTTTTTTCTTTTAAAGCTTCATATATAATACTAGCTTAAAACATTCTACTTCCTAATTTCTGATTACTATTGCTTAAAAGTTGTTTCTCAACCGGACAGCATAACACCTCTAAAATTTTCAACGTTCTATAAAAGGCAGATCATTTTTTTATTATTTTTAGAATAGAAATCTTTAAATATGAAATAAAGATAAAATAGAATAATCATACTCTATTAATAATCCTTGAAATTCTAAATTAGAAGATTCTGACTTTAAAATTGAATTTGATTTTTTTAACTTGAATTTTTAACTTTTTCTTTTACAATTAATCTTAAAATCAAATTTTTGGACCAATAATTGATAAGTAGGCTTGGAATCTTAATTTGATAGATAAGAAAAAGAAATATAAATCCTTTTGATTTAATTTACAAAATATGATTCCTATTATTATAAAAATTTTCAAATTTTATCTATTTTATTATTCTTTTCTATTTAGAAATATTTTTATATATAATTTGTTTTCTAGGAAATTTAAAATTTATTTAGATTAAGATATCATCTAATTAAAAAAGATTTAGGAGTTATCAAGAAGATTTATTATAAATATTGATTTTTTAAATTCTTCAAGAAATCACAAATTCCTTTTTGTTAAAATGCCTTCTTTTATTTCCTAATTAATTTTATTCAAATCATTATTTAATTTTAAAATCCAAAATGTATGATATAATATTATAAAGTTGGGTAGAAAATACTTTCTACCATAATTAACTAAAATTTAGTTTAATAAATTTCAATTTGTTCTAATAAGACTGCATTTACTTATGGAAAGAATTTATTAATTGAAGATAAATTTGAAATAATTAAATCAGACCTATGAGCTTATTGAACTGTATCGTGTAAGATAAATTAAGATTAAATATAAAAAAATGTTTATGATAGTGATGATATGCAGTAGTCATGATATTATTAATATTAATAATTAAATACCTAGCAATAATGAACATAATCAAAATCCTTTCTTTTTATAAATTATTGTATTCATGATAGATTACTTAAAATTTTTTATTAGATTTTAATTTCGCATCTATTTTTAAAATATTCTAAAAATAAATTCAAATATGATCTTCTTAAATGTGTAAACATGTTACCTTTCTTGGATGTTAGATACAAATTTCCCCTCCATGATAGGATAATTTCTAAAATTCTAAAAACCTTCAGATGTTTTTAAATTACTTTTTATTTTATCAACAATTCTCTTTATTGAGCATTGTTATTTTCTCTCATTCTTGTGTTTTATTTGTGTGTCACTTGACTGATGATTTTTATTAATAGGATTCCTAAGTAAAAGCTCATTTCTATTATAGGGTAATCAAGTATGTTAGGATTATAATTATCGTTTTAATTATGGAAGAGAAATTTTCCAAGATTTCTTCTTTTACTAAAAGATTCATTATAAAATATTGCAATGTCAATTAATTTTAAGCACACTAAAACCTTATTCCTATGATGGGAGAAGAAGACTAGTTCATATACAAAAGCTTTTACATCAAAAACTTTATTTGAATTTTTAGAGAACTCTTGTAAAAATTCATCTAAGTTATATTAGACAAGGTTTAGGAGTATTATAAACAAATTTAAGAAATGTAACAAATTTAATTTAATAAATAAAGAAGTTAGCGATGTAATGGAAAAAAAGTGTAATTATGTCGATTAAATTTTCATTCGAAGAAAAATGAGGATTTCGGTCAAGAGGAACCAATCACACAGTAAAATATAATTTAATATTCAAACACTCTCTAATCAATTTTCCTCTCAAAATCACTTTTCGCCCTTTTTGTCTTCCTATCATTCAATTCACCAATCATATTAAAGATGATTTTAGCAATACTTCTGAATTATTTCCATAAATGCTAATTCAAGGAATTTAAATAAAGGGCTAAAGATTGTTATAAGTTTGAATTACGTTTAACCAAGGATTTCTGTGTAAAATTTATTAAATGGAATTATGTGAGCACAATCGATATCATTATTTATCTCGAGAGTTCTATTGTTCCAGAAGTTCCCAAATAACTTTTTTTAAGTTCTGTCTAAAAAAAATTTGATATTCCGTCAAAAGCTATAGCTTTAATATTTGACACAAGATTTTAAATATCTTAGATCTATCTTAAAGTAAGTTGGAGTAGATAAAAGGACTATATATTCCTAGTTGAAATAATGATTTAGTTCCTTTATCACAACAATTTCTATTTTTAGCTCTTTAATGAAGTCACCTTCATAATAATTACAATAGCAAAAATTCCAGCTTCTTTCTTAGCTTAGTTTAAAATAGTCATTTTCTAAAACTTTTTAAATGCCTCTTTCTATCAATAAAACCCAAATACTCCGCTAAATTATACAATGCTTATTCCATAGTTTTCTTATAATTTCTTTATCTGGTATAGTCACTCTAAACTTCTTTATCACTTCCCGTTTCCTGATATTGCGTCTTATTTATTCAACCAATTCTTAGCCCTTTAATAGTATTTTTTACACATACAACCTTTTTTGATTTTATTCTTAATTTTTATTTATATTAGGGAGATTAGATAAAGGTAGATGTTTTTAATCCTCTAATTAGGCTAAATATTTAAAATGGTGATACAGTTAATAAATGTATCATATCCAATTCTTAAGATAAATACATCATCCAAATCTAAAATGTATTTATTTTGATTGAGCTTACAGTTGTATATTCATTTTTATCAATAGCATATTTCAAATATCTTATGCACCCTAATATATTATGATCAACTTTGCTTATTTTTAATTTTTAATTTAATTTTATTTTCTAGATCTTGGAACATTAATTTGATCTTTTGATGCAATGATTCTTTAAATTGAGTAGGCAATTAACCTACTATTAGACAATAAAGATTATGAAATTTCCCATTTAAAGGCTATATAAAATTTAAGGATGGAAATTTTAGATTTGCTTTGTTTGATTTTATCTTCAGATTAAGCTATTTAATTAGATAAATCATCGAAATGTTAAGATAAAATATCGACTAGACTGCATTATGTGTTACCAGAGCAACCCAGCTTTTAAGGTTTGTATCTTGTTTTGATTAGCAGAATATGTTAGCCTATTGATTAATTACGAATAATGTATTTAATTTAATTGTAATTAAAAATTATGAATGGATAATTTAATATATATGAATACTGAATCAGAACATAAGCATGACTATGAATCCAATGAAAGCCAAAATGTATGAATTACTTGATCCTTCGCATTCTGAGCAGGCACTTCCATCCCAATAATAATAACCTGATGTTTTTTTTAAGCAATTGTCTTTGGTTAAAGCACTAACATCAGCAGCTTCAGCACAAGCAGTACCCCAAGTACAAATAGTAACACCTGATCCATCATCTAATGAGACTGTATCACAATCATCAGCAGTTTTAAAGTCAGCGCATGTTTTTACAGCACACTTATCAGTTTCCCATTTACAATCACCTGCACATAAATCTTGAACTGTGATTGTTGAACATTTAGAAGTATCGATTGATTCACAAGCACTTCCTTTGAACCAGCAAGTGGCAGTATTGCTTGGCCTTTTATAGTTGCAATCAGCTGCAGATGAGAAACTTGTACAAGTGACAGTTGTGGCAGCTTAAGTTTTACATGTGGTTTTTCCATCAGTAGTAGTTCCTGCAACACAGGTACCACTTTTTTCCATACATTAATCAGCAACTGAGACAACATAATCTTCACATTTTGTGAAAGTTGCACATTTTGAAGTTGAATCAGTCCAAGCACATGTTGATTCATCATCACATGTTTTTTGTGTTGTTAAAGTTGTGCAATCAACTTTTTTTGCAGCACAAGAAGAATCACTTTCTGTCCAAACACATCCATACTCAGTTTTGCAATCAGTCACTGCAAAATCTTCGCAAACACATTCATTTGTAGCAGTCAAAGCTTGGAATGAAACAGATATCATAGCTATCAGCAATATTTATGTCTTCATTTAATTTTTTTATTATTAGTAATAAAATTAAAAATTTTTATAATCAGTTTATAAAGAGCTACAGGTAAATCACTTTTCCAAATTTTTTTTAATTAAATTATTTTTATCAGTTATTCTAAATAATTGTTTATAACCAAATAAATTAAGAAAATTTAGATTTTTTATTTTAATTTTTATTCGAAGGTCTAGTTTGATCACCTAAAAAGCACCCAAGAAACTATAATAATGAATTAATACATAAATATAATCCAAACTTATACTTTATTTTTGTTGTCCTCAGCCTTAAATTTTATTATATTTTTAATATTCACTTTAAGGCTTCTAAGGTAATTCGCTTAAAAAAATCTGCATTCTCAAGTTGAATTATCACTCTTTGGTGGTTATTTCTCTCTAAGGCAACACGCTCCTTTTAATTTTCATAGATAGATCTATATTTAGGCAATCCATGTGTTTTCAATCATTTTAAAAATAATATAGGCTTTAAATATGAAATAAAGACAAAATACAATACTCATGCATCATTACTATTCTTGAGATTATAATTTTAAAGATTTTTAACTTGAATATTTAACTTATTTTTTTTTTTCAGGAAACCTTTAATTTAAACCTGTTAAAGAGAAAATTATATTAGTTAGCTTTTAGTCTTAATAGAAGAATAAAAAAAGAGGAAACAAATCATTTCAATTTAAAATACAAAAACCAGATTCATTTTATTTTTATAAATTTTCAGTATATATTTATTTTTTTATGCTTCTCAATTGGGAAATATCTTTCATATATATGTTGTATATAATCGAAAATGATAAAGACCTTAAGATTTTAGAATCAAAATAAAAAAGTTAATTAAACTTTTTTTGTAAAAAAGCAAAGCACTTTATAATTATTATGGATTAAGATTTAATCTAATTTTTAAAAATACAATAATTGTTTAACAAGAAGAGTAATAGGGTTTAAAAAACACTTCAATAAAATATAAAATCTTTTTTTATTATAACGACTTCTTGTGTTCATTAAAATTAAAAATGCATTCTAAATAATGCTTTAAAAGTAATTATGTTCGAAATATTTTTTTGAAATTACACTAAAGTATTTCTATTATTGTCCTCCAAAAAAGTAGATTATTTCTAAATTCAAAGGTCTTCATAAAAGTTTTTGAACACTTATTGAGTATTCTAATTTTAAATTGAAAATCAAAAATATGTGGTTATTAATAAACATAATATATAAAGATGTTATTTAAACATTGAGAATACCATTAATGAGAAAAAAATTTATAGGTAAGTATTTTTGTCATATAAATCAAAAACAGTAATATATTAAAAATTTATTTATATTATTATTTTATAATTATTGTACGGTTTATTTGTTATGAAAATTTTTAATATTCCTTCAATTATGAATATAAGACTTAACAAACATTAACATTGTGAATTATGAACTCTATTATCAAATTTTTTTATAAAATTGTAACATATTGACGATATTTTTAGGTTGATAAATAAAACATGACTCTAATATAATAAAATATTTAAAATCAAATTCATTATAGAACAGTTTTTGTAAATGAGAACAAATTGTTAACTTGAACAATAAATTTTCCCAAAATTTGCTTAAATTCCTCTTCCATAACAATATTTTTCAATTATAAATTTAATTCATGCAAGATTGTTTGGTCTTTATTTTTCTTCGGAATTGGATGTGAAATATAGTATAAGCACCTAATTATTATGATTATGATACTTTGGATCAAAAATCTCGTTTTCTCTATCTCTTAAGAAAGTGTAGTATCTATTTTTAAGTTCATGTTTAGATCTTTTAGGAAAATTCCTTGCAATAGCTTCAAATCTCTTTCCTATCCTCACTACTTGCAAAAGTAGTAATTGATCTTCTTCTTTCGTGAATGGCTTCGCTTTTTTTTTCTTTTGAATTGATTTTGTTTTTAAATCAAAATTTAGCTTGTTATCTTATATTCGACATTCATAATTTTGAAATTCTTCACCTGTAGTTAACATATAGACATCAGTTTCTGAATTATTAATTTCTGAGATCATGTATTTTTAATTTTTATTAATGAAGGCTCTTTTTATATAAATTATTGCTATATTGATAAGTTGTTATGTTATAGATTTAAATTTAATAATAATCATTATTCAAACAAATTATTGAAAAGAATTTTATGTTTCATATCAAATATTTTTTTTATCACTATTTTTTATTTATTTAACTTATAAATATTATCGTTGAAAATTTTATCTAAATTTTTTTTAGAAGTCAAAAAATTCTCATATTTAGGTTTTGGCAACTCTCAAATAATAAAACTTCTCATTATTGAAAAATAGGAGGAATATCTTAATAAATATGATTTTTGTTATATTAAATAAATTAATAAAAATGATTTAATAAACATCATATCGAATAATGTTAAAAATATAATTAACTCATCACTTTTTTAAGACTTTTATAAACTCTTAGTTCAAAAATTAAGGAAAGGCTATAGTAATCATCTTAATTAAATTCGATAAATATATACAAAAAAACTTAAAAATCGATTATAAAATTATTTTTATTTTTTACAATATAGATTAGTTTTTTGAAAAAAAAATGTTTTTAAAAAGCATTTCTTTAATTACTTAATTTGAAAATGCTTCTAATAAGATTGTTGATATATAAGTCTTACTTGAAGAAAGTTTGTCTCAACGATAACAAATTTACAATAAAACTTATCTCCAACTTAAGTTAAATATACTCATAATTAGGTTGTTAAATAATTGAATTTTGCTTTTACAATTTAAAAAATAATATCGAATTTTGATCATTATAAGAAAATTTAATACAATGCAAAATTTTCTAAAAGCATTATAAAACTATTTAACATTTCAAATGAAAATGATATTGAATATAATGAGGCTGAAGATACATTTAAATAACTTTCTTAAAGATTTTTTGAGCATATAATAAATGATTCATCATAAAATAACATTAGAAAATGGATTTTAATTTAAAATGAATGATGGTCAAGAGAAAAAATACTTCTAATGAAATTGAGAATATAAAATTATGTTTGAAATATTCGTTTTGCCAATCTCCATGAATATTTCGATATTATGTTTATTATTATTTTGTTTAAATATCTTTATTTTATCGGAGCCTTAAAAGAATATTCATAAATCAGGTTATTAATTCCATTATTGTATAAAAAACTCCTAAATTTTATTATCTCAAAGAACATAATTAAAAACAATTTTTTTTAATATTTTAATTATATTTTTTATTATAAATTTATTTAATACTGAATCAAAATAAATCATATCTAAGAATCAAATAAAAGCAAAAATTTATTAATTTTTTCTTTATTTTGAACATTCTAAGCCGATATTTTCTAATATCCAAATGTTCCATCATAACAAGCAGGCATGTCTTAATCTTGTACATCAACACCATCAGTTAAAGCAATATTAGACTACTTTTAAAGATGAAGAACTAGATAATCCTCTTTTAGAATTCTGTTGACAGTTCAAAAGCCTCTAATTACTTTTCTCATAAGATTTTAATTAATTTAGTAGTTAAAATTAATATCGATATTCAAATAATTAATTTTTAGTAAATTGAGAAATTTATTATTCATCAAACCTAAAATATCTCTACAATAACTATTGATAAAAATGCAAGGTAAAAGGAAAAATATATTTGTGTAAAATATAAAAATGAAAAATGGGTGGATAAAAAGCTCAGAAGACATAGTTAGAAAATTGGACAACAGAATATTCACTTTAGATAAAAATGAATGAGGAGTCCAGGTAGTAAGCTGGTTAGCCCTTACTAATGTCTTTTTTGTGAATAGGAAAAGGAAGATGATTGATGGGACCTTTCTTTTACATTTAATTTAATTAATGAAAAAATTCACTTGGACTTAAGCCTTAAGTATAATCATAAATCTAACTTTTGTTAATTAATTTTCAAGAATATTTTTTTGTAAAAATCTTATCCGGTTAAGATCAAATGAAAGTTATAATTGTCTGGTAGTGAGATGTAAATTGCTAAATTTTCTATTAAGTAACACGAATTATTTATGAATGATTATTTAAAAGCTTAAAATTATGGATTTTAATTTTCCATAACATTTTAAATAAAATAATACTTAAAGTATATATATATCAGGAGTGGAACAAAATTTTGAGTTAAAGTTACAAACTTTTCTCTTGGAGAATTTTCTAAGCTATATGTTGTTTCTTTTTTAGGTAATTCATTTTATTCTGAACTTAAACGTACAGAGCCACATCATAATTTACAAAGTACTTTTTACATATCATCATTAGCTTCCTCAAAAATAATATTTGTAGTTTTCTTACTGAATGTTTATACATAAAATAAAAAGTGATGCAATATATGAGTCATATGAGAATAAGGAAATATTCAAAATTATCAAAAAGTAACCACTTCCATTGATTGGATGGTGATTCATATATTGTTTTATGTTATCTAAACCAAGAATACTCTACAATTTGAGTTCCCACTAAGATTTATTGTTATATTGATATTGTTTACTTCTTAGTCATTAGATTTATTATAATTTATATATAAAAATTATAATCATCCACCAACTTTTATTATTCCCTATCTGATTTATCACGATTAAATAATTTAAATATCTTTAAAAATGGGTTAAGGTTCATCTAAATTTTATGCTGTGCCAGTTGGAGAAAAGAAAGAAGGAGAAAGTCATGTCTATCGTAATCCAAATAATACAGACAAGCTTTTAGATAACTTTGAAGGAGAAACTACAGTTTAAGGAATATTCTTAAGATCATGTCGTAAATTTCCAAACAATAGATGCTTGGGTAAGTAGGTTGTGACTGGAGAAAATAGTAGACATTATGTTTACAAAACTTATATTGAAGTCAGAGATACTGCAGAGTAAAATCTTGAATAGAAATTAGGTTACTTGGATCAGGTATCAAGAATTTAAACTTGATTCCAAATCCAGTAGTTTATGATGGTTAAGAATTGCGAATGATAGGAATATTCTCAAAGAATAGAGAAGAATGGCTACTTCTAGATATAGCTAATACATTATATGGAAATACAATGATACCTTTATATGACACTTTGGGATTGGAAAGTATTCCTTACATTTTAGAACATACTTAGATGAGCACTTTATTCATATCAAATAGTAGTGTTGATACTCTTTTAAAAGTAAAGGATTATCATGCACTTAAGAATGTTGTCACATTTGATGAATTATCTTAAGAAATAGTGTAAAAGGTAAAATTAAACCTTATGAGATTAGTTTGGAGATAAAGGATTAAAGGTGTTTAATTATGAAGAAGTTTTGAATGCTGGAAAATAAACTAAACATGCATTTGCGGAAGTTCATGGAAAAGACATTTTTACATTCAGTTACACATCAGGAACAACGGGAATGCCAAAAGGTGTAATGTTAAGACATTAAAACTTTGTAACAGTAGCAGGTGGTGTTGTTTATTAAGGAATTCAATTATATCCAAGTGATGTTTATTTGAGTTATCTACCATTACCTCATGTTTTAGAGAGAGTTGTAGTAACAGCATTACTTGGATTTGGTTGTACAATATGCATGTATGGAGGAGATGTATAAAAAATAAATGTAGATATTTAATTGGTAAAGCCAACAATATTTGTAAGTGTTCCTAGATTGTATAGAAGATTATACAATGCAATAAAAGAGAAAGCAGATAAATTAACAGGATATTAAAAGACATTATTTGAAAAAGGATTAGCTAGCAAAATGTATTATTTGTAAAATGGAGGACATGTTTAACATAGAGTATGGGATAATTTAGTATTTAAAAAAACAAGAGAAGCATTTGGAGGAAGAGTTAGATTAATGTTATCAGGATCAGCACCAATGTCACCTGAAGTTGTTGACTTTTTAAAATGTGTTGTTTGTGTTCCATTTTTAGAAGGATATGGTTAAACAGAAGGATGTGGTGGTTCTTTTATCAGTAGAGCAGATGATCCTATAAGTGGACATGTAGGAGGTGTATTTTCTAATATTGAATTCAAAGTTGTTGATGTTCCATAAATGAACTATTATAGTACAGATAAAGATGAATAAGGTAGACTTACTCCTAGAGGAGAAATCTGTAATCTTTATATTTTTATTATTTTTAGGTATTAGAGGAAATGGATTATTTGCTGGATATTATAGAGAACCTGAAAAAACTAAAGAAATGATAGATGCTGATGGCTGGATGCATTCTGGAGATATTGGAATGATTAGACCAGATGGATCTCTTAAAATTATTGATAGAGTTAAAAACATTTTTAAGTTAAGTCAAGGAGAATATATTGCTCCTGAAAAGGTTGAAGGAGTCTATCTTAAAGTTAAAGGTATCGCTGAAGTTTTTGTCTATGGAGATTCAACTAAAAGTTTTTGTGTTGCTGTCATTGTACCTGAAAAATAATATGTTTTGGAACTAGCAAACACTTTAACTATTTCAGGTACATTTGAATAATTATGTGCAAATGATAAAGTTAACAAGTTCTTTATTGATGAAATGGTTAAATAAGTATTCATTCTCATTTATTTATTAGGGTAAAATTGAAAAATTGAATGGAATGGAAAATGTTAAGAAAATCTACATCGAACCAACTTCCTTTATTGCTCATGGATTAACCAGTAATACACTTAAATTGATGAGACACAAAGCCAAAGAACATTTTCTTAAATAAATTGAAGCAATGTATTAAGGAAGTGAATGAGTAATATTGTAAAAACATTAAAAAAAATAAAATCATTCTTAATCAACTTTCTCATCATAACACTGTGAAAGCACCTGTAAATCAAATACTAAATTATCCTTAAGTTCATTTTAATTTCCAAGAATTTCTTATTTTACCTATTTTATTATTCCAAAATGATAGTTTGTGCTTTGGAGAAAGTATATAAATAATATTTTAATTCATCATTTTTTGATGCATCATTTTTATGAGTTTATGTAATATTTTGTTTAGACATTTCTCTTCTTCCGATTGCTCTCTAGTATACAAAAAAATATAAAAAGATTTTTTCTGATTTTTTTGAAAATATTTCTAATTCTCTTTAAAATTAAAAATTTCAATTTTTGTTTGAGTGAATATAATCTAAATATAGATTTTCTTATTTACTTACAACAGACAATTTATACTATTTTTTTAATCTTTTGAAATAGATTATGAATCAAAATATCAATAAGGTAAATTATACTTTAAAATTTATAACTTATTGTATAAAATTAATTTTAAGCTTTCAATTTCAATGCATTATTAATTTACTATTTTTATCAAAAATCTTCTATTTATGGCATCTGCTTCTTCAAAAACTGATTTACAAAACTCTGAAAAATCTCAAAAATTATCCAAATTCAAAACTACCTTACAAACAAATTCTAAGTTAATTTAAAGAAGTTTTCATGCATCTAAAATAACCATTAAGAGAAGCAAAATCTACTAAATCTTATTCTGATAAATCTATATTATTTTTGAAAAAGATATTAATACTGATTTCTAAAGCTACTAAAGATGAATATGGCCAAAATGATCCAAACAGTCATCTTGATCGAAAATTGATAAAATTTATACTGTTTTTCTTTAATATTATTTTTTCTTTAATCTATAAGAAATGGTAAAATATTTTTTCATTTTTTTTAGATGCCATGTTATTTTATCATCATCAATTACTTTAAATATATTAGAGAACTCTTAAACTATTAAATCAGTAGAATTGTTTATAAAAATTATCTTTTTCAATAGTTTTTTTGATTTAATTTTGTTTATATACAAATCTATATAAATATTTTTTGTTTTATGCACTTTTTTTGTATTTTAAAAATCATTTTTAATATATTTCCAATTAATTCTAACTAATTTTTATCAAATCTTTGATTTATACATGATAAGTATCAAGCATTGAATAGTTTAGAATCCTGCATTTTATAATATATTTTCATATTAATAAAATGTTTTTATTTATTTATTAAAGCTTCATATATTTAATCAAAAAATGGATTAAGCTAACTAATTAGTTTTGTATATAGAAAAGTAAGAAAAAAAAATTAAATAAAAATAGTATATTTTTATAAGTAAAAAATCTTTAAAATGAATTGTTGTTAATAAAATCTTAAAATATAATAATATTACTTTGAAACTATTATTTCAATATATATGTAGAAATTTAATTAGCAATTTATTTATTTAAAGGTGCGAATAAAAAATTATTAAAGTAGTTTTTAGATATAAATTAGGATATTAATAAAGGATTAATAGTTGGATGAATAATTTGGAGAGCATTTAAAAATTGGAGAAGTATTTTAGAAAAGTTTTGTTGATAAAAGAAACAATAAATTATAGTTAAGTAAATTTTAGAATGAAAAAGTTGTTTTTAATGAATAATTTTCATTATTTAATTAAATAATGGGAACATGCTGTGGTACATAGAGTTAATTGTAAATAGTAATGCCAAATTTTGAACTATCTATCTTGAGTGTCTACACTTAGAAAGCTGTTTTGATTCAAAGAGCTTATAGATGTATATAAAGTTTAAACAATAAATAGAGTTCAAGCATCGGAAGAGAAGATCTACAGTTCCAGTATCTATAACAAACGACAGCTAGAGAAGTCATTAGGAGCCAATTGAAATTACAATTGTTCATTAGTAACCGTAAGATGAAGTTGCATAGATGGAGTAGATCGAAGAAGTCCCAGTAGTAGTAGATCATTCTCCTCTTGATGGTGTTAAAACAGATAGAAAATAAAGTGAATATCCTGCAGCAATCAATTCTTTGATATATCGGATTGGGAACTTTAATTATAAAGAATATTTAAAGAAAGAAAGTTAAAACTATGAAGAAGAAGAGTTGAGTGCAGCTTTTTTAGATCCTTATTAGTTAGCTGATGGAACAATATATTTAGGTTAATGGAAATTAGGTAAAAGACATGGAAAGGGTAGAGCAATTTTTTAAGATAAAAGTGTATATGAAGGATTTTGGAAAAATGATAATATGGATGGTTAAGGAAGATTGATTTTCCTTAATGGAGATTATTATGAAGGAGAATTCAAAAATAATAAAGCTAATGGATTTGGAAAATAAGTTACTTCATTAGGATATTCATATGAAGGAAATTGGGTTAATGATAAATAATAAGGGGAAGGCCTAGAAAAGTTTTCAGATGGCACTAATTTTAAAGGAAAGTTTGTAGATGGAAATAAAACAGGATAGGGAGAATTTGTTTTTTCAGATGGATCCAAGTATTAGTTCAAGCTAACAAAAGGTATAAAGGTTCAATTGTTAATAATAAATTTAATGGAAAAGGACAGTTTAATTTTCCAGATGGTCGTAAATATGATGGATAATGGAAAGATAATTAAATGGATGGATATGGGACATTTACCTGGCCAGATGGTAGATGTTATGATGGATATGTAAAATTCATTAAAATACTTAGTATGTGAAAGATAAAAAGCATGGATTTGGAGATTTCACATATGCCGATGGATCAATGTATAAAGGTCATTGGGCAGATGGTAAAGAACATGGATAAGGAACTTTCTATTCAAAAAGTGGATTATATAGAGAAGGAGAATGGGTAAATGGTAAAAGAGTAAAATGGACTTCATCATACTAAACTACCTGAAAACAAAAGAGGATACTAATTTATTTCTTGTTTTTCTTTCATAATTTTAAATTATTAGATAATATTTATGCCTCATATTAAGTTACCTAATTTTCGACTTGGTATTTCGCCATCAGTTAGATCATCTTATAAAATGGATAATTTGACTCCATCCTAAAAATTAGATTTAGTGGCAGCACGTATATTTGGAATTTCTTTCGGTGGTAATTTAAGAAATGGAATGAAGGCAATAAAGAAATTAGAAACAGGATAAAATAGAGCTATGTAATATAGTGTTCCAGTTTGGAATCCAGCGTAATGATCTATATATTAAGTTAAAAGACAATGGTTTCCATTTATGACATAATGGAGGAAATTAGAATTTAATAGAAAATTAGTAGATGGAAGAAAGATGAGAATAATGATGAGAGGTGTAAAAATAGGTAGATAGAAAGGAGGTGAAAAAATCTCAATTCTTAATATTTATGAACGCAAAAAAGCAAGCATGGAGTGATTATTATATAATATAATGTAAAAATTTTACATTATTAATTATCAATGATATATTTAACAATAACTTTTTGTATATTATTATTAAAAACAACAGCAATCAATTTAGTCTAAAAAGATAGATGTACTTGCTCTTAAATAATCAACCAATATGAATGCATGTTAAACTAATAATGTATGTGGAACAATACAAGTTGTTAAAATAGAAATTGTTCAAATATCCATTATAAATCTTAATGTTTGGAAGATTATGGATGTTTTTATAACAGTATTAGTAGAAACTGTTAATATTTAACAGATTGTAATTAGCTAAATGCAACATCTACTTTAGAGTGTGCTTCATAATCAAAATTTTGTGGATTATTTAATACTTCATCAAAATAATGTTATCATTTAACTATTGCTTCTTGTACTTCATATACAGTTTAATAAGAATGTCTATATTTTGCTTAAGGATAATTGTGCAAATGGAATAATTAATAATGTTAAGATTTTAATTGTAACTCAGTAGAAAATTAGTCATAGTGTGATTTGTATGCTTTATATTGTACGTGGGATATTAAAAATTAAATATGCATACAAGCTACTTGTGACAATAAACATACTTCTGAATGCACTTTTATTTTCTCAAAAGATATCAATCAAAATCAATCAATCATATAACCATGTTACATCGATTAATCAGATAGACCAGCATAATGCAAAAATGCTTCTTTATCTGATTTATCACCTCTTACATGTAGTTTAAATACTTTTAGTTATGCTAAATGGAATGATGAAAGTTTAGAAAGCGGAAGTTGTTAATTTTGTTAAGCTAATCTAATTAATATTATTGGTCTAGCATTATTAATAATGATTTAATGAAAATTATTCTTATACAATTAATGATTATTGCAAGATTATTATTAATTTATCTTCATATGAAATTCTTTTGTAATAAAATTTAATTATGATTATTTTTAGAAAGTTCTGTTATAGGTTTGCCTCAACCATATAAGAATCCTAATAGCAAATCTTTAAATATTCAAACCCAGATAATATCCCGACCAAAATGGTTTTAAAAAACATCGCTCTCTCTGATTAGTTTTCAATCTAATAACTTTCAATCTTGACTGATATAGACTAAAAGGAACTTATAAGAACAATTAATCAATTTTCGAAATAACCTATTAATTATACCAAAATTACTAAAGAACTTATAGAACCTATTTTACCATTATATAATTTAAGCTCTTTTAAAGAAAGTCCAATAACTAGACCTCCTATAGTAACTATTATGGGACATGTTGATCATGGAAAAACTACATTATTAGATAGACTTAGAAATTCAAATATTGCTGAAGGTGAAGTAGGAGGAATTACTTAAAAAATTGGTGCATTTCATGTTAAAGTTGGAGACAATTAAATTACATTTATAGATACTCCAGGACATGAAGCATTTTCTAATATGAGATAAAGAGGAGCTGAATTTACTGATATTATTATTTTAGTTGTATCTGCAGCAGATGGAGTATAACCATAAACTAAAGAAGTTATCTAAATTGCATCTTAATTAAATATACCTATTATTGTTGCTATTAATAAAATCGATGTACCTAATATCAATCCTGAAGATATTGAATTAGAATTATTGGAATGCGGACTTGATCTTGAAACTTAAGGTGGTAATATTCCAGTTGTACATATCAGTGCAAAAACTGGTAAGAATATTGATTTGTTGTTGGAATTAATACAATTTTAAGGTGAGTTATTAGAATTAAAAGCTGATCCAAATGTTCCTGCATAAGGAGTTGTATTAGAAGCAAGATAGGCTGAATTAACTGAAGAAAGAGGTTCAACAATTATAGTGTAAAAAGGAAGTCTTAAAGTTAATGATTTAATTGTTGTTGGCAATCAATATGGAAAAGTCAGATAAATGAGAGATGATAGATCTAACCTTTTATAAATTGCAGGGCCTTCAAGTGCTATCGAAATTGTATTTAAAATTATATTATCTCATTTAGATTGGATTAAAAGAGATTCCTTAGAGTGGATCTAAATTTTTTGTTGCCAAAAATGAATTAATTGCTTAATTAATTGTAACCAAAAGAAAAAAAGAAGCAGAACTCAAATTACTCTAAAATGCATAAATTATTGATGGCTCCTTTGGAAAAATTTCATTCTAAAATAGACATGAAAAAAGAGATATATATGGAGATTCCACACTTCTTATAGATAAATATAAAGAAATTTAAAATATCTTAAGAGAGGAAATTGAAAAAACTGATAATCCAGAAATTAAAGCAGTTTTAGTTGAAAAACTTAGGTAACATGAATTGTTTTCATCTTAAATGATTAATATTGCACCAGATACATAAGTGTTAAAATTAGTGATAAAAGGTTAAGATTTTGGAACGTTGGAAACCCTTATAAAATTAGTGAATTAATTAAAGGAAAAGGAGAATGCTGAAATATTGATACTTTCATCTGGTATGTAACTTAAAAAGACTTTAAAGATGCTTAATTATTTGGTGCAACAATTATAACTTTAAATTCAAATGTGCCAAATGATATAATAAGATAAGCTTAATTAGATAAAATAGATATAATCTAACATTAAATAATATATCATTTAATTGATGATTTAAAAACTTTAGTTACTACTCCTAGAAACATGAAAGTGAATGTAATTGGGACAGCAAAAGTATAAAATATATTCGATGTAAAACTCAAAGGATAATCAAGGAAAATATATGGATTAAGTGTTACTAATGGTATATTGAATAAAAAATGCAAAGTGAGAATACTGAGAAGCGGAAAGGTTATAGCATCAGATTTAGAAATAGCAAATTTAAAACATTTTAAAGAGGAGGTTGATCGTATTGAATCAGGGAAAGATTGTGGATTATCAATAATATCAAATGTTGAAGTGAAAATTGGTGATGAATTTGAGTGCTATAAAAGTTGATTATATGATTTAAATATAATTTTGTGGTGTGTTTGATTTGAAAGAAAAAATAAAATGATGTTTAAATATTAATTTAAGTTGATACTCCTTATTGTAATGTAATAGCTCAAAAAATAGAATGACTAATCATCTGATATTAATTAAAATCTAAATTAATATATTCATTTTTTTTTTCAATGATTTCGGATTTCACTTTCTAACGAATATCTTGTTCTTCTATGTAAACCAAAGAGTTAAAATCAAAGTTTATAATTCAAAAGATTGTTGGGTATGGTGATTATGGGTAAATTGATGATTTTAATGTTAGAACTGTATATCGAGGTGTGGATATGCACACCAGAGAGACAGTTGCCATCAAAGAATTATCCCATGGTTTTAATGATTAAGGGGTTTGATATATTATGTTATATAAGATCAATGCATAGGCATTAAGAGAGATTGAAATACTTAGATCTCTTAATTGTGAATAAATTGTGTTATTTAAAGAATTAGCTTATTAAAATAGAAAGACCTATATTATAATGGAATTTATTGAAGAAGATTTACTTACAGCAATGAGAAGAGACATCTTTACTGAGGTTTAAGCCAAGTAGATTATGTTTTAAGTTTTAAAAGGCTTAGCTTATTTACATGATTAAGGCATTATTCATAGAGACCTCAAACGTATTATTTATTCAAGATTATTTTTAGCTAATAATATTTTACACAAAAATTTAACAATTAAAATTTGTGATTTGGGAATGGCTCAAAATTTAAAAAAATGCAAGCCTCAAACCACCAGAATATAAAACCATTAATATAGGGCTCCAGAAGTGTTCCTTGGTTTATTAAATGACTAATATTAGGTTAAAAATATTGCTCTAAGGTTGATGTTTGGTCAGCAGGGGTTTTATTTATCGAACTTCTCTTTAGAAGTAATCCCTTTAAGGGATAATCTGAAGCCTATAGTTTTCAATAAATTTTAAAATTATGTGGTACTCCAACTGAAGGTAATTAATATTAAATAAATTTTAATAGAAACTTGGTAAGGTGTTACTACATTAAAGAATTATTCTAAATTGATCAGCAATGACATTTTTCCCAAGATCTTACATACCTAACTTGAAAGGAAAATGTCTCCACTCTTAGTCAATCTTATTGAATAGATGCTTACTCTTGATCCTACTAAAAGGATATCTGCATAAGCAGCTTTATAACATTTATACTTTTAAGGTATAAAAATAGATAGGTAAATATATCATTTATTAATAAAAAGAAATATACAATCTAATCATATGGGAAAAAAAAAAGTTAAAATTTAAACTGATTCCTAAGTGATCAATTATCCAGATGGAAAAAGAATAATTGTTATTTCGTAAAAATACTGAAAAGCAATTATTTACGCTTTTGAAGAAGAATGTTAAATATTAAGTTAGTAAATCAAAATATCTGAAGGCATTCAACCATTTTAATTCTCCTTAAATTATTTAATAGAGTATATATAGTTATTAATCAAATAATACACCAAAAAGATACTCTTTAATTAATCGAATGGTAATTATATTTATTCATTATAGCTTTCACAATCAGATAAATGCTTTACTCACTCTAATTATTAAGACAATCTCTTCAAAAACTAAAATGAAAATAATTTATAATATATTAACTACTACAATTCTCTTCTCGTTTTAGAATTCAAACTATTTAATTTGATAAAATTAAGTTTTCATGTATTTATCTTAATCAAAACTACTTGGAAAAATATAAATTATTTTATTATATATGGGTTGTACTTCAACAAAACTTAAATCCAAGAAGGATCTGTGTTTTTTTAATGTTCCTCTTGAAGTTGGTAGAAAAATGAGCAAAGAAGAAGGAATTATTAGCAGAGAATATAAAATTAATTCCACAAGAATTAGTTAGGCTAAAAAGTAAATAGTTAGTGAAGTTTCACCTGTCTTAAGTGAAGGAAAGAATATTTCATTCATTTCAAATCAAAAATAACCATCAAAATAATGAATTTATTATACTATGTGTTTATATATTATGTTTGTCTTATTAAATTATACCAAATTCTTAAAAGGAGTTGATATTCTTCATTTCTCCTAATCTCTCTACTCAATTATTATTTCTATCTATTCTTTTTAGATGTAATAAATTATTATTAAATTATTTTGTAAAAAAGATCGTTTTTTCACTTCAATTATTAAATTTAAGTTTTATCTAATTTATACACTATCATCTATGTGATAACTGAACTAATGAATTATAAAAGATAATAAAAATTAAATAATTAATATAAATATATATAATAAAACAATTATTATATTATTTTTTGATTAAAATTTTATTAAAGCAAATCATTATTCTTTTTAAAGAAGAATATTTAATTTATTGATTCTGAAATTAGTGTTTTTCTATTTATAACATCTAAATAATACAATTAATATGATTTTATATGAAAAAGTAAACTAATTATTGAATAAAAGCTTAAAAAGTAATATTTTTATAAAATTGAGTAAAAACCAAATAAAAATAAAAAATATATTGCTCATAATTTTTTAAGAATATTGATTTTACAATAATTAAATTTCTTGTTAAATGTTAATTTATACATATTTACTAAAAAAGTGGACGAAAAATTTAAATATGTTAAATATTTTTTGGCATAATAAAAGCTTAAAAAAATATAAAAATTAGTATAAAATGATTTAAAAATTTTTTCATTTCTTCTAAAAATTTAAGCTGATTAAAATGTATTTAAAAATCTATAAATAAAAAGAATGGCCTTTTTCTATTAAAATAAAACTAAAGAAATTTAATAGCTTTTTCTTCAAACTTTAACAATGTTGGCCTGATGAGGATTAAGTTAAATTTAAATTTGATAAAATAATCTCTTAAATGAAATTTAAGTGCTATTAAAACTTTTTTCTAATAAACATAAGATATTTACTGTATAATTTAATTTTTACATTTAGGAAATGTTAAGAGTCAATTATTTTTCATTCATCCACTTATTCTTAAAAAATTGAACAATATTTAAGCTACAATAAAATCATATCCACAATATCTTATCAGAATAAATATTACTTATGTTGTATTTGAAAAATATATAGTGTTTTGTTTTTTTATTGTAAAGTATGATAATAATATCATCTATTAGAAGAGTCAAAATTGATATTATATTTTGATATAGTTTGAGGCTTCAATTATTTAATCCCCTTTCTTAAAAATTAAAATTGAGAGTTTATTGATTATTTTGCCTGATTTAATTTTAAGAGGTTGTTATTATTTTTACAAAATTTAAAATATATTTCCTCTTATATTATATAACTATTAAATTAAAATGAAACTTTTAAAATGATAATTTAGTTACGTATGTATCTTTTCATTTGATTAACATCCTTAATAATTTTTATTTTTATGGGATATTATGATTAAAGATTTATAATGATTTTAGATATATCAAGGTAAAAATAATACTTAAAATCATTATTAAGTAAGATTCTTGAAAAGAAATATATAATTTTACNTAATTAAATTTCTTGTTAAATGTTAATTTATACATATTTACTAAAAAAGTGGACGAAAAATTTAAATATGTTAAATATTTTTTGGCATAATAAAAGCTTAAAAAAATATAAAAATTAGTATAAAATGATTTAAAAATTTTTTCATTTCTTCTAAAAATTTAAGCTGATTAAAATGTATTTAAAAATCTATAAATAAAAAGAATGGCCTTTTTCTATTAAAATAAAACTAAAGAAATTTAATAGCTTTTTCTTCAAACTTTAACAATGTTGGCCTGATGAGGATTAAGTTAAATTTAAATTTGATAAAATAATCTCTTAAATGAAATTTAAGTGCTATTAAAACTTTTTTCTAATAAACATAAGATATTTACTGTATAATTTAATTTTTACATTTAGGAAATGTTAAGAGTCAATTATTTTTCATTCATCCACTTATTCTTAAAAAATTGAACAATATTTAAGCTACAATAAAATCATATCCACAATATCTTATCAGAATAAATATTACTTATGTTGTATTTGAAAAATATATAGTGTTTTGTTTTTTTATTGTAAAGTATGATAATAATATCATCTATTAGAAGAGTCAAAATTGATATTATATTTTGATATAGTTTGAGGCTTCAATTATTTAATCCCCTTTCTTAAAAATTAAAATTGAGAGTTTATTGATTATTTTGCCTGATTTAATTTTAAGAGGTTGTTATTATTTTTACAAAATTTAAAATATATTTCCTCTTATATTATATAACTATTAAATTAAAATGAAACTTTTAAAATGATAATTTAGTTACGTATGTATCTTTTCATTTGATTAACATCCTTAATAATTTTTATTTTTATGGGATATTATGATTAAAGATTTATAATGATTTTAGATATATCAAGGTAAAAATAATACTTAAAATCATTATTAAGTAAGATTCTTGAAAAGAAATATATAATTTTACATGATAATCATTATAAATTAATAATTCTAACTATTTTTGATATTATTTCTTTCTAAAGTCATTCATTAAAAGCAAAATTAATTTCATAAAATAGTCATGAAGTAAAATTTGATCAAAATGATTTTTAGATAATTTTTTATATTATTTTTTCATTATAATAATTTATGTTAACTTAATTATATTTATTTCTTTTATAAAACTTAAAAAAGCTTTTTTTCAATAATCTTAAGAACTTATGAAATATTTAATTATTCAAATAGATGCTTTAATCTTTCGGGTTTACTAATTCTAAGCTTTCATCTTGAATTATATAAATGTTTAAATTGAAGCATTTTTTTTTCTGGAAGTAGAAGTGTTTCTAAAAGAACTTTATAATCGTGAATAAAATGTATAATCTAGATGTTCATAATCTCTTCTGGTACTCTTTCATATTGATTTGCACCAAATTAATAATATAGAATGATTGGTTAAAACTTGCAAAATTAATGATTATTTACTAAAAATATGAACAAGAGGAAATTGTATAATGTTTTTTGAAAGAGTGAGATCTCAAGTTAATGTTATTTACAAATTTTTAAAAGCAATTAGAAAACAATACAACATTTTCTTCCTATATTAGCCTGTAGAACTTTACAAAAATAATATATCTGTTATATAATAAATTTTTCTTAAGTCTCATATAAGGAGAAAAAATAAAGACTAAATTTAGAAGAGAGTTATTTTCCTAAAATAATAAAATCTTTAAGATTAAGTTTTTTTTGTTATGGTTTAAAATGCTATAAACATAAAAATAAAAGTCAAGAGAAGATAGTTTTTAATGGATGAATTTTCAACATCCAATACAGAAGGCAACAGTTAATGCAAAGCAAACTTTCATTGCCACTTCTCCAACCACTTTTGTAACACAATCTGTTAAATCTTTTTTTAATCCTTTCTACATTTTTATTTCTGTTTCTTTATTAATCTCATATTATTCATTATATCTTTCAGTCATCAATGTGATTTAGGTTTGATTATTAAGTTGTTCAGTCATTTTTTTGTTTTTGCTGAATGTATATTTATAAATTAATGAGTTTTAATTAGAAAATTTTTGAATATATATACGATCAGAAAATGCAGAAAATTATGCATTAATTCTGATGATGCAAATAATGATTATAATTTAATCTGATCATTTCTGATTGATAATTATTAAATTGTAGGCAAATTTTATAATGTCGTCATTTTTCTAAAAACAAAATGATTTTACTTTTTATTGAATTAATTTGAAAAAAAAATTCTTTAGAAGGGTATACACAAACATAAAGCACCGTTTTAGAAGAGAATATTTGACGTTTGTTAAAAATTTTCACATTTACATCTATTTATATCATTTTAATAAAGTATAAGTTTACGTCATTAATTAATTATAAATATTAATTACAACTCATTTGAAGTCATTTGTAAATAACTCATGTGATAATGATGTAATTTGATGAATCAATTATTGAAAATTTCTTTTGTATTTTAACATAGATTTATTTATATTAGCTTATCTAATTATTAATTATATAATGACACAGAATCCTTGAAACCTTAAATAGGTTCAACTTAAATTTGTTATTCTAAATTCTATGTTATTTATCTAATTAAATCTCTAAAATAGATTTAAATATTTTACTATACTATTTTAGTATTATTATATACTATTAGCTAATATATGATGTTGAAAACTATACTCCATAAAGCAACATAACAAAAATATAAATACTATTTTAATCTGTTGCTCTAATTCATATCGCATTTTAATCGAATGTTAAATAATACTAAGATTTAACTTAGCCTTATTATTAACATTTGTTCACATCAAGATATTAAAGTTTCTTAAATTTTTTCTTCTGTTTCATTAGAAAACAACCTCAATAAAATTTTTTTAAACAGGATTAAAAATAATATGCTAATCTTTATGTTGATATATTATATTAGCAGGAATAGTTCATATAAAATAATCCGCTATTAAAGCATTTGATAACAACTATCAAATATTGACAATAATTAAGTATTTCTTTTGATTTTAAAAGTTCAGTACATTTAATTTAAGAAGTTCTACTTTTTAAAATAATGGTAGATCTCCTTATTTAAAAAGAAAGTTATATTTAGTGTTTACAATTTATAAATCAATTCTTAATACTTGTTTCAGGATCATAATTTGAATTGAGATTAATTTTCAAGAATTCTTCAATATATATAAATTATATAATAATTTCATAGTAGTATATAAAATTAATCATTATTCATTAACGATTGATAATTTTCTAATTTTTTTCATGTTATTTACTTATTAACTTTAAATATTGTCAATTTCTTATAGAGGCATTTTCAATTTTGAAACCTTAAAAGCGCAAAAATTTTATAACTAATTATTTTAATGTTCAATAGAGAGATTGTATATTTCTTAAACTGTATTTTTATCTACAGTTTAAGCTATATAATATTAAGTTTTCTCTTTTAATTATACCATGTCTAAATAATCACATAGTTCTAGTAGTCTAAATAGTTCTTCTTTATCTAGAATAGGAAGTATTAGATTATTTTTGTATGAGAAAATCAAAACAATAGCGAAAGCATTATGATCTATATATGATAAGTCAACTTATAGTAATTAACCTTCAGCATAGTCTCCATAGAAAAGTTCTCTAAAGTATCCAGAAGTATTGATGAGAACTGATTTATCTACACCAAAACATTTTTCATCTGTTTAGATTAAGCAATCATATTAATCATTATAAAAATGAATTCCATTGTTTTATTGAAAATAGTTTTCAAATTGGTATTATGGTATTTCTTCGTAAGGTTTTGAAGGCAATTCGACAGATAGTGGCACTGTATTAATAAGTGGTAATTCATAGAAACATAAATCATTTTAATATTTGCCATTAAAACCACCATATATAACTAAAGAATTTCCAACGATAGATGCACAATGTTTCCTTCTTGCTTTAATTTTATTCTCATTTTTAATGATTTAAATTTTACTGTTTTACAAATCAAAAGAGTAAAGTTCATCGGAATCTTTATCATCTCTTCCCCCAAATAAATAGAATAAATCATCAAATAAAATACAAGATTGACCCCATTTAGAAAATTAAATTTTAAGTTAAGACCAATAAATACTTACATAATTTTCTTATTCTTGAAAATTTGCAATGTAGATTGATGGAGTAGGATTATAAGATTATGTACATCCTCCAATTAAAATTAATTACTTGTTATAATATTGAAGAGTTGCAAAACGCCTAGGTTCTGGTTTTTGTTAAGATTAAATTTTAACAGTAAATTATGTATAGTTGTTTAAATCAATGATTTCTAAATCTTCTAAATCTTTGCCTGATTCACCTCCAAATATAAATAGTTTATTATCACCAACACAACCTGTATGATAAGTTCTAGGTATTAAATTAATCTTTTATTTAGTCCAAGTTTAATTATTTAATGAATAGAGATCGCCAAATCGATTTTTAGATAAACCTCCACCACCTTGAATATAAATAGTTCCATTATTAATAAACATAATATGATTTGATCTAGGTTCTGGTATCTATCCATTTTATTATAGAAGTTGCCATAAATTATGATCAAAATCATAAGTATAAAAATCATTTAGATAATTGCCATCTTAATTATATTTATAAGTTTATACCATAACCTCCAAAAATATATAATTTATCATCTAAAGTAATGCTGGTATGTCCCCATCGACCTCCTGGTCCTTCATTTTAACTATTAATGGTTATCCAACTCATATTAGTAAATAAGATAATGTTTATATTATCGTTAGAAATAATAAATTAAACTTTAGATCAACAATAATAATAAATATATATTTTAATAAAATGGATTATAAAACTATAAATTATGAATAAGGAAAGATTGAATATGGAAGTGAAGAAATATATGTGTCAATAATTTCTAAGTTTATCAACATGACTTTTGAGAAGTAATTGTAAGAATTGTACTTAGCTGTACAATTACTTGATTAAAAAAGGATGGAAAAAGCTTGTTTTGTACTTAAGGGTAGTGTAGGGTAAATCAATATTAATTAAGGCAGGAAGATAGATCCTTGCATTTGATTATCTCTAAAAAACAAATGCTTTATATGATATTGCTAAAAAGCAATAACCACATACAGATAGGGATGTAATAGACTTATACCATAGATATTTTGATTTAATTGATGCTAGTATTCAATTAGCAGCTGAATTATCTTAAGCTGCTAAATAATTGATAAGTATTTCAGAAATTAAATCTTATAGTAAATTTAAATACTATATTTAGGAGATACTATATGGCCTAAGTATATAGAATTCATGTAGAGATACATTTAAGAATATAGTAAACCAAGTGATAATTAATAAAGATGTTAGTAATGCAAAGAATGCATCATATTTTGAATATTTGTTATAACATATAGTTAATATTTATCTAATCTTAACTATCACCTTTTTTAGTTCTAAAATTAAGTTCGGATTTTTTGAAATTCCAATTTAAATATTATTAATGTCGAATCCAATTAAAATAATATTATTATTAATTCATGATTTTACCATTATTAATACTAAGTGTAAAAGTTGTTTATGGCAGTGATGATTACGATTACATATAAAATGGTAGAGATTGGCCTAATATACATGAATATTGCTTTGGAAAATAAACATAATCTCCTGTTAATCTAGATAATAATTATACTAATACAAATGTACGATACATAATCATTAATTATAGGAAGATGACATGTACTTTTTTCCTAAATACAAACCAACTAATGTGAGAATTACTAAAAATGCTACAAGTCATAGAATTATACCAGCAAATGATTCTGATAACTTTGGTCCGCTTTATACAGTTAATTCTTGGTCTGAAAGTGTTGCATATGGTGGAAAAATTATTTTCTTTAGAAGTGAAGCTGAACATACAGTCAATGGAGTCTAATATAATTTAGAAGTTTAAATATAACATACCCTACTCTTTGCAACTCTTACAAATAGATCAACAGTCTCAGTATTTTTTATTCAAGATGACACAGCATCAAGAAATCCATTTCTATAATCAGTATTTATTACTTTACATTTTTTAAAGGTCATTGATAATTATGATAAATAAGAATTCACTTTAGATTTAAGTCAATTAGTAACCTCCTCCTTTTCTATTTAACCATATTATTTATATGCAGGATCTTTTACATATCCAGATTGTACAGAAAGAAATTCTTGGTATATTTTTGAAAGACCATTCAAAGCTCCCAATTCTTAACTATAATTCTTTTACAATTTGTATCATAATACAGATGTTTTTCCACATGGCAACTTTAGATTTAGTATTATTTTAATATTAAATATTCTAGTTCAGGATAGAAAAAGTTCAGCAAAGAAAGTCAAAGTATATTATAGAAAAGATCCTTATTAAAGTTAATAGAATGAAGAATGATATTATGTTATTTATTATTAAATTATGCTCAAAATCCTATTTCATTAAATAAACCATAATATATATTTATCATTCATCATTCTGTTAAAATTGGTAAACTCTAAAATACATAATTCCATGATGTTTTATTAGGAAGACCCTCAATTTCATAATCTTAATCTAATACATCGCTAAAATCATATTTCTAAAGTAATTTTATTGATAGATCATTTTCATCATCTAATAATTAATATATTTCTAAATCTAATTAATAACTGCTTCCACCTAAAATTATTATCAAATTTTTTTCTTCTTCTTTTATATTTTCTTAATCTAAAAATATTTTTATAAGAAATACTTTCTTCACGAATGATTTTCTTTGTTTTAACATTTCTCCTAAACTTTCCAAAGCATTTTGATTTAGGAATCATTAACTTTTATGGATGTTTTATAAATGCTTTCTTCTCTTAATCTAAAATCAAAATTTGATCTGCACTCTATTCTTTTGATCCTCCTATTATTAATACTTTTGTATCATTGATAGGTAAACAAAGAGAATCTAAACCAATTAGGATTCCTAATGGACATTTATATTTAAATTATTCCCAAATATCTTTTGTTAGATTATAAACTTCAATTTATGTTAGCGGAATAATGTCATGTTTTTATTAGGTAAATCCAGAAATTCCACATAAAATATAAATTTTATTATTTTATACAAATCCTGAAAATCCTGTTCTATTTTTTGATAAGGGTGCTATTTCAACCCATTAATCTGATCCTTCAACTAATTTTTCACAAAAATTCAAAACACCAAACTAATCATTTGTTACATATTAACCACCTACAGCTATAAATACTTTTTTATCATTTTCTATTAATTCAAATATCTTATGATTATGTCTTGCATATATCATTGATGGTAATATTTATGTTTATGTAATTGAATCAAAAGATGATATTAAGACACTATCATTATTTACAGATATTTTCATGCAAAAATTAGTTGTTAAATATTAATCTTGATTTTCTTCTGATAAAACTGCTCCTCCAGTAATTAAGAAATCATTAGTATTTGAAATCTTAATTGAAGCAGAATAAAATGGAATATAATTCAACTAATCAAAATTTACAAATTTAGATGTCCTTTTAAATTTCTTCTCATATAAATCATAAGTATATGTTGAATAAGAAGGTAATTAATTTTCATTCAATGATGTCGATTAAAGGATTGGTGTAAATGAAAAGAGATCACTTTATTATTATTAAATCATCTAATATAAATATTCAAAACACATCTTTTATCAAATCAAATATAAAAATAATGCAAAATAGGACTGCAAATTCAAAATAGACTACGGCAGGAAGATCATAAGTTTAGCCAAACACTACAACTTAATAACCAAGAGTAATAAGATATATTATTTTAAGGCTCCTCCATAAATGGTTCAAAATATGGCAAGAGTAACAGATCCTAAACATGTACCTAAAGATACTAGAGATTAATTCTTAAAGAAAATCCATTTTTGTTCTTAACCTTATGATTTTAATGATGACACAAAAAATGTTAAAGAAAAATAGGAACGTTCATAATACTTATAGGAATTATTTGATTTATTAAAGGAGCCTAATTTTGTTAATAATTTAGTTGTGCCACATTTAGATTTGATTATAGAAATGATTGAAAAGAATATTTTTAGACCTTTACCTATATTAAAGAAAACAGCTACCAATGGAGAAATAGGAATGGAAGATGATGATGTAAATTATTTTATTATTAAATAAGTAACTTATTGATCCAGCTTGGACTCATTTATAACCTGTTTATGAATATTTTCTACAATTAATTGTTAATGAATAACCTGATGTAAAATCACTTAAAGTATTTCTTTTATAAATTTTTATAGATTTTCATCACTCATTCTTTTATTCAAGAATTCCTTGAATTATTTGATTCTGAAGAACCTCGAGAAAGAGAATACTTGAAAAATATTTTACATAGACTTTATGCAAAATTAGTTCCAAGAAGAAAAATGATAAGAAAAGCAATAAATGATTGTTTCTACACATTGATTCATGAAACTTATAAATTTAATGGAGCAGCTGAACTATTAGATATTTTAGCTAGTATTATTAGTGGATTTGCTGTTCCATTAAGAGAAGAACATGTTATATTCTTTAAAACAGTCATTATTCCTTTACATAAAGTTTAAACTTGTTAATTTTATCATGAACAATTATTAAGATGCTCAATGTTATTTTTATCTAAAGATCCTACTTTAGCAACATTTTTAGTTGAAGGACTTTTAAGATATTGGCCATTTGCTAATTCAGCTAAAGAAGTTATGTTTCTTAATGAACTTTTAGAAGTTTTGGAAGTTTGTGAAATTTCTAAATTAGAACCTTTAATTCCTAAATTATTTAAAAGATTGATTAAATGTATAGCAGGACCTCACTTATAAGTGGCTGATAGAGCTATGTGCTTCTTTGAAAACGATTACTTTCTCACTATTCTGAAAAGTTATAAACCATTCACATTTCCACTTTTAGTTCCAGTCATTGCTCAAATAGCAGATACTCATTGGCATAAAGTCTTATAAGAATCTTTGAATGCTTTAAAAACTATTCTTAAAGAAATAGATTATCAAGCATTTGATAAGGCATTAAATACTAAAGATCCTAAATATTTGTATATTATTTAAGATGCAAAAAATCAAAAAAAAGATAGATAAAAAATTGAAGAAAAAGTATTTCAACTAATCTTATTATTAGTGGAAAAACCTTACCAAATAAGCATTATAAAAAAATCCCAATTTTAAAGAGCCTATTGTTCCTTACTCAGATACCCATATTGTTGGAGAACACAATGGTCTTAACAATGGAAATATTACAATATTATGATTCAAATAAAAATATTACAAAAATTGTTAATAAAATTATTGCAATATTACATAATTCTGGAAAATATTTATGTAATTTATGTTTCAAATTATTAATTATATATTTATAAATATATTTCATTTTAATCTAGAAGAAACATTAAATGTTTTAGATATTATTACTTACAAAACTTCACTAAACAAACTTAATTATTTCACATAAAAAATTAAATAAATTAAAATGTCATCTCTCAGTTTTGTTACATATGATGAACTTATAGGAATTTTTTAATTAGATAACTATCAATAAAAGTTTTAGAAAGATTATGCTAAAGAGTGGCAAGAATAAGAAATAGTAAAATTTAAAAGATTCATGAGAAGAAATAAGAAAATTAAAAAAGACAAAATATTCTTTCAATATCAATCTCAATTCATTCAAACAAAAAGTTATATACAGTGTCGAAAATTTTTGAGAGATTATATCAGAAAAGTGCTTGACAAACATAGATATGAAGTANTAAAGATCCTACTTTAGCAACATTTTTAGTTGAAGGACTTTTAAGATATTGGCCATTTGCTAATTCAGCTAAAGAAGTTATGTTTCTTAATGAACTTTTAGAAGTTTTGGAAGTTTGTGAAATTTCTAAATTAGAACCTTTAATTCCTAAATTATTTAAAAGATTGATTAAATGTATAGCAGGACCTCACTTATAAGTGGCTGATAGAGCTATGTGCTTCTTTGAAAACGATTACTTTCTCACTATTCTGAAAAGTTATAAACCATTCACATTTCCACTTTTAGTTCCAGTCATTGCTCAAATAGCAGATACTCATTGGCATAAAGTCTTATAAGAATCTTTGAATGCTTTAAAAACTATTCTTAAAGAAATAGATTATCAAGCATTTGATAAGGCATTAAATACTAAAGATCCTAAATATTTGTATATTATTTAAGATGCAAAAAATCAAAAAAAAGATAGATAAAAAATTGAAGAAAAAGTATTTCAACTAATCTTATTATTAGTGGAAAAACCTTACCAAATAAGCATTATAAAAAAATCCCAATTTTAAAGAGCCTATTGTTCCTTACTCAGATACCCATATTGTTGGAGAACACAATGGTCTTAACAATGGAAATATTACAATATTATGATTCAAATAAAAATATTACAAAAATTGTTAATAAAATTATTGCAATATTACATAATTCTGGAAAATATTTATGTAATTTATGTTTCAAATTATTAATTATATATTTATAAATATATTTCATTTTAATCTAGAAGAAACATTAAATGTTTTAGATATTATTACTTACAAAACTTCACTAAACAAACTTAATTATTTCACATAAAAAATTAAATAAATTAAAATGTCATCTCTCAGTTTTGTTACATATGATGAACTTATAGGAATTTTTTAATTAGATAACTATCAATAAAAGTTTTAGAAAGATTATGCTAAAGAGTGGCAAGAATAAGAAATAGTAAAATTTAAAAGATTCATGAGAAGAAATAAGAAAATTAAAAAAGACAAAATATTCTTTCAATATCAATCTCAATTCATTCAAACAAAAAGTTATATACAGTGTCGAAAATTTTTGAGAGATTATATCAGAAAAGTGCTTGACAAACATAGATATGAAGTACTCAAAAATCATGAAATTTTATACTGTTTTGGACCCTTACATCCTAATTTTGAGTTAGTAGAGTTTCAAAATAATATCAAAATGAGGAGAATTAAAACTAAACTTATTGAATAGAATGATAAAGATGAAGATAAGGCATCAATAGCAACTTAATAATGACTTTAAATATTTTATTAGTTGATAATATATATCCCCACTTAGCTCTATAAAATAAAAAATACCAATATCTATGAATTTTATATCTTCAAATTTTCCCTTAAATAAACAAAACTAATGTCTAAACTTAACGTTGATTGTTCTAAAAACATCAGTAAATATAATAGTAGTCATAGAAATAAATTCTAAATAAATATCTGTTCCTATTATAATAATTATATTCTAAGATATTCAGATCAAAGTTATACAGACTAAACTTCTAATTTTATACTTATTATTTAAATTCTTTAAGTAGATAAGCCATTCTAACTATTCATTTTAAAATCTGGCTTAACTGATGAAGTTTGCATTTCATCTTTGCCACTTTGAGTTTTAACAATAATAATTTAATTTTAAATTAATCTCTTCTTTATAGTATAATAATAATATAATTATATTTTCATATAAAATACATATTTAATCTTTATTCTAAATTTTATAGTTAACGATTCATTATCAATAAATTTATCAAATATGATGTATTTTTACCCTTAACGTTATATCGACTATCTCCCAAATTAAATCCAATCATCTGATCCTTTGAGAATTCCATACCCATTCCCATATCAAAACAAAATGTAATATAATTAAAGATCTTTCTTTCAAAATCCACATTAACATACCTTTTGTGAACTATAAGCTTTATTTATCTTTAATTTAAACATTCACATTCAATCTGTAAAATTTTCTATAGAAAAAACTTATTTTATTAAAGTCTTTGAATAAATAGATTAAAAATGTTATAATATACATGTTAGATTTAAAGTATCTAGTTAAATAGAAATTCATCTATTAAATAAAAACAGTTTATTTAGTTTAAAATGGAGAAAGCACTTTAACTTTATAAATGATTCTGAGATCTTTTATGAATAATTTATAAAATTCTTTGAAATTAGCCGAAATAGAAAAAAAAACTATTACAAAATAAAGTTTTCATATCATCAAAAAATTGAAGTAGCCCAATTATTTAAATTTAAATTATTGATTAAAAAAAGATAATTTTAAAGAATCCAATTAATTATAATTTCTAATGCTTAAAATATTTGTCTATTTTTAAGGAATAGTTATTATATCGTTTCACAAATGAGTTAGTTATTAAATATATGATAGCTTAAGATATTTAAATTTTAATAGCATGATGATAAATAATGAAAAGTATTATATACAAAAAAATAAAAAAATGAAAATAATAAATTAATATTTAATTATTATCCGTTAGATAAATGTAATAGACTGATAAAGAATTGAAAAGGATTGAAGAATTAGAAGAATAAGTAAATTAAGCCTTAAAGAGAAGCAGATAACTAGATGATAGTACGAAATTTGATGAAAACTTTTTTAAATAAGAACTTAAAGAAATGCAGGAAAGATGTTAACAAAATTAATAAACTATGATGAGATTAGAATAAAAATATTTGAAAACGGGATATGAATTAAAAAATTCTGATGTAATTCGAGAGAATAGTCTCGATAAAAGTTCGGTTAAATAGAAGAGTTTATTGGAATAAAAAAATTAATAAATCTAAGAACTATAAAAAAAGCTATTTGATACTGAAAGATAATTAAATTAATAATTATCTGAAGTAAATCGTAGAAATCAACAATTAGAATATTAAAATCAATAATTATAAGAGGAATTACAGAATTTTTAAAATTAATAAGAGAATATTCCAGATGTTATGGAATTACATAGAGCTCTTGAAGATTTATAAAAATAATATCTAGACCTATAGAATAAATTATAAGAAACTATGAGAAATGATTAATAAGATTATTAATAAATAAAATAAGAATATGAAGAATATTAATTATTAACGTAGAATATAATTAATTAAGAGGAAGAATATTAAAGAAGGATATGCGAATTAGAGGAAGAATTATAATAAAGTTCAACTTTTTAATAGGAGTTTATGAGTAGAATGAAATAAAATGAAGAACTTTATTAATAGAGATATAGAGATTTAAAATAAAAATATTAATAATAATTGGATGATTAAAGAAAGATTTTAGATTAATAAATTGATGAATTAAGGGAATAAAACAATTATCTTTTTGGATAACTTTCAAATACAGAATGTAAAATACAATAGTTAGAATTTGAAGTATAAAGAAAACATAATCTTTAAACATCAACTCATAAAGATAATAGTGTTGATTTATAAGTTTCAAGAAGTAAATCTTTTTCTGCTTGTCAAGGTGCTCAAAATATAAAGACTCTTTCAGAATGTGAGATTAATTCAAAGAACAAACCTTAACATTATGTAGGCTGTTATAGTAAAGGAAAAACCTCTTGTACTTAATAATCTTAATAAATATCTAATAAATTAGATTAAAGAAATGAATAAAAATAATATGACTCAAGACCAGTTAAACAAATTAACATATCAATTGAAAAAGAAAATATTTAAGCAGATACATTATCTTCATATAATAAGATTAGGTCTTAATCCAAAGAATAACCAGTTACATATAAGTAAGTCGCTGAATAAAGGTAGGCTATTCTTTATTCAAAAATTCCAAAACCAAGAAGATGATTTGATAATTTATAAATTCATTTTTTATAGTAATTTAGCAAATAATTTAAATTTAAATATCTTTTTGATTATTTAATCATTTCTTAGATCTTTTTATTATTGAGAATTATTATTTATTAAGTAATTTTGATTTTTAATAAATGAAAACTATATTTATTATTAAATAAATAAATTTTATGATCAGAAGTAATCTTGATAAAAAATGTTAAGATATGTTGAGCAATATGAAATTTGTTTCTTAACATTCATTATCAAATGAAGGCAAAGATATATAACTTAAATTATTTAAAAAGCCAGAAAACTTAAATTACTTTAACAAATTTTAAAATGATGAATTTACTATAGAAACTAATGAAGCTATTGAAACATTAAATTTATTGACTAATTATATTAAATCTAATCATAGTCATAGACCAGAAGAAGTTAATTACTTTTTAGATGATACACCATTAGAGATTATTTAAAAACCAATTCCTGAAGTTCCATAATATAAGAAATAAAATTTATAGGGAATTTGTCTTCGTAATACTTGGTCAAAAGGATATTAATTCTTTTTTATTGATTCAGGAAGTATTGTTAAAATCTTGAGTGTAAAATAAGGGTATGCTACAATTGAATTTTAATAAAGATAAGGCATTGTCCATATTAACGACCTCTAACTATAATGATTATTATTTATAAAAATTATCCATGTTTAAAGCTAGAAAATTGGGTCCATAATCTTACATGGATTTTATAAGAGATGAGTTACCAACTGAGAGTACTACAATTACAAAAAAAGATCAAACTTATTGGAATAACAAGTATATTTTTGATGGAATGCAAAAGAAACTAGTTCTTTTCCAAAATAGCTTTTACTTAATAAAAACCTAATGAGTTACGAAATATTGATTAATTACAAAAGTTTAAATATGAATCATAATTGAGATTGAAAAGAAATGAATTTAGAAGAACTATTTTACAAATTAAAAGTAAATAGAAATCATCTGAAACAAGTAAATACGTTGTAACAGATGAAGATTTAAATTTGCCAATTTTCTAAAGATTTCCTACTCATTTGGTATTTCTCAAAGCGATATTAGGAAAATTAAATTGATAATTAATGGAACCATTTGGAACTACTTGATAAGAAGCATTTAAAATAGATATATGGACCCAAAACCTTTAATCGATAGAAAAAAGCAATTAGCTAAATAGATAATAATTTCAAAGCTGATATTGAACTTTAACAGATGAAATTTCAAGCATAGATTAATTTTAGAAATAAAATGTTAAAACATGATCCTTTATAGGAATCTTAAAAAAATGCTTAAGGCTTAGAAATAAACTTTTTAAGATAAGTAAGACCAGAATATAAAGGAATGTTGTTATTGAATATGACAGCCATTGAATAATATCATTGTCCTACATTATATTCTCATGTTAAGAAATAGGATTGTTTGAATAGTATGTAAACTAGATAAAAGTAGTAATCCATAAAGAATATCAGATCAAAAAGTTTTAATACATCATAAACTGAAATCGATGAATAGTTTATTAATCAAAAAGTTTATGATGAAATGAATGAATCATTACAAAAATTTGAAATTACATTAAAAGAAAGATATTAGCATTTGAAAAGATGAAATATTTTTCCTTAATTTTTATTTATTGCTTATTCTTTGACATTATTATTTTTAAATTATGTATTTTTGACAATCTTTTTTTTTTATAAAAAATCTACAAATAAATCTTAATTTTTATAGAATCCTTGTTCATTTCATAAAAAGTTGTTTTCAATTTTTAGTTAAATTTAATGATGATTTAAAAAAAAAAAATTTTTGATATTTATGATGAATATTTTTTATATTAATATTTAGTTTACATGTATATTTAAAAGGTTGTTTCTATTGTAAATATATATTTATAACAACTATAAAAAAATTCAAATAAGCTGGATTTTTAGAAATGATTCTATCATATAAAAAGAGTTCAATTTATTAATAAAATAAACTCATATAAAAATTATGGGAGGCTGTGAGTTTAAATTTCGAGGATCCTGTGATGATACTTGTATAGATATGCTATTAATATTTATAGAAATGTCTCTATAGAATTTTGAATTAATATCTGTTATTGGTTAAGGAGGGTTTGGAAAAGTATATAAAGCAAGACTATAAAAGACTAGAAATTTAATAGTTGCTTTAAAAGTTATGTCTAAAGTGAGGTATTAAATCATTTAAAAAAAATAAGAGTTATATAAAAAAAGAGTGTGAGCTCAGTCATGAATGAATTATAAATATTGTCAACATTAAAACACGAGTAATATTTTGTAATTAATTTATCATAGTTTTATCATTAATATAGTGAGAGCATTTTAAGATCGTAATCAATTGTATTTAGCAATGGATTTTTTAGCAGGAGGAGATTTAAGATTTCATATTTGCAAACATAGATAGTTTTCAGAACCAATTACAAAGCATATAGCAGCTTGTATTATAATTGGATTAGATTACATTCATTCTAATGGAATTATACATAGAGATATTAAACCTGAAAATCTAGTTTTTGATAGTGAAGGGTTTCTAAGGATAACAGATTTTGGAATTGCAAGAATTTGGAAACCTTAAAATAGTCATGAAACTAGTGGCACTCCAGGATATATGGCACCTGAAGTAATGTGTAGATAAAATCATGGTATTGCTGTAGATTATTTTGCACTTGGAATTATAATGCATGAATGCATAGTAATTTTATATATTGATTAATTAAGTTAGGTAAAAGACCTTATAATGGTAAAAGCAGATAAGAAATCAGAGATTAAATTATAGCAAAGTAGGTTATTCTAACAGATATTCCATAAGGTTGGAGTGAGGATGCTATTAATTTTACTAATTCACTTATTTATAGAAAACCTACTATTAGATTAGGATGTAATGGACCTGAAGAAGTCAAAACTCATCCATGGTTAAAAGATATCAATTGGAATTCTTATGAAAAAAAGTTGATTTCTTCTCCATTCATTCCAGATATAAAATTAGAGAATTATATAAAGTCAAATAGATTAGAATCTTTAGAAGATTAATCAATTCTTCATTCAGAACAAATTTAATGTAATTCATTTATTTTATTATTTTAAGAATAATTTTTTGGTTATGAGTATCTACCTTAAATTAATGGACAAATATCCTTATTGTCAGCTATTGTATCTCCGAAAACTTCTAACATAAGAGCTCAACTTACGGAATCATGATTTCTATTATTAACTATTTATTTATCTATTGTATTATAAATTATTATTATCCAAACCAAATTTATCAATATATATTAATTAAACAAATAAACTAAAATGGATGCGAGCTTAAAAAAAATAACATAATTTACAGAGTTTTTAATCATCGAAGTCAACAGTTTTTCACAAATCGATCAGTACCATTCATTTTGAGATTGTTTTATCTAGTCCGTTTTCTTAATTTTATTTATTTATACAAAAACGATATCAATGTTTAATAATTTAATAAAATTGATTAATTTAATCTTTTCAAAAAAAACCAAATAGTTTTAGTTCAAAGAAATTATCCAAAAGGAAATAGCTTATTTTGATTTGTTTTTATGTTTTGCAAATACTAACTTTATTATTCTGGTAAATTATTAATAAAGCAAAATAATATAAGTAAATTTTAATAAGCCAACTAAAGTTTGTTTGAAACAATGAAATAAAAAAGTAATAATTTTAGATAAATGCATGAGTTCTTTCAAATCTTATTTATTTTATGTGAAAATTTCAAATTATTGGTATTCAATATATGCATATGTTTAATTCATGTATATAAGTCATTTAGCCTAACAATTACTTATTTTAGAAATTCATTTTGTTTTTAAACACTTTGTTTTTTTTTGATTGAATAATCTATTTTCGTTTATAATTCAACACATTCGTTTTCAATTTTTCTTATTCTATCTTCTAATTTTCTAATATCGTATTCCATTAAATTTATTATTATTAATTATTTGAGAGATATTTAAAATATTATCAAAAAAATAATTAATAAAATAATAATCGTAAATTGGATTATAGAATTCTAATAACAATATTTAACAATTTAATACAAAATGAAGGAGTTATGTTTGATTAAATAAACAAAGAGAAAGTTTAGACTTTAAAAAAGGGATATCACAAATTTTTAGTCTTCAATTTCTCAAAAACTCTATTCTAATCTTCAATATTCCTCTATTGTTCTTTTTTATCCAATATTTTGTAAATTACTTCAGCTATAAGATTTAGGATAATATTGATAATTTGAGAGTCTTATAAATTAAGAGCATTATTTTCCATTAGTATTCATCTCTTTAATCTTAATTCTATTCTTTCTCATGTTCATTGCTTTTGATTTAAAAGTAACACTTAAAAAATCATTTAAAATATATAATTTATTTTATATTTTATATTAAGAATATCACAGTAATTATAAATTATTCATTCAAAACTGAAAGTTTAGCTTATATTATTAAAAATTTAAATTAAGATGAATCAAATATTTTTAATTGAAAATTATTTTGATAATGCTACATTATATGTTTTTCAATAAATTAAAAAGTTATCTAACACTTTTTTAAATAAATTTTATGATTGATGATTAGATGCCTTTTAAGAAATAATTTATTATGTAAATAAGCTTAAAAGGAAATGTAGAAATGTGTAATTTTTCCAATCTAATTGATCAAAAAACGATTGCCAAGAATTAAGTATAAATATGTTCTTTTAAAATTACTGTCGCATTTGATGCTGGAATAACTCATTAAACAATTTAATCAAAGTATTAAATGTTAAAGCCGTACCTTCCAATATAATAAAAAATTTATCGGAATTTCAGTTTTTTTTTTAATGCATATATAAAAAATGGAAATTTGGCTTAGTGCACTCTTTTATGAGAAAAAGATGTTTTTAAGTTAGTTTGGATGAATTATAATTTAGATAAAAACTCTATCAAGTTAATGGTAACTATCAAAATTGACTTTTGAGAAATTAATCCATTTTTGTAATGAATTAAGAGAGCATGCCACAAATTATTGGACAACTGTAGGAATTAGGTATCATGTTGATTAAGTCTTAATGATTAAGTAATTGGTTATTTTGATAAGTTACATCAAGTTAGTTCTCAGTTTTTTACTCAATATCATTTTCTGTGTATTCTCTTAAATATATATATATATATGTGTTACATTCCCAGTAATTCTTCCCATCTATATCTTAAGTTCTTGTAATATCTATTTTTAAGCATATTAATCGTTCTTCTAGGAAATTACTTTACTATTTTAGAAAATTATCTTCCATGTTAATGTAGTAAGTTTAAGAGTTTTATATCTTCCTCATAATGAAATTCTTTAACTCTTTTATTTTTTTTTTTGTATTAGACCTTCCTTAATATATTTTTAGAAAAATTGGCTTTTTATTGTCCTTATTTTATTGGAGCCTTAAAACACTCTACAAAAGCACTAACATCATCTTAAAAGTTAGGATTCAAAAGATTCATTTAATCTTTTTATGTGCTGTAATTATAAAAAGCTAACTAATATTTATTCAAATTACCTTATTCTTATGATTCTTCTTCACTCTTAATTGATTATAAAGTGATACTTTCCTTATTTTCATCATTACTTCCATCATATTATGAATTTTAATTCGACATAAATTATATTTTGAGAAGATATTTTAAATATTTATTTGATTTGTATAAATACAGCCTTTTATTTTTAAGTATTAAAATTAATTGAAATAGCTCGTTTTTTCGGATAAATTTATTAACGATTTAGTATTTCAATACCTAAAGTATCCTAGATATTATTATATCTCTTTTTGTGTATAATTTAAATAAATAAATTATTTGCTTTAATATTCAAAACAAATTGTTTAGGTTAAATTAAAATTATATTAATAAATTTATAAATATAAGATGAATTCCATTGCCTAAATAGTATTTATGAATTTTAACATAAATTAATTTAGAGATTAGATAATTAGTTTAATTTAGAATTACAAAAAATTTGATATTATAAATTTAATATAAATTGAAACATTATAGATGAAAATGAAATATTTTAATAATCATTATTATTAAAGATCACCATCTAAATATTACATAATTTCTAATAGAGATTTGGATAGATTATCAACTAGAATATCTTCAATTTCGTATTTTTCTTTACTATCCATAATTGACTTCCAATTTTCAGGAATGTTAGGATTATTTGTAATTTATTCTAAAAGTTAGATTTCTCTTTGATTTAATTTATTTTTTTTTTTAATCTAAAATTAAACTATGGAAAAATAAGAATTTAACCATTATATCCATGGAATATTATTGAGTTCATGACTAGAATATTAATTCCCATAAGCATATTATTATAATATATCATATCCATGAGGATCCATGTCTCCAAAATAATAAACAGGTATGGAAGGATTCATCATTGATAAATATTTAACAAAATATTTAGTTGCATAACAAGGATATCCTTTGCCAGTAATCAAAACTGTATTTTATAAAAATTCTTGATGCATTTCATTTATCAAATGAAAATATACAGTTTCTTTTTCAACTAACAATATCCATTTGCCATAAATTTAAGGCTGCCATTCGTTCATAAATTCAGTAATATTCAATCCTTTTCCTTATGATGTTAATTATAATAAGTCTAATTTAATATCTTATTTTCTTAATATTAAAGAACCACAAACTAATCCTTTTGAAGCTGATATTATATGCAATTATTTTCTTTAAATCTAAACATTATGTGAAAATTATTTTATAACTAAATTTAAGTTCTCTTATTTTTAAAATATATTTTGATTCATATAAAAGATTTCTCTCTTTGTATGATAAGAATCTTTTAAAATTCCATCTAAAGATTCTCTCATTACAATTAAATAATGACATAAATCTTTTAAACTCTAAAATTTTAGTTCTTATGAAGCTTATTTATTTATGATCATTTCTAGAATTGAGTCTAAATGTTGTTTAAATACATCAATTATTTCAGATGGTTCTTTAATACTTTTTTAAATTTTGTCCATTTCTTCATTGAATAATGCTATATTCATTTTTATAATTATTTAGTATTAAGATTATTGATAAATTATAATCTAATTGGTATACTAATACCTAATATTAATATTTTTATATATATTATGAACTCAAGTTCATTATCTACTACTGCATCATTTACAAAAATGAAATAGATGTTAACATAAACTGGATTTGGTGATGAAAAAAAAGAATTACTAAAAATAAAGTCTGAATGGAGATCTTTATAAAATAATGAAATGTTTTAAGATTTTGTTTTTCTTCGAGAAGCCTCTTAAACTAGTTTGGCAATTGAAAAATTTGAAAAAGAGAGAAGAAACAGGAAAGATAGTATTTTACTACCCTTTTTGAAATAATAATAATAAAAAAATATGGAAAAAGCCAGAAAATTTACAATAATTGGATCTTTATCATAATTAAGTGATTTTACACCATCTGTTACTTTTATAAATAAGAACCATTTTGAAGAAATTTATTCTATTCTATCAACCTTAATTAAGTCTGTTTTAATATAATAATTAGAAAACTTATTACCCAATTTAGAAAAACTTGTTAATGCATGTAAATAATGTGGCATTGTTAGTTTTTATTTCATTGCAATATATTTTTAAACATAAATACAATTTGTATATTGTCGTAGAAAAGAAGGTTATAATATTTGGAAAAAGTTTTTGAGAACTTGTAATTTGTAAGGGAAGAAACTTTAAAAATATAAACTTTTAGCATATAGACAATTGGCAAGATGCGCTTTAGATTTAGGTGATTTGGATAAAGAAGTTATTTATCTTAAGAAATTATTAAAACTATCTTGGGTTGTTAATGATAGAAATTATGAATTGCTTTGTTATGATATGATTGCCATTAATTTTTATTATAGAGGAGATGTTGATAGAGCTTAATTCTTCCATTCAAAATTTGTTTCAGGAGAATTTGAAGCAACAGAATCTCATATAAGAATTACAGGAGTTTCTTCTTATTTAAATACATAAAAATTAAAGGCATAATTAAATGATTAAGATTCTTTTAGTATTGATGATATGGATTTAGATATTATTATTTAAAAAGATAATATTCTTAAATGGTAAAAAGGATTACCTGTATTTGATAGAAGACATATCTCATAACATCGAGTATTTATTAATTAATGGAGTTGTAATCGAGATTTAACTGTTCATTTAATCAATAGAGAAAAATAGAAACATAAATCTGAAGAAAATGATATAGGATTTGTTCCTCTAAATCAAAATATAAAAAGACTGCTTAAATTATTTTAATTTGATCTCAAATATTTTATACAAAATGGGCATCTTTATGATTTTTGATCACAATTTATTTGATAATTGAATATCTATATTACTACAAATTTTATAATTAAATTATTTTTCAATCTAAAACATTATTAAGTATCACTAAAATTTCTAAAATACTTAGAAATAAGAAATAATCTTACAATATTAATTAATATTATTAATTTATCTTTTATTCATTGAGGGATTACTTTATGAATCATTCATATTTTTTCAAATATAGATTTAAAAAACAATTACAATAAGTTCTGTTAAAAGTTTCTTTGATAAATTTGAGTTTAATTTTTGTTTATAACTTAATATATCACTAGGGAGTAGAAAATAATATATGAAAAATGTGAAAAAAATGAAAAAAAAAGCATAGGAATAAGAAATTATAAATAAACAATAATCTTGTAGCATCATATTTAAAAATAATTTTTAAATAATAATAAAATGAAGTACGTTGCTGCCTATGCCTTGCTCGTTTAAGGAGGAAACAATCAACCAAGTATTATTGCATATCTATCAATTAGCTGAGGCTTAAGTTACTTAATTGCTCAAAGAGGCTGGAGTTGAACCAGTTGCTGCAGATGTCAAATAAGTTGTCGATGCATTAAAAGGAAAGAGCTTGGATGATGTTATTAAAGAAGGATCAAAGTAACTCACAAGCTTGTCAGTCGGAGGAGGAGCTTGTAATACTAATTTCTAAATATTTAGCATAAAGCTCAGCCCCAGTTGCCTAAGCAACACCAGCTGCCTAAACAGCTTAAGCACCAAAAGTTGAAGCCCCTAAGAAAGTTGAAGAACCCGAAGAAGATGTTGATATGGGAGGACTCTTTGATTGAGCATTTATTAAGTTTCATATAGTACAATAATAAATCATTAATAATAATCAAAATTAATTATTTTCAATCTAATACTTTATAATTGGCATCTGTAGTTGAAAAAAGAATATATAATTATTCTGAAATAGTATTACCTAATTTCTTTGATGTTTATTGAACAATTCCTTAAACAACTTCAATTTCACTAAGTAAATGAGGTCTCTTTTCAATATCTGTATTTTTATAGGCATTGATTAATGATTTGATTGAAGGATATTTTAATACTATAGCTCTGGCTTTTGCTTCACTAATTCCTGGAATCTAGGTTAACATAGATAACCAATAGAGTTCATAAGTATTAGTAATTCCAGCATTTTCTGCCTTAAATAAATTTTGATCACCTCTATCTCTAAATAAACATGGTATTTTATTTTATTTTTTTTTCCAATAAACGCCGCATAATAAGCATTAAGCAATTTCTTCAATAGTTTATTTAAGAGATTTAGTATTTATCACATCTACTTTGTTATTTAATTAGAGATCTAATACAAATTAATCAAATTCTTTTTAGTATTGATCAAATTGATTTTATGCATAAATTAATTCCTTAATCTCCTCTAAAATTATTACAGTTTTGCAATCATTTTCTTTAAGAGTAACTACCAAATCAAAAATATTCTGTAAACTTTAAAATTATTCTTTACACAAAACAATTAAACATAAAAAAGGTGCTCTTTAACAATTTTATTAAAAAACTCTAGAGGACTCTAAGTTTTTATTTTTTGAGTATTTTTCAATAATTTAAGATATATTTTACTTTGACCTACCTTTATTAATTGTTTCATTTATATATATTTTAAATTTATTAGGGTAATTATAATTTTCAGATCCTTTTGGACAACATTCTTATTCACATTACTCATAAAATGATTTCACAGTTTTATTTGCATCTTAAATATTGTCATCAAATAAGATATTAAGATCATTAAATTGGTTTTTTTCAATTAATTCTGAAATCATAATCAAAATGTAGTTCAATTTTAAAATTAAAATTTTTTATATTGTCAAAACAATATAAATTATGAAAAATAATTATTTTTAGGATTTGGTATATATTTTATTTTTATTTTGAAATATATATAGTAATCTATAAGACATTAATTTAGAAAGTTATTGAGCAAAGTAATTAAAATATCATCTGTTAAAGTCATAGGAAAGGTTAAAATGCATGATTTAAGGATGTTAATAATAGTTTAATAAACATTAATTTGTCTGATTAAAGTTATTAATTGTGGAAAACAGAGGGAAAAATGTATATTTAAATAGAAGCATTTTTAATTAAGATATAAATTTATATAAATCTTTTTTCATCAAATGAGCAGCGCATTATTAGACGATATTCCAGATTTTAAAGAAGAATAACAACCAATAAAAGACAAAGAAACAGAGTAAGAGCAAATATTGAGAATCCTAGAAAATATGGCAATTACAATGTCTCTCAATTTAAAAACTTTGGACTTAAAGAGGAGCTCTTAAGAGCAGTAAAAGAAGCAGGATTTGAACATCCAACAAGAGGTATAAAATAAAATAATATAAATAGTCCAAGCTGAGTCATTAACAAATGCTTTGTTAGGGGAATAATTGATCTGCTAAGCAAAGGCTGGTACTGGAAAGACTGCTGTATTCGTGCTTACAGTGTTAAATACTATAAATACAGATAGTAATAAAGTTGAATGCCTTGTAATTACACATACAAGAGAACTAGCCCAATAAGTATATATATTTAATATTTTATATAATAGGCTCGAGATGAATTTTTGAGATTGGGAAAGTTTATGAAAAGCGTAAAGGTGGAATGTTTCTATGGTGGAGGTGAACCTGTATCTGTGAATATCTAAACTATTGAAACAGTGAAACCATAAATAGTAGTAGGGTATAATTAATTTTTTAATATTTAGTACACCCGGACGTCTTAAGGATTTGATTTGTGAGAGGAAAGCATTGAAAGTAGATAGATTGAAGTACTTTATCTTGGATGAAGCCGATACAATGATTGAAGATTTGAACATGAGGTGTTGATTTTTGGAAATAATTATTTTTAGAAAGGACATTTAGGACATCTTCTTAAAGTCACCATAGGAGAAATAATTTATGGCATTTAGTGCAACATTTACAGAATCAAGTAGAACATCTTTAAAAAGATTTATTGCTGACAATAAACATGTAATATTTCATAATTAATTTATTTATTTAGATTTATGAAATTACTATTAAACCAGAATAACTCTTTTTAGACAAATTAAAGCAATATTATATGAAAGTTCCAGAAGGACTTAAATTTCATTATTTAAGATAAATATTAAATACATGCAAATTAAATTAATGCATTATTTTTGTTAAGAGTGCAGAGAAAGCTGATGCTTTGGTTACAGAACTCAAAAAGAAAGGAGAAGAGTCTGTTAGATAACTCTATGGAGGTAATAGACTAGGTCCTGATCATTAAAAAATGAGATAAAAAACTTATGAATAGTTTAGAAATGGACATTTTAGATTGTTAATTGCTACTAATTTAATGGGAAGAGGTATTGATATTGATAAAGTTAATTATGTTATCAATTTTGATATGCCTGATTCTTTAGAAACCTATTTACATAGAGTAAGAATCTCAAATTTAGAATATTAGGTAGGAAGAGCAGGAAGATAAGAAACTAATGGAGTAGCCATTTCATTCGTTAAATCAGAAGAAGAAAGTGGAGATGCTAAAAAATAAACTGATGAAGAAGTAAATTATTAATCTTAATTATTAGGTTTTATAACAAATCCTTAAATAATATCCTGATAAAGTATAATAGTTGCCTTAAGATTTGTCTACATTGGATAAATTCTGATAATGATAGTATTAAATAATATAAAAAAATAGTAAATTCATCTTCAATTTCACTATCTTTCAAAAATTAAAAAAACTCTAAAATTATCACTAGAAATCAATCAAATCTTTTAAGTTCTTTAGATAGGAATATTATTTTTAGGTAATTCCTAATGATTTTAAATTTTAATATAGGATCTTATTTTAGTTTGCACTAAATGGTAGGAAATATTTAAAAGAAATCATTTGTTCACTTATAATATATAAAAGTGATAAAGTTCCAAATTAACCAAAGTTTTTGAAATTAATATAATGTTTTCTTTTTAGTTATTAAGATAAGTTTTAATCGTTAAATAATTTAAATGGACACACTTTTTTCTATGTTTGATTCATTCATAAGATCAAATTTGTCTTATTATCCAATGAATTAGCAAGGATATATAATGGAATGTTGGGAATAATTTTTGAGTTTGTTGTAAACTTAACCATTAGATTATGGGAAAATATATTCACTAATAAATCAAATGCATGAGATAGATTAGCATGAACGATAGAGTTCTACTTAAAGATAAGCAGCAAGAAATCTTACAGCAGCATCATCTCCGAGAATAATTTCTTCATAATAAAAAAATTGTATGTAATAGCAGTTAAATTTAGCTAATAATTTATTATAGAAATTTTCATAGTTGGAGAATGCAGCAAGTCCAAAAATCTAGCTTTCGAATCTTACTAGTTAATAATCTTTAGTAAATAAATAGAAAGTAAAACTATATGTATGAGAAATTCAATAATTTAGACTGAAGATTTCAATCGACATTTATTATTAAGCAAAATAAAAGAATTAATGTTTAATTATTCAGTATCTACAGATAAATTATATGCAATGGCAAGAATACAATAGCATAGTTAATCAAAATCACCATTAAAATATGCCCCGACAAAAACTAGAGGAAATAATCATTCAGCTGAGCATTACAGAGCTTGATTTATTTTTAATTTATTTTTTTTGTTGTTTTAATATAATGGGTATTTGTTAATGCATTGCCAAGAGTACTTAAACTCCTTCTGCTTTATCTTTAGGTATTATTTAGATCGATAAGAATTTACATCCTACAAAGATGCCTACGAAGGAAATGGAGGAAATTTAAAAGATTATAGATTAGAAGATCCTCCATTAGGATAAGGTAGAGTAATTATAAAATTTAGGTGCATTTGGTACAGTATGGAAAGCTATTCATATAACTAGTGGCTAATGCAGAGCCATAAAGTAAATAAATAAATTAAAAGCAAATGAGGATGAATTTGAATAGATAATCAATGAAGTTAACATATTAAAATCTTTAGTATTAAAATAAGAGATATGATAGGATCATCCAAATATAATTAAAATATTTGATTATTTTGAAGAAAATGATCATCTCTACATAGTTACAGAATTATGTACTGGAGGAGAATTATTTGATAAAATAATAAAATCTAATTATTTTTCAGAAAAAGATGCCGCACTTGCAATGAAGTAAATTCTATCAGCATTAAATTATTGTCATTAATCAAAGATAGTTCATAGAGATATAAAGCCAGAAAATTTATTATATGATCATGAAGGTGATGATAGTTAATTAAAAATAATTGATTTTGGTACATCATAAAAATATGGCAATTAAAAGTTGGAAGAAAAGATTGGGACTGTACTAAACTAAGTTAAATTCAATTTTAGGTATATTATATGGCACCAGAATTGATCGATGAAAGATATGATGAAAAATGTGATATATGGTCTGCAGGCGTTGTTTTATTCATTTTATTATGTGGTTCACCCCCATTTGATGGAGAAACAGATGAATAAATAATAAAAAGAATATAATAAGGAAATATATATTTTGAATAGTAATAATGGAAATCTGTTTCAAATGAAGCTAAAGATTTGATAATGTAATTGTTAAATAAGAATCCAGAAAAAAGATTATCAGCAAACAAAGCATTGATGCATCCTTGGATATAAAAATATACATCAGAAGAATTAAAAGCACCTGAATTAAAAAATGTATTGAACAATATGAAACATTTTAGAGTAAATTTATATAAATTATTTATAGACTACTTAAAAAGTATAAGAAGCAGCTTTTCTTTATATTGTAAAGTAGTTCATTTCTAAAGAGGAAAAATAAGAATTGTAAAAGTTCTTTAAATTTCTTGATAAAAATGGAGATGGAGTACTTACAAAATAAGAGTTATTAGAAGGGTATAAGAAAATAGTAGGTTAATCAGAAGCAGAATTATAGGTTGATTAAATAATGAAATAAGTGGATAAGAATGAATCTGGTTTAATAGATTATTCGGAATTTGTTGCAGCAACTATTAATAAACAAAAATTATTATAATAAGATATTTTAGAATAAGCATTTAAAGCAATAGATAATGATAATAATGGAGCAATTACAGTTGAGGAATTAAAGCATATGTTTGGTGCAGGAAACAAGATTCCATCTGAAGCATGGATAAAATTAATGGAAGACGTAGATAAGAATGGAGATGGAGTATTATCTTTGTAAGAATTCAAAGAGATGATGTTAAAACTTTAAATTGATTGAGTTACTATTTTATTGTTATTATGTATCATTCAAGGTTTGTATCACCGGCAGCAATTCTTAAAGCAATATATTCTTTAAGATCTCTCATGTTGGTATTCAAAACACCAATCAAATCACTAACTGTCTATCTATCACCATCTCTAGCAGATCTTCTTTATTAGTAATCATAAGCAGCTTCTTAACATTCTCCTCTTCTATCATCTCTTTATTATGTCTTAGCTTAAATTCTTTAAAGGACATCATTTTAACTTGAGGTAGTAGCATCAATTCTATCTTAGAGTGATTAAATTTCAGCGGTTAAATTAGCAATTGATGAATTGTATTTGTTCATATCTTTGTTTAATAAACTCATATATGCTTAGAATGCTCTAGTTCTGTCATCTTCAGCTTTTCTGGCTAAATCAAAAGCTTAACTTAATTAATTTTAAAGATCATCTATTAATTTAATAACTCTGCCTGTTAATTCTTAGTTAGCAAATTATTGAGTTCTGTTTGCAAGATTAGCTAATAATTTTATGGCTTTTCCAAATGTTCTAACATGTTTCATTGTGCTGGCTTTATGTGCACCTTAACTCATATGACTAGCAACTTAAGCCATAATTTATGGTGTTACATGAACCTTTTCTTCACCTTTTTATAAGAAAGATGGGGCTTATAAATTATCTGTGAAGAGTCTTCTTGCTTCAGCCAATACTGATGAAACAAATGTATATTCTTATCTTTAAGCTTCAAAATCATCAGCTTATTCTTATCTCTTAGCTGTTGTTTCATCTATAACTTTTTATAATTCAGCCTTTTAGAGTTCTTTTGCCTTCTTTTATCCAATCTTTTAATCTCTAATTGGAACTAGATCATCAAGAACAGCTTATAATTCTGTATTTCTTTATTCAAGATTGGCAAGTTCTTAGTTCAAGGCAGCCAAATCTGCATCACATACTTATTAGAAAGCTTAGTTATTGGCATCATCTTCTTTTTAGTCAGCGATGTATCTATCTTCCAAATCATAAAGGGTTTAGAAAATTCTTTCCAATGGTTCACCAGTTGTCATTTGAATAGCAATAGTGTTTAAAAGTGTTCTACCCAAATCGCTTTTTTCAATTCTATCGAATAAAGCTGTGTTTGTGGCGAAAGCACAGGCTACTAAGACTAGAAGCAATGTTGTTTTCATTTATTTAATTTATGAAAAGAACAAATGATAAAAACGGTATATATAAAATAAATAAATAAATAAATATTATTGTATAATTTTATGTATTATTGATTAATAATTTCAGCAAAATGAATCTTCCCAAGTGTTTGATCCTGCTCCACTAAACATATCTATTTTCCAGTAAGTAAATAATCCAAAAGAGTCAGCCCACCAAAGAGTTACAAACATTGGTAAGAATTATCTGCTAGCATAATTTCTTAACATTCCTGGGAAATAGTTATTGAAATTTCTGGCATACCTGTGTTTAGATTATAAGATCGAAATACCAAATATGAGTAGCAGCCTTTCTATAATTTCCCTCATAAGGACAAACTCCTTTAGGTTTTGGCCATAAATCTACCATTTCTTAAGTTACTTAAGATAGGGAGTAACTAGCTATAATTGCCAAGTATGTAGATAAGAAACAATTTAAGACCTTAACGGGGAAATATGGGATTTCTGAAACTCTTGTAAGGACGGAAAGCTATAAATGTAAATAAATAATAATTTACTTTATCCTTCATCCAATCAAAAGAGTACAATAGAGTTAATGTTTATAAAAAGTTTCTAGCGAAGAGAGGGAATGAATTTTTATAGAAATAGTATGGTCCTTCTTCAAAAGGAATTCTCCATAAAGCATTGAAAAATGAAGTATATCCTTTTTATAATTCTTTAGGGAATGTTTTATCAGCATAATATGCCATTCTAGCAACTTCAAATGGAATTCCAATAGGAGCAGTAACAAGAGCCATGAACATAGAACCAGGAATTTTTCTCATGAAACCATATTCAAATGTACCCCAAGTTCCTTAATTAAATATTTAATATTAATACTTTGCCATCCATGATTGATTGCTCTAAATGTTGCTAATCTCAAAGCCCAATCAATACCACCTGAGGCAAAAGCAAACTACATTCTAGTACCCATTGATCTTTTGAAATTCTCAAGATTAATAGTTGCTTTACTAAAATTATACAATTCTTTCATATTATTTGGTTATTCATATGATCGTAACCTTATATATAGTGTAATATGTTACAATAGTTTCCAATTTTCATAGAAATTATGCCATGTTTCACCAATAACACTTCCTAATAATCCAGATATTGCACCTCTTGTATAATTCCATCTCCATGAACTAATTAATTTAGTCAGTTAATTTACTTTTCTGGAGCATCTGTCCATACACCAGCATTATAACAATCAAAATATAAGGAGTGTCTTCTTCTGATATCGTCTAACTCAAAAAACATGATAAATTAATTATTGAATTAGATATTTTGGTTTTATATATATTATGTGTATGCTATATTTTTCAAATGAACACTTTCTTGTGCATGGAATGAGCTACTTGATATTTCTAATAACAATTATAAACTCTATTCCATTCTAATTCTTCTTTAATTCTCCATCCTAACCATGCTACAATTCCACCTGGTACTGCAGCCCAAAATAGTCTCTATTTAATTGGTAAACCTTTTATTATAGGGAAGAAAAAGAATGAGAATGAATAGACTGCTCCTCCTACTTAACCTAATCTTTCAAATCTTGATGCATCTCTATTATTAATTAGAATAAAATTAATACGCTTCAGCATGGAATACTTATTCTGTCAATTTCAAAGGAACATGTCTATCATATTTCAAGAATTATTTCACTTCTTCTTTCTCTTTTGCAGTGACTGTTTTTTCAAAAAGACCAAAGTGTTCAGGTTGATCGTATATCATAATAAAATAAATAATTAAATCTTCTCTATTTATATATATGTATATTATTCTAAAAAATCAGGGACCTAAGTTTATTTTGTATTTCAAGTATTCAAATATAGCAGGTGAATACAATAACTTAATTGATTTTTGAATAATATCTAATTCATTATTTATTTGTTTCACCAACTCTTCATGAGTTTATTTGCTTATCAATAATGATTGTTCTTCCAATTTAACACGTTCCCCATATAAATCTATATCTGCTTAATGGATTTTTATTATATTTTCACAATCAGCAATAAATGATTAAATATCATCTCTTTCTTCTAATAAATCATTCCATTCTCTCTCGAAAACATTTGTCTCTCCATCTTAAGCACTATCCCATTAAGAAAATGCTCTATCTTATTCTTTTTCATCATTTATTAATTTATTTTATGAATCAACCAAAGATTTTCTAAGCTTATTTAATAAATCCAAAACTGATTTTATAAAATGTCTCTATTTAAAATTTGAATCTGTTAATTAAACCAAAGTTTCCATCATACTTTCAAAACCTTTCAATCCCTCTACCTACCATTAAATTCAATAATTACTCTTCCTTTAATACTTCTTAATCTTCTGTTCAAATCTTTTGATTCTTCTTTGCTTAATTAAATTTTATCCATCTCAATAAAACTACAATCAGGTCTAGGTAATAAAGATCCTACCATTTTTAATGCATCATCAGATATCTTTATTAAATCTCCAATATCTCTTTTAGATTTCTCAAAATTCTCATATTATTATTTACGTAAAGCCTCTTACATTTTCAGTCTAGATTCATTTTGTTATTTGGAATCCTTCAATCTTAATAATTATTTTTCAATATCACTCTAAAAGTTACAAAATAAATTTACCTTTCTTGGCTCAAAATCTTATCCAATTCTTTTTCTCTATTTATTTTATTCGTTTTCAGCATCTGAGATTATTTATTTTAATTATTGAACTTTTACAATACTTTCTGCTTTTATAGCCTCGTAATCGAGGTTCTCTTATTCCACTCTTTCCTTTATATTATTCTTAAAAATACAATCAACTAACGTCCAAAACTTTTTATTGTTTATATTAATTCATCTACAGGACCTTATAATTTGTAATTTAGCTCAGCCATCTTCAAAATTGCTTAACCTATTTTATGTTATTAAATCTCTTTAATTTATTCCTCAATTACGGAGTTACCACTGTTACCATCATCATAGCGTAAACATGTACAAATTGCAAACAATGTTATCAATAATTTTAATTTCATTATTTAATAAATGAATAAAAAAACGAGTATATTGTTTAATTTATTTTATATAATCATTTTCAATAAAATCAATCTAGAATAGAATCTGATGTGTATAAATAAATTAATTCATGATATTCAAGAAAAATTTACTTGATATTTAGATTCTACTTAGAATTTCAGTAATAAAGAAATCAAAAATTCATTATGGTTTGAAAAAGAAGAAAGAAGGTTAATTGTTAACCTAAATTAAATGATTTGATTTATTTTTGTCTTTTCGAATAAAAGATTAGTAACTTTATATGTAAAAGAATTCAACTCTTTGGAACATAATTTGAAATAAGATAAAAAAAAAGAGATCAAATATATTGGTAAAAGCAAAGAGATGTTGATTAACATTTTGAAGTTAGATTAATATAATAATTTTATTAAAAATGTTATAAAGAATAGTAAGATTTTGCTTCGCTCATGGATCACACAAACCAACAGGCCCAATTTATGCACCATCAGTTTAAGCCAAGATGTAATGTCAAAGCTGTAATGTAGGATCTATATCAATGTTTATAATGATGGTGAATTTGAAAGGATTCCTGCTTATGTTGGTGAAAGTCTTTTATCTGCACTTAGAAGATTTAATGTAACAAATATACCAGGTATAATTGCTTATAAATACAACAGGTGATTGTGAGGGAGGAGAATAATTGGATAGCATGTTAGAGAATCCAATTTAGACAAATTCATTCGGTCCTTCATGTGGATCTTGCCACATATTAATTTAATCGCCCTGGATTGAAAAAATTAGAGACCCATTTTATTTAGAAGAATTGGTGATCAATAGATAAGAATATCCAGTTGCTAAACAGTAAAGAATTGTATAGATGTTGTAGTTCCAGATTGGCATGTGCTATTAAATTAGAGAAATGGATGGATGAGATGGAAGTATCTATTCCAATCAATGAAAATTCAGAAAATATGTGATTTTTTTAAAAAAATGATAAATAAATATATAATATATAAAACATAATCAGATAAGTTTTTTTGGTAGTGGTGGTTTTAGGATGTTCAATTCCAAACTTTGGAGTTGAACGGGAAATCTTGATTAAACATTTCTTGAAAATGGCAGTATCTTTTTATTAAAAACTCTTGGCATAAACATACTATGTATAACTTCTAGAGATGATAAATAATAATATTTACTCTCTTAATCAAAACGATAAGCATCTATGCATTCTTATTCTGCCATACTTAATTTTTTAGTAGAACTGTTGCTTTTGTTTTTGGTATCTGGAGGTTTCCTGATGGGAGATTAACTTTATTATTATGATTGTTGTTGTGTATTAAACTGTTGCTTAAAAGAACGAATCATGGAAACGGGTTTTTTAGGAGATTCAAAATGTTATGGTTATGCTTATTTTAATTCAGTTTTGTGATTAGCTGTAGTTGATCTTGATCGAAGGGCAGGTATTTCAAAAGGATTTGATGTTTTTTTTTTATCACTGTAATGATTTTTCTTAAAGAGTTTCTTTTTAAAATGGTTTTTATTTCCAGCTTGAATATAAAGTTGTTCTTATTTATTTGAATCATGATTAAGAACGCTACTATTCAAAGATTTTTAAGAAGATGAAGGTTAGCTATTTTCATTAGTGATTACACGTTAAGAATTTTTAGTAAGGCATTTCTCTTCTGGTTCTTTAGCTTCATTTTCTTGAATTCTCTGAGAATAATGAAATAAATATACTTATAAGATTTTTTCATATCTTAACTATTATTTAACAGGAGGTATATTCTTATTTTCTTTTAATACTTATTGTTCTCTAAACATTTCTTTTATATAATCTTTATCCAATAAATTGGAATTGTTACCCTGTAATTTTTATGATTACTTGATCAAATACCTAAATAATAAGGATATTATATTACGTAGTATCAACATTCATACCTTTAATAGAAACTAATAACATAAGTGTCTTTATTTTTTATAGAATTTATTCTCTAACAGTAAAGGCTCTGTACATTTCTGGTAATGTTAATGGTATAGGATCTGTTTTAGAATTAGTAATCCAAGGATGTTATAAGATTTAATTAGCACTATATCTGTGAATAGGATCTAGAGAAACACATTTTAAGAATAGATGTTTAGCCATAGGATCAAAATCATCTGGGAACTCCCACTTTGGATCTAAGAGTTTCTTTTTATAATCATGAGAATTCTCTCCTGATTTATATAAAGGATGTTTTCCTGTTAACATTTAGTAGAGTATGATTCCACAACTCCAAATATCGATAGGCTTAGAGTAAACTCTTTGACTAAATAACTCTGGAGCCATGTAAATAAGTGTTCCACATTATCCATGTAATACAATTTATCCAGCTGATAATCCAAAATCGACAATCTTTAATGTACTGAAATCGTTAGAGTCTTCAACTAGTATATTCTCTTATCTTAATTCATTTACAGTTACCTCAGGTTTAAGATCTCGATGAACTACTCCATGTTCATGAATAAACTAAACTGCTTTGAATATACTCGTCATAATGATTCTAGCTTCTTGTTATGTATATCTGCGCACTTTCAACGGACCTTATTTTATAAGAGCCATTTCTATTAGTAGTTTATTTTCTGTTTCTCTCACACCCTTAAATTAAACAATATTAGGATGCTTCATCTTTGCTAGTATTTAAGCCTCTGATATTATCTATGCTACTTTATAGTCTTTTTTAGGAAGAATCTAATTTAAACATTTATCTATTATCTTACTTTCACAGCTACATGTTCTCCTTTTCCCTCTTTATGTATAGCTTCAACTACCTTTCCAAAACCCCCAGCTCCTAAGAATTTGATGATTTAATAGTATTATTCAAGTTCTTCCATTTAATTATATAAAAATCAATCATTAAGTTAAGTGATCAAGGCAGCTCCATTCAAAATCCAATAATCAGGGCTCTTTTTACTCGGAAAATCAATCGTTCTAATAAAGTTAGTTGATTATCCTGTTGTTGATAAAACACCACCCCGTAGACCTAAAACTCTTAATTTAATTTTTGTACTAGTTTTATAAATTGGCATTGAATAGTCATTCACATTTGGCTTATAATCTTAACTTGGAATAAAATGAATTATAGGTGCTTAGACTATCAATTATCCTGCTAATTGATCCTCTAAAACTCCTTTATTGAAATCAAATCTACATCCTTCAATAAATAAACCATATATATATGCACCATTTTCAGGTGTTTATGAAATCTAATATTTATTTATGAAATACCATTTCATTATCAATCTAATTTAAAAACTTAAATGTAAATCCAAGCATATCGATTGCCACTTGATTTTTTTTACTAAATGTTTATAGTAATGAAGTTAAAAATCCTTATGGGAAGAAGAAAGCAGATATCCAATAACCTTTAGGATTTCCATTATCCAAATTAAACCAATCTCTAAAGAAATTCACTCTTTTTATCAAGTCATCAAAAAATGAACCTAAAGGTTTGAGACTTAAATATGCTTTATTTATCCAAATCTATGGAACTTCATTATTCAATACTGATCTATAAATTTTTTCAAGCTCAATTGACATTACTAACTCTCCCTTTAGAGCAGCTTATAAATTTTTTATTGAGCTTCCAATCAATTATAATAATTAATTATATCGTTAAACTTCAGAATTTAAGCATATTTTTATGAAATCTACATCCTAAATTGCACCTTAAATAATAACTTAAATTGGCTTCTTTTTCCTTTCTTATTCCTTTATTTAAAATGGAATCTTTTAGTACAAAACTTCACATAATTCCAATACAATTTCATCTGAAGTTTTTATCTTTAAATCTACTTCTCCTTATTAGAAACTATCACCTGATTAAATACTAAGAATAATATCTATTGCTTTTTTAGATTTATTTAACTTTAAGGCAATGTTTGCATTTTCATTCATCCCAAACAATTCAGGTTTATCAATATCAGGATATTTTTTTATCATTTTCCTATAACCATTTATATTCATTTCACGAGGTTATTTGTATATTTCTGATTCAGAAAAATAATAGCCATCAATCAAAGCATCCTCACTAAATTTGATATGGAATTTTATTTACTTGATATATTTGCTTAAAATTGTTAATAAACATCTTTTATCCCAATCATCAGTTACTCTTCCACCATAGGTAATCTCTCCAATTACATATAAAATTGCATCCCATGGTACTTCTTGGTGTAAATCTAAGAAATTTTTTAATACTGCCTAAGAAATTTCCAGATCAGAATCATTAAAACTAAATAAAATAAATATTTACTCATATATTTAATTCCATCCTAAAGAACCAAACTTACGACGTTCTTAAATAATTGCATGGAAGAATGAAAGAGAATAAAGTAATTTCTTCCAAGTTTCTTTCTTTTCACAATTTTCTATTTAATCAGCAGTTAAATCAGTATAAATTTTATTCAAATTCTACTTGAATCCCTTTGGATATTCATTTGTTAATTTTATACTGTTCTAAAGAACACTTACAGGGAAGTAAACACAAGAGAGACTTGTCAAGATTAATCTAAATCCAGGATTGAATTATGATTAAAGTTCAGGATCTTCAAACCATTCAATTTTCCTCTCAAGTGTTCCCATAAAAATTTTACAGAGATGACAATTTTACAATATGACCCATTCACCACTTTTTACACCACTCTCAATGGCTTTTTCAGCTATAATTCCTTAACCCTATCCTAATGATATAATTCTTAATTTTTCTGAAGATATTTTTTTTGAATTTGCAAATTTCATTATATGAGCCAAAGGATCATTTCCTGGACTTAAAATAAATAAGAGAGGAGTTTTATGATCTGTGTCGTTAAATGTGTCTTCAATTGTAGATTAATAGTTTATTGTATATTTTTTACCTAAAATTATTTCAACGTATTTTATCAAAGCATAATACAATTCTTCCTATTTCAATACTTTCATAATCATTAATTTTTAAAATGGTGTTAGTGAATCATTTATTAAGTCCCATGGATTTTCTGATTAAAGCAAATTTTCAATTTCTTTAAAACTATTAAAGTTTGGATTATAAATATGATCAATATTTTAATGAACATTAGTTAATTAATACAATTCATTCCATAATTATGGAGACAGTTTGACTGTGTTTGGCATAGGAGGTGGTTAAACAGTCAAATTTGCTCCTTTTATAAAATAATTCCACTCTTATTATGATATTTCCTTATCGTTTAATTATATTTTAACAGCCATAAAAAATGAGAATATTAATTTATGTTAATTAAATAAGCCTCTACAAATATTTTAATAAATAATTTCAGTAATATTAACTAATAGTGTAGCAATTCTAATTTTTATATCATCATTTTTTTCAGAATTTCTAATTACATTTTAATAAATTTTTTTGAAATAATTTAATGAAAATTAATACATTGGATCTATTTAAGCAAAATCAGCTATAACAAAATATAAAAGACTTCCTCTTGTAGCTACTGGCAAATATTATTTTCTAGCAGCTTCTATTTCTGTAGATTTTTATTCCTATTTAACTAAAGTTTCCTTAACTTAAATTGCATCTTATTTTGATAATTTGAGAGATTCTATTAATTCTAAATTATCTAATATCATTCCCTTAGAATTGGCTAAAAGATTTAATATCTTATCTTCATTCTTTCTTAGATTCATCATTCCTGATGAAATTCCCAATACTAAATCTTTTTTCTCATCTTCCATATCTGGTTTTTCAATTTATACAATATCACCAAGTAATTATTCTTCTAATCCTTTTTGAGTGACTGTAAAATTGATAACTGTTACTCTAATAAATATTTCTGTTAAATATTAAGGATTACAAAGCTTAGTACTAAAAAATAATTTAAAATTAGGATCAAATTCTACTTCTCTATCTCCTATCTTAATAAATTTTTTTCTACTTACAAATTTTATCTGTTTTAATAAAAGTGGCTCTAAACAATTTTCTAATTACTCTTAAACATCTTCAATTAATAAAGGTATTCCAGTTTAAACTGCATTTTCAAGATGTTTTATTAATCCCTCTTAAGTAAGCTTTAATACTTTAAGATTTTAATCTTTATATGTATTTTTGATCCAAGTATTTGCTTAAAATTAAGGGTCAATGAATAAAGGGTAAGATCTACAGTACTTTTAAATTATGCCATTTGATTTTGAGAATGAATCATTAGGTAATCCATTTGTAATCCATTATTTTATTTCTAAAGGATCTCCTAAAACAGCTTCGAAGTTATAATTTTTGTTCATTGGAAATGCTAATTCAGTTGCTCTTAAGATCCAATCTTATAAGAGTTAATTTCTATATATTTCAGAAAAAGCTCCTAGATATGTTACAGTAGAACTTGCCAAAAAAATATCTCCTAAAAGCATTTATATTTCTTCAGTTAAACTTTGAACTTTGGTTTTCCATCTTTCTTATTCATCGGCTAAACCTATTGTTAATTCTTCGGCTCTAATCAATCTTTATTGAATAGTTTAAATATCTTAATCAAGATGATCTTTTTCCTATTTATTTTAATTAAACTATATTTCTAAATCTGTTACTTTTTTTACAACTAGAGCAAGTTCTGATTATTTTTAAGCTAATATTTAATTGCCCATCTCTAATTACTTATTCATAGCTTCAACTTAGGTTTTTTTCTTTTCTATATCATTATTAGTATCTGTAAATTCACTCACTGCTCTAACCCATTCACATATTTATTTAGCTGCACCACTGTATTTTTAAACTATATTAGGAACAAATTCTGGATTACTAATAATTTTAGCTTTTATTTTATTTTATGTGTTCGGTTTAATACGATTTATATCTAAAGCTTTCATTTTTTATAAAAAATTTGGATCGGCAAGCAATTTTTTAATAGAATCCCAATCTAATTTTTCTTCAAATAATATAGCAACACATTCTAAAGTAAAACGAACTATTGGTGATGGATTATTATTGCTTCTAATTTCTGAAATATCATTTTTATTAATTGTATTTAATGCTTCCAAAGCAGCATTTAAAGTAGGTATAGCTTCATTTAAAAATTTCTCAGCTTCTGCCTTAGTTTCTTTAATTTTAGAAGCTTATTCAATAACTTATCTTTCCTCTTCGGATACTAATTATTTAACTCTATTCGCTTCTGTAGAATCAACTTATAACTTTTATAACAATTATTCTTAATCTATAGTCTTTTATTTTAGAATTGGCTACATCTAAGTCAGTTATACTTTTAAACCACTAATTATACTATTAGCTTCTTGTAATTTGTGTAATCCTAAAGATAATTTTTATTTATTAGTTTCTAATTCTTCTTTTTTCATTGTCAATAAACTCTTATAAGATTCAATTAAATCAAGAAATTACTTAGGAGTAGTGTATATTTATTTTTTTTAAGTAGCATAATAAAATTGACATTTTTGGTCTACACTCAAATGAACATGAACAAACATCTAATAGAGATTTTATCTTAAATCTTTTGTTAATTCTTTGAATTCAAATGTTGCCAAAAACATTTATGCAACATTTAAAAATGCCTCTTATGGCCATTTTTGTAGCCACTCTAAATTAGTATAATTTAATAAACTTGGAAATTTTCTTAACCAGACCCTGAATTAATCTCGAATCGGAGATAATCCTAAAACAATGTGTAAATTTGATCTTACTTTCTATACAAAGTAAGAGTAGGCATCATTAATTTTTAGTTCTTTAATTTAAGCTTAGATTCCAGAATTAATAATTTCTAAATCTTCTTTTGTTAACATATTAGGTACTTCTCCTGAATTAAGTAGATTATTAAGATCTTCAAGAAAACTTTCTTAATGTAATTAATTATCTGCAAAATAAAAAGCTATTAATTTATTTTCAATCCCAACTGCACACATAAGTCTAAATAAAAGATCTTTAAACTCTTTTTTCCCATAGTTTTTTTTAGTTGTAAATGTTTCAAATTTGCATCCAGCTAAAGCAGCTCCCAATTGTGTTAATGACTTTTTACCAGAACCTCCAATTCCTATTAACATATAATGTCCTCTCTGTAATCTTAATACTCTACAAATTCTTGTTAAATGTACAATAGCATCCTTAAATAATGCCAAATTCATTTTTGTCTAGCTCAACATGTATTCATTAATATTCTTAACAAATGAATTATAATCTTTAACTTCCTCATAGATACGATCTTATAATTCTACTTTTTTTTAAAAATCTGCAAAAATAAATGGACGTTAAGAATTAAAGAATTCTTAGACCTTATATTCTATTTTAAAATTTATTAATATATTTTTAATTAAATTCTCTTTAAACCAATCTTAATCATTTTAATTGATTAATCTATCCATAAAAACACGACATGTTTCATGTGCCCATAATCTAATAATTTATTCAGATTTCTAATAAATCAATGGTTTAGCCTCTAATATTCCTTGAAAAACTTTACTAACATCTCTTAAATTGAAAATATAATGAGATTTTTCAGGTGTAGGTTTCAAAGTATTTTATATTTCTTGATACATTTATAATGTTGCATAGACAATTGAATAATTATCGCATAAATCATTAATTTCATTCTTAAAATAATTATTTTTAAAGTATGCTTTTAAAATTCTACTAAAAATCCATGATAAGGTTTCATCACTTGAATTAGGTACACTTAAATAAACAAAATGACGAATGAATCTAATACTAAGAGGAGATCGTCCACCACCAGGAGGACCACAGGCACAAATTAAATTAGTATTATCTACATCTTTCCAATTAAATGTTTTTCTATCATAAACTCCTTTATAATCTATAAACTATCTTAATAATTCTATAGGTGATGAAGCTCCATATTATTCTAAAGTTGGCATATTAACATCATCAACAAAAAACACAAATTTTTTACCAGGAGGAGGCATTAATATAGCTCTTCCCTTATTACGTTAAGCCTATAATTTATATTCTATACTTTATTAAGTTACCTAACTAGAGGTTTTTGCTGAAAAGGTCATTTACATTAATGCAATTAAACCTTTATCTCTTAATTTTTAAATAGTTGAATTTATCAAGACTGTTTTCCCTGTACCAGGCATTCCAGTTATAAAAATTGGACAATTAGTATGAATAGCTTATTTTACAAACCAACCATAAGCCACAGTTTCTGGTGTTTAAACAATCATATCAAAATAACTCATATCTTTGATATATTAAAATTAAGGAACTATATCATTCCATTAAATATAATTAATATCAACTAATCCATCTATTTTAGTTATTCTTACTAAACAAGCAAATAAAGATCCTCTAGGCAATATATCAACTGAGAATGTATCATTTACAATACTTTCAAATTTAGAATAATCATCAGAAACTAAAGTTGCACCAACAGACCATGCAAATACCCAAACAAACAGTTTTTCTATGTGCTTTTTAGCTATTTCTTCTCTTAAGTTACAATTTAATTATTAATTATAGTATTGTATAATCATTCTCATAATTTTAATTAATCCAACTGCCATTTATGTTTCATTAATAGGTATTAATTATTTACATTATTTAATAATTAAACCCACACATTTATTAAATTAAGCCTTAATTTAAATTAATAAGTGATCAATTATATCAATACTTAAGATATCAACAAGTGTCATAGCTTCAGTATTTACTATTGGTTCATATCCTAAGACTTTTTGGTCAAAATATACCATTCCACATCTACTTACAGTTGCAGGTGAAGCAAAACTTAAATCTAATACTTCAAATATAATTCTCATTTATGTATTCAATTTTATTCGTTCGCCATTGCTTAAACATAAAGTCATCGAATCATCCAAAACACTGTTTAAATTTTCAATCCACATTGTATCAACAGGCCCATCAAAAACAATCCATTTCTTCTCTTATGTATTTGATTATGCAAATCTTCTCATTATATTAGAAGCTAAACCATCAGTCCATTATTAAGTTATCATATCGAATTATCCATATAATTCTTCAATTGATAAAGCTTTTGGATTTAATATCTAATTTTAAACCTTTTATTCTATCCTTTCATTATCATGATTAGAATCATCATCTTACTATTAATTATCAACATATTATTTATTATAGCATTCTCTTAGTACATTTTAAACTTACGATTTTCCACCCATTGTTACACCTACTAACATTACTCCAAATCTTACTTTCAATGTTTCATCAAATTGAATTATCTTCTTTACAAAATTCTCTTCTTCTTATAATTAATTTAGATCAAGAACATATTTTATAACTGTTTCTAACTCTTCATTTTATTTATTCCCTATTTCTATTCCTGGAAATAGATCATTTACTATTGCATTAAACAGTCTTATATCATTAAATAAAAATTTCGGTAAATTACTTTCACATATTGCTTTAACTAATACGACATCTTCATTAATATTAAAGTCTGCTCTTTTTTATTTACTAGCCATTACTAATAATGACTTAATTGCTCTCAAACCAAAATCATAATGATCTTGTTGACTCAATTATTCTGAACTTAATTGATACAATTTGATAATTTTCCTTGATAAATCTTTGGCATTAGAAAATCCTCCAACAAACAATTCAATTTCAGTTATCAATCTATAATCTGGAATCATCATAGAAATAGGTCTAAAAAGTACTTTCAAATTATCAGGTATTTGAGTTCTACCAGTATAATTTGGATTCATTGTAATAAATATACCCAAATCAGGATTCAATTAGATATTTTTACTAAAGAAATAAAAATTCATTTTATATTCTAGGAGTGCCTCTCTTATAGTTAAGACTTATTGTGCAATAACAGATAATACCTCTTTTGATATTCTATTGAATTCATCTAAGCAAATCCATGCTCCACAATATGCCAATCCTGCAAAAAGTTTTTCCATAATTTTAGGTGTAATTTAATCTGAACAATTAAATACTATAAAGAATCGTCCTAAAGCCTTAGCCAAATCTTTACATGTTTCTGTTTTTCCAGTAGCAGTAGGTCCTTGTAATAGAGCTCCTAATTTAATACCAATAGCTCCTGTGAGAGTTATCCAACATCTATCAGTTAAAGGAGTAACAACTATTCTTGTTGTAGATCCCAAATATTCATATCCATACATTATTTTAACATTTACTTACTTAATTTATACACTTTCTTCATCATGATAAAATCTTAATTATTATTGCCATTTAAAATCTATAATACTTTCTACAGATTCATTTCTCATATTATCCACAATATCTCTAAAATGGACATCTTAAGTTACCAAAGCCACTAAAGTTCTTCTTTATAAATCATTTAAATTAACTTTAAATAATGATGTCAATTCATCAAGCATAGCTACATTAGCATCATACCAATCATCCAAATCACCTTCTGCATTTGCCTATAAATAATTTTCTTCAGTTATTTTAGTCCAAAATATTGAATCAATAGTTATAATAATTTATAAAGGGAATTCAAATATCCAATCTTTTCTTTATGTATCTTCTAATTAATATTTAAATAAAGATTATCTCATCACACCATTTAATGAACTCTTCATTTTATCTTCAAGTCCTTTAAACCAATCTTCTACTTCTCCTCTAGCTGTATATCCTTTAAGAACTGCGATCTCACCTTCAGCAGACACCATTCCTATAGCATTTTCTTATTAATCAAATTAAATCTCAACTAAATTATCAAAGCACTTTTTTAAGTATGGTTAAACTGCTTCAATATTCTTTGCATTTGATAATATATCTAAGAGTTCATCATTTGATAAAAAATAAAATCTTTAAAATGAATCTCTTTTCTTTTCTAAAAATTCATCTAAAGCCTTTTAGATAACTTCAAAATTATTATTATTTTATCTTAATTAATTAAAATATAATCTATTTTAATAATCGTCTGCCCATTTTTTAGCTAAACAACTATCTCTGGCATTTCTCATTAATTTCTTCCACAATATATCAGCTTATTAAAATATTTTGGATTCCTTAACCATATTCTTTGCACTATATGGAGAATTCAAAATAGGTTCTAAATAAAGCCAATTTCTTTAATGTAATATCCATTCATCAAATAATTCTTAAAAATATCTTAATAAAGCTTATTATCTTTCTACCTCTGATTAAATACCTTCAACAAATTATGATGCTAATATATTATTAACAGTTAAAAGAGTATCATCAATTTTAGAAATTAAATCCTCATTATTTCCCAAAATAAATACATCTTTAGATTCTCTATAAGGTTATACAGTTATTATAGCTGATCTCCAAATAGATTCTACTTATTCTAACATTTTAACTAATTCTATTTCTTTTGCTGCTCTTAAGGCAATTTCACTTAACTTATCTTTTATTTAATCTAATCCAATCTGAGTAATCCATTAAATATTATACTTTAAATCATCTAAAGGAGTAAATGGATCTAAAATTGGCTCTTTAAATAATTATTAATTTTCTAAAATTAAAGTTCTAATTTAATTCCATTATTTATCAGATATTGCTGGATCTTTTAATGCTTAAAGTACTTGAGAAACTCCTTTGAAACCTTCAATATCTGACTTAAATACTCTTGCTACTTCATTTTTATCTAATTCTTTTGCACATAAATTAGCAACCTTTTATAATTTTTCAATTGTATTGTTCATTTCATCTAAATTAATTTCAGTAAAATGTTATTTTAACCAAGAAGAGTAATTTTAAATCCATTCGTTTCTCCCACACCATAATCTCTCTAATAATGTAAATTCATGATTAAAAATCTCTAATTTCTCAAATGGTGTATATTCCATATTTAATGCTATTTAATAATCATTTAATTTTTTAGCATGTATTTTTAACTCATCTACTTATTTTCTGATTCCTGTCACAAATGTTATCATATCACTCAAATCTGATGCTAAAGAACTCAATTATTATTCTGATACTCTTTCACTTAAATCTTTTACTGTACTATCTACTTATGGAATCATTCTCTCCATATCTTTTCTAAATTTATTTAAATTTTAATCATAATTAACCATCGCATCATCTACTTTCTTACGCAATTAATTAACTTATTAAATACATTCTCCAAATTTTTATTTATGCTAATCTTGTATCTTAATCTTTAACTCATCCATCAATAAGGCCATTGAAGTGACTTCTTAAGAGGCATTACTCAAATCTTCAAACTAATTATTGATTACATTCACAGCTTCCATATAATTTACAAATTACTCTACAGTGATAGGAGAAACTGCTATTGTAGAATATAATTAAGCAGTTTTATTTGTAAATAGTATTGCTTTTTTATACATATAATCTGGTATAAATCTATATAATTCTAAAATGCAATTCATTGCACTTGATTTAATTTTTGCCTTCAATTTATGATTATCAAATAAAATCATTCCAATTTCTTAAGTGGGTTCCATTTCTTGAAATTAATGATCTTACTTTTTATATCGATTAATCGCATTTCGATATTCATCAACATCTTTATTTTTGAATTAATTTTCAATATTTATTGCTGTATTTTCTACATACCATTTTAAAAATGGTTTTAATTTATTAGCATACTATTCAAGATGATCAAATACCACTTCCAATTCTCTTCTCATTAAACCACATAAATTTTAAAAATTTTCACTCCCTGTAATAATAGACTTAATATCAACTTTTTCAAATTATTAATTACTTTCATCTTATATATATTGTTGTAACTCAGGTAAAGATAACATCTCTTTATGTCTTGTTGTTATACGTATTACACTATTATTAATAACACTTTCAAATATACTAAATAGCTATTCTCTTAAAGTATTGAAAGATATACTTTCTCCTTTACCAACAGCTTCAAAAATTATCCAACATTATGGAGAACCCTTTCCATAATATCCTTTTCTTTTACCACCAGAGGTTTGCCGATATTATTTATTGAAATCTCTGATTTATTTTACAATATGTTCAACTGAATTTTGCATCATTTGTAATTTAGCATCAATTATAACATAATCAAGATATTTTACAAATTTCCTAAGTCTTTTAAAATGAGTTCTTATAGTAGCTTCAGTTGTAAATGGCATCTCTTTTCCAGACTCATCACCTACTAATAGGGTAGCTCTTTCTTCATCATCATCCTCTTATAATGGAATACGATGAGTTTCCTTAAAATTTATTAATGATTTTTAACAACATTCTATTATTATTTGTTATATCTAATTCTCATATGAATCAAATTATTTATCCATATTTGACATAAGATGTTTTTCTTATTTTAATTTAAAATTTTCAAGAGTTTAAGGAATAGTAGTAGATGTGTCTAAAAATCTAATTTCAGATGCCATTTATTAACATTTTCTTTTCACTTCTAATAAAGTAATTCTTAATTATTTATCTGTTGTAAACATATTAGAGACCATCAATTCTTAATTTTTAGCTAATATTTTTTTTCTCATTAATCTTTTCCATAAAAAGAAGTTTTTCCATAATTTGTATTTTCTAAAGAAATCTATCTTTAATAAATCTTAAAAGAGATTAGCTTCTCTTTACCATTCTTCAATAGTTAGAAAAGTGGCTTCTTCATTTTGATAATAAGTAATTCCTCTAGCACTTATAGTCATATATTCTTTAACATTTCGATCTTCAAATTCAACTATTTCATAATCATAAGCATGATCTCTTTTATTTAAATAACAAAACTAATCAGCCATTTCTGGATCTGTTCTAATTAAGTAAATAAAATCTAAAGGAGATAAATAAGATTGTTATTATTATTTCTTTTTTTATTTTTTTAAGATTGATGCATCTTTTTTTTTGTCTTGGAACTAAAATAGATTAATGATAGAGTCATTGACTGAAGAATTAGGATTCTATACATCATCCAAAATACTCATTCCATAATCACTTTATAGTCTATGATCCAGAGGAGATAAATTCTTAGGTTTTTTAAAGTGATCTTGAGCAAAAGAAGTATCATTTCTTATGTCTTGAGTTAGTAATGACAACAAATACTTTTGCCTGATTAATATGCAGATTGATCAAGAAGAATTCTACCTTATTAAATTGTTACGCCTAAAGTTGCTTAAGCTGATGTAATTGGTTCCAATCTCTATTTTGAAATTTTTGGTATCAAATAAGGTTTTGATGCATTGGATAGTGGTTAAGTATGTTTTCGTTCGCTAGGATCATAACGATTAATGTTTTTATAAAGTCTATTCTTAAGCTATCTTTGAGAAAGGTGATCAAAATTGAAACGTTTATTATTGTCACTATCCATAATAAATTATTAATATATGGACAGAGATTCATAAATATTTAAATATGTTAATATTAATTGAGACTCCTGCTGGTTTTGCTCTCTTTCAAGTTGCTAACACTAAGGCACTTAATAAAATTGAAAATATCTATGATTACTTGCAAAATGAGAAGCAAGCTAAAAAATTGTAAGCACATATATATATTATCAATATAGGATTACACCATTTGCTTTCCAACAATTTAAGGACACATAAGAAGCTCTTATAGCCACTAGTAAGCTTATTAATGGTAAGATTCCAAAGAAACTCACTAAATTTTTGGAAAAGAATGTTATTTCATAAGAAGTTTAAGATTAAATTGCAGGTATCAATAAATTTATATATAAATATAGTTCAGGATAAAAAACTTGCTAAATAGCTTCAAGAGTAGTTAGGATTGAATTGCATTCAAACTCCAGTTACTGAATAATTGTTTAGAGGCATTAAATCATAACTAACCAATTTAATTGAAGGTCTTTCTGAAGCTGAACTTAAAAGCATGACACTAGGTTTAGCTCATGGTCTTTCTAGATATAAATTAAAATTTTCAACTGAAAAAGTCGACACCATGATTATACAAGCTATTGCTCTTCTTGATGATTTAGATAAAGAAATTAATAATTACATGATGAGACTCAGAGAATGGTTTGGATGGCATTTCCCAGAATTAGGCAAAATAATTACTGATAATTTGATATATGCTAAGGTTGTTAAAGCCATAGGTATGAGGATAAAAACAAGTTAAACTGATCTTTCTGGCATCTTACCAGATAATTTAGAAGCAGATGTCAAATAAGCTGCAGAAGTATCTTTCGGAACTGAAATCACAGTAGAAGATGAAAAATTTATTTTATGTTTGGCTGATTAAGTTATTGAGTTAACTGATTACAGAGCTTAATTATCAGAATATTTAAAAAACAGAATGTAAGCTATAGCCCCAAATCTTACAACAATGGTTGGAGAATTAGTAGGAGCAAGATTAATTTCTCATGCTGGATCACTAGTTAATCTAGCTAAATATCCAGCATCTACAGTTTAAATTTTAGGAGCTGAAAAAGCACTTTTTAAAGCTATTAGAACCAAACATAACACACCAAAATATGGATTAATCTTTTAAGCTAGTTTAGTTGGAAGTGCTCCAGCTAAATTAAAAGGTAAAGTTTCCAGAACATTAGCAGCTAAAACAGCCTTATGTATTAGATATGATGCTTTAGGTATAATTTTTTATTAAATTATTTTAGGTGAGGGATAAGATGCTGAATTTGGTATTACTAACAAAACCTTCTTAGAAAAAAGAGTCCATTAACTAGAAGAAGGAGTTAATTATAGAGATGTGAAAGCTCCATAAAGAGGAAAAGCTAGGCCAGTTTCCTCTTAAGCATAATATTAAGAAGAGGCAGACTTTTAACCTTAAGGTGCTACATGGATGTAGAAATTTTAAAAAGGAGAAGATAAAAGATAACCAACATCAGATCTACCATAAAACTCTTAATTCAAGAAGGTGAAATAGTAATGAAAGTACATTATGTATAAAATAAAAAACTCCATGTTAATGTTTCTTTTTTTTTTAAATTCATTATTAATTCAATCAATCTAATAGGTCTTATGTAATTTTATTTTCACTTTAAGTTGCTTTCCTATAAAAGAAATGATTTTTCAAATTTTATATATTATATAAAAATATATTCATTTTTCAGAGAATATCCATCTTTTAGTGGTTTGAGAATTTGATTAAATATAAATTGATATTTCTTAAAAAAATATTTATTTATTAATGGATGATGAAAAGCAAGGATCAATTTATTTTAAGTTTTAAATAATCTAATCAATCTTTTTACTTAAATAAATAATCATAAATAGAGATCAATGTAATTTATTTATATTTTTGAGCTTATTTAAAGCTATTATTTAATTTACACATAATAAATTTGATCCTTTTTTTTGATTTTAATTATGTTAGAATATTAGGTTTTTAATGAGATTGGTAAAAGAATTTAAATACAATTTTTACCTTTTAATGATCAAGTAGACCATTTAAGAAACTTATTACAATTTTCTTTTTTGTTAAAATTTTAAAACAGTAATTTTCATAAATATTAAAAAGGAAGTTTAACTTATTTAAATAAATCCGATCATAAAAATTTTAAGCAAATCAACTCAGGTTTGCTCAAATTTTTGTAGGATTAAAAATTTCTTATAAAAAATTTTAAAATTCAATACTATTTTTATATATTCATATTTACTCCTTAATCACGAATGCGTTTAATTCTACTATCACACATAAGTAATAAAATATAAATAATTTCTAAATAATAATATCTTAAACAAAAAGCTCGAATATAATTCTTGTATTTTTGACTTCTTTGCTTTTCTTATGTCTTTTATCTGAAAGTAAAGAAATAAATCTATTATTGTTGTAAAAAAATTTGAAAAGTATAAAGTAAATTATTCTACACATATCTCTAATAAATTTTTTGTACCTCACAATTTGATATATAATTCATCTTTACATTTCAAATTGTGGTGATTTCCTTAACTAAATTTACAATAGCAAAAATATTTTTTTTAATCTTTTCAGATTCTGATTGCTACTTTAATAAGTTTGAGCAATTGTTTGAGTTCTTTGCTCTTTTTTTGCATTAGTTTAACTTTAAGATGGAGAAAAATCATTATAGTTTCAAGTCCATCTTTATTCATAATTTAAAAAAAATAATCAATGCATACGTTGCTTTATCTGTATATAATCATTGAGAATCTTTTTCAACCACCTCCAACACTCTCGTAATTCAGGTTTTGAATTTGGAAAATGATTTTAGGGATGACACTGTCTTACAAGATCAACTATTGAATTAACGAACTTTGGTATTGAAGGATCTTTGATTAAACTTTCCAAGCGTATGATTTCTTATTTTAAGCTTTAGTTTTCTTTCACCAGCAAGCTATTTTCAATTAATTGATTTTGAAATTAAGCTTCTTTTTCTTTCAATCGCATCTCAAATTCCTTTATTTTTTCTACTAAAATGTCTTTTTATTAATGAGTTGGTTCAGATGATCTGTTCATTAATATTTTTTAATGAGCCCTCATTTCACTTATCATTTATTCTTTGAATTCTAATTATTTTGTGAGTTATTCAATTTATTTTCTAAGCTCTTAAACTTCGTCTGCAACGAATCTTTCTGCAATTGGACTCACTTATTGTTACTTTAAATACTAGGAATAGTAAAGTTGTGTCGAGGAATTCTGAGAAAGCTAATTTGTTTAACGATTCATTAAATTTTATATAGGTATTTTAATAATAATATGAAATTTTGAAATATGAATGAATATTCTCTAAGTTAGACTCTTATAAATCATTAATTTAAAAATCTTTCATTAATAATGAAAAAATAAATATAAATTTATTAATAAGACAATTTAATATTGTCAGATATCATCTAAAATACAGATTAATATTAATACATAAAATATAAATAAAATTTTTATTACAATTTATTTAGCATAAATTATTTAATTATAAAAAGTAGCATTTTTCAAATTCAAATTGGAAATGAATTTTTAATCTCCTCTTGCAAGAAATTTATTCAGTACCCCAGAAAAATAATAAATGGAACCAGAATTGTGTAAGAAAGTAATTATTGATGAACAAATTTAACAATTCAATAATTCTGGCAAAAAATAATTCAAACTCTAGATAATGTAGAGCTATAACAATAAATTATTAGTCCTATCAAAACATAAACACCAGTCAAATAAAAACATCATCATTCACACATAACTCCAAGTACTTCTGAAAATGATTACATCGGAAGTTCTTTAGTACAAAAATTTTAAAATCAAATGACTTTAGATTAAATCTAACAAAGTCCTCCAAGCACTCCAAAAAACAAAGGAACAAAATCACATAAAGAATTAACTGCTTAAAAATAGGGTACTGCTACTCCAAAAAAAAAGAAAGTAATTAAAATATTTTAATTTGAAAAGAGTGCTATAAAAAGTATTTAGACAAGTGCATGGGCAATGGATATCGAAGATTAATCAGAAGAGGAGAGTCCTACTTTAGATAGATCTAGATATTATAATGAATATACATAATTGGCAGTAATAGGAAATGGTAATTTTGGTACTGTTTATAAATGCAGAAATAATATTGATAAATAAATATACGCAATTAAATGTATAAAACTTCAAGGATGCGGCAAATCATATGATGCAGTAGAATCCCTTAATGAAGCTTAAGCATTAGCTTATTTGACTGCTAAAGGAAGATGCAAAAATATTATACGATATTATACAGCTTGGAGTGAAAGATGTTATTATTATTTATAGATGGAATATTGTAATTTTAATGTCACTTCTATTTAAGTAATTAAATATTTGATTGTTTAGGAATCAAGAAGAGAAAAAAATTAAAGAATTGAAGAATTTGAAGTCAAATAAATCTTGAAAGATATTCTGTAAGGTTTAAAATTCCTTCATGAATAATCTATCACACATTTTGATGTCAAACCTGATAATATTTTATACAGTAAAGCTGAAGACTGTTATAAATTGGCTGATTTAGGATTATCAAGATTAACATAATTAAAAAAAGGAGAAGATATTAATGAAGGAGATTCTCGATATTTAGCTCCTGAAATTTTATCAAATGTATAGAATTATTTAATTTAAGTTAACAGCTCAATCTGATTTGAGTAAATCAGATATTTTCTCACTTGGTGCTTCAATTTATGAAATTATGATAGGTGAAACATTACCCTCATGTGGAGATAAATGGTTAAAATTGAGATAAGGTTTGACAATTAATGATTTTGGATCAGGTATTCTCTAATTATAATTATTTAGATTTCTATTCTATTAAATTAAGGAGATTAATTTGTAGAATGATGAATCCTAATTCTATTTTTAGATTAAGTGCAAAATCTTGTTTAGAAGATCCTTACATATATATCCCTAAAGAAAAATTCATTAAATGGGAAAAAATTAGAGGATATTAATTAAGATAATAATTAGATTTTATTAAAATTATGGAAACTAAAAAAAGATAAATGAGTGTTTGATATTTATTAAATATAAAATATAAATTAATTAAATTAAAATAAGCAATTTGAAGCTATTTTCTGTATCTCATTTAATTTAAAAATTTAGCGATTTATAATTCTTACTAAGCAATATTAAATCCTGCAAATATATCTAAGACTGAATTTTTAATATTTAAAAAATTAAAAGTTTAAAAGAATGAGTGAATTCTAAAAGGAGCTCTAAATTGGAATAGAAAATATTGAAAACTATTAATTATTAATTTAATTTTTAATTTTTGATTATATTAAATTTAATAAATATAATAAATTTATATATAAACGTATGATTAAAATTCTGGAAAATTTATCTTTTGCTGTTTAAATTTGGAAAATTAATATAAATTTTATTTCTAATATTTTTTCATTAACACACTTCATTCAATCTTATACTAATTCTTCATGAAATTAATCATTTTTTTATAGAATTAAATCATATAAAATTATTGATTAATTTTATAAGATTTTGAAATCTTACACATAAATTGAGTTATAAATTCATATTTCACTATAAGCAATTCGTGATATTTTCTACAAGATAAATGATGGTTCCTAGCTCAAATTTATTTGTCTTTTTTTAAATCCAATTAAAAAAGAGCATTAAATATAAATTTCCTAAATGTATAGATTATAAAACCAAATTTAATCCTTTTATAATACTAAAAACTTATCTAGAGAAGAACTTTAAGCTTAAATACTTTATTTAAATGAATAAATTATATATAATGATAAAAGTAATAAAAAAATCAATACTAAAAATAATAGTAAAATTTATTATTTAATAATTTCTTGCAAAAAAAACTGTGTATGGAAAATAGATAAAATAATTTGAACTTATTTAATATAAATAAATTCATTTGTCCTTCTAATTTTAAAAACCAAGTGACAAGTTCGATTCAATTTTTTTCAGAAAATTTCTTAAAGGTCCCAGACTGCACTTAGAATGATCTGCTATGACTTATGCTACTATTCCTCCTTTATCAGCAAATACAATGTCTCCACACAGTTTAATAATAGCTCCAGCTATGACATTTTCATGTTCCCCTTATATTAGATTTCTTTGTTTTATTTCGTTAAACATTTAGAAACAATAACTTATAAATCTTTCATTTAGACCAAGAGAACTTGATATTTATCTGATAAATGATTATACTATAGCTTCAAAATTATATGAACTATTAATTTTTTAAAGAATTTTCTTGATTTATTTTTCAGAAACAGAGGTTTTTGATAAAAGTTCTTTTAATGTTATCGGTGTATTAACTTATTTAAGAGCGGCTATGATAATTGCGATTGCAATAGCATTGTATTTTTTTTACTTCAATCCATCAAGTAATTCAGGTCTTAATAACATGATCCCTATTTTTAAAAGTTCTTCACTCAATCCTAGTAAAGCTAGCTGACTTTTTATTTCTTCTACGATAGCAGAATATCTCTTTCTTGCAAAGTAAGATTCATTAGTTTCTTCGATTGAAGTTTCAGACATATTATCCAAGGATAATGCAACATTGGAAGATTATTCAGATTTTGGAGGAGGAAGGAAATCCGGTGTATCAGTTCCTGCACCTATTAATCTGAATTTAGGTACAGGAAGTTTGGGAGGTCTATTTTCTGTTCTTTTAGGTATGTCCATAAGATATTGATATATTTAATATTGATATTTAAAATAGTTGAAATCTCTTGAAAATAGAATTTTAACTTGTATATTTTTTCTATATTTATGTCAATATGGTATTTTCGGATAACTTAAAATTTATATTATTAAGATCAATTTAATTATAGAAGACAATAGCATTTTTTTTTTGCAATTATTATTATTTAAACCTAACCATATATGCAATAGTTCTATCGCATATTTAAATTAGTAACATATTTAATAATGACAATACATATCCGAAGAATACCAAAATAGAATTATAATGATACAAAAATACATTAATAGATTTCATAATTAAATTTTTTTTACATTTACTTGATTTCATATGGCAAACAATTAGTTTATCATTACATTATGGAATTTAATTTATAATAATTCCTTTTTTCTTTTAATTATCTACATAAAATAATTAAAGAAATATATTTTAACTTTAATCTTTATCTCACAAAGTTTTTGCCTTCTTCAAAAGCTTATTTAATTTTGTTTTAAGTGATTTTATATTCATAATTTCATTTTTTTAATTAAAAAGTTAGTGTTATGGCAGAATATGATAAGTGGAGCACTCTTGCATTAAAAATACTTGATAATTTTTTGGGAATTTTAAATAAAAACCTTTAATCATTCAACAGTTAATTATGAATTGATAAATATTCAGCTGATCTATGAGTGATTTTTAAGATGATTTAGAAAGTTTAATATGTATTCTTCCAAAATTATTAAGTTTTTTTAAATATTTTACTAAGTAAAATAATTTATTAAGAAATATTTAAAATATTAATAAAATAAAATAAATAAAGATGAGAAATTGCAATTGCATTAGATACGTACAATTAAATAAAATTTTAAATGATTATCTGATCAATCTAAAAAATATAAATTAGATTAAATTAAGGATATTATGTGTATATATTAAGGTATATATATCATTTGAACATTTAACATTTTTCTGAATCTCTTCTTCTGTAAAATAATAAGTAAGCAGCTTCACTTACAACATTGCTATTAGTTATTCTAGCAATTGAATCATTATAATCTATCCATTTGTTAAGAACACAATTATAAGCATATGCTGTATAATGTCCTCCTCCAATGCCACCATAGTGATTATCTACTCCATAAAGATCATAAATATAATTTTAATTATCTCCTCCTTATTTAGATAACACGAAATTATTTAAATTAAGTTCATGTGGAAATTATACCAATGATGTTATCTTCTATGTTCCATTACTAAAGTAAAGATTACCTAGATTGGAAATTCTATTTGTTTTGAATCTTTTAAGATGTATAATTAATATCTAAAAAGAATAATTTATCAACATACTTAAGGTGCCTTATAGATTTCCATTTTTTTGGATGCCTAAACATGTTTTTTGCATTTATTACAATACCATTCATCTCCTTTACCTAGAGTTTCTTCTTTTGTAAAAGCTTTTAAACAATCTTCCAATTCATATTCTCCTTTTCTAATTTATAATGATTTTGGATCATTCGTTGGAAATTCTTTGCATCTTTATAATTTTAAAATTTGTATATTTTTTACTAGATAATCTGATATAATAACTTCAATAGCCAGATTTTAACTTGAAATATCAATTTTTTAGTTATCCTAAGATTAATTTTAAATATTACATTAAATTATATTTCTTTTTTGGTTGCTTTATCAAATAATTTATCTTTGTATCTAAGAGTGAATGGCTATAATTAATTTTATATTAAGATAGCAAATTCTTATATACTTTCTTCTAAATTTATTGGTCTAGGTAAGTTTAAGAATTCATCCCTAATTTAAAATTCTTTTTAAGTTAATTCTTTTATAGCCAAGGTTAAATGAATTCTAAATTTATTGTAAATTAATCCATATAGTTATTATGAAGTTGAGTTTTTATCAATTACAACTTATCTAGGAAATGATAAGATTTTATCCTCTTCATATATCTTAGTACCTTTTGCTACATAATAGAAATCAACATTAATTTAATTTGGTTAGAGATTTTACATATTTGATATTACTTCTTAAACAAATAAAATTCCATGATGTTCATTAATCCATTTAGCTCCTTTATCATAAGAAACCCTTTCTTAAATTTGATGCTCTTTAATGAGTAACATATTCATTCTTTTATGACTGATATTTAAAAGATTTTCTAATTATTTTAAAATATCTAGTCCGGTCATATCAGTGCTTAATTATAAGCTAATTTTAGCTGAGATGTTTTCACTATCTTCATGTATAAAATATAGTGAAGCTGGAAAAGTTTAAAAATTAGGGATTGGTAATGATAAACTCATGAAGGGATCAAATGTTTTAGATATTCTGCTACAAATAGGACAAACTAAAGTGGATTTATATTATCCAACCATAAGTTCTTAGATTTTGCTTTAATTTCTGAGAGTGTAGTTAATCCAAAATTTTTCAGAAGCTTATTGATCACTTTCATTAGTAATTTCAATATCTGTTACAATTGGCTTATTAAGAATTCTGTTAAGATCTTCATGTAATCCATCTAAGAGATATGATAAGAATTCATGAGAGTCTTATTAACCATATCCATAAAATTAAGGAGCAAATTTACCTATGACTTTTTTTAATTCAATTGCTGAAACACTAGAATAATTTGCAAACCACATAGATTTCATTAATTCTGCATAAGATGATGCTAAAAATCCTTTTGTTCCCAATACATTATTGGGATTCAAATGTTAAGCAAATTAATTATATACCATATATTCAGTGAATTCATAAGTATTGCTAAGACATTACAGAGCAGCATTCATAAAACATGTATTTCCTAAGTTTTATAATCCTGTAATGCCTCTTTTACTATCAGGTAATATTTTTGGTATATTACTAATACCAAACTTAGCATAAAGTTCTGAAACATTTTACTCTTTTTATTTTATATCATTTATTTCAGCAGCCAATTACCAACTTTTTCCTTGTTTTATTTCACATATCAATATATCTTATGTTGTTAAATTTAAATCATCTATTTTCATTTTTAAATCTAATTCTCTCCCTTTGATACTTTTAATAAAGGTTCCTTTCTAAATCATAGACAACCAATTCATTTAACTCTATAAATCTCTAAACTTCCACCATCTTACTTCAATACTATTATTGAATCCTTTAATGACTTTTAATTTCCTAGTCATTTCTTAAACTAATTCAAATCCATTCATTGATAAAGATGCTTCCTATAATTAATTTTCGAGAATTCTTATTTCTACGACTCTAGGAATTAACTTTAAATTTTATTATAATTATTACATCTACAATAACTCTATCTTATTCATCTTATTTCACAATAAGTCTTTTAACAACAAAAGCGCCATAAATTTTTTCAAAAAATTTGAATACTTTTCCGCTTACATGAACAAAATCAACTCCTTCTCTTAAATCATTTCTTAAAACATAGTTCAAATATTATTTTTATTAAGTTACATCAGGTAATAAATTCCATTTTATTTAAAGTAATCTTGAACCATCAATAGGACCTGGATTTATTTCAATTTCTTCGTTAATAGAATCTTCGTTTAGATTAAGTAATTATCTTAATTTAGAGACATTTAAACTCGCTATTGGATCCTCAACGTCTATTGGATCTTCATTTTTAACATATAATCTCCATTTCTAAAACCAAGCTGTAGGTATTAGATAACTGAATAATCCATCCTAATAAAAATAATCTAATTCCTTTTCTTCTTACTCTAACAGCTAAAATTGTTCCCATTAATCTTCTTTTTATAAATCTTATTTTTTCTAATTGAACATTTTATCAAATCCTTATAATATGCCTTTAATATATTAATTATCAATGCTCCTTAAATTTTCTAATTCTTATTATGCAGCATTAAATTATCCTAAATCAATGTATAGTCTTGCCAAATTCAGAATTAAATCACAATATCTTTCTGAATTCTCAAATTTTGCCAGTCTTAATATTGCTATTTACAAATCTTGTCTCTTTGTGCTTAGACTTAAAATTCGATTTAACATCTCTAAAGTCTCAAGTTTAGGACTTGTGAATTCATTCTCTAACAAAATAGTCAATTCATTTATTGCCTCCTAAAATTTTTGGTTATCCACTAATTCTTATATTTTTTCCATTAATTAAGAATAATTTATATGAAATCTCTAAAAATTAACAATCAATTTATCATATCTCGTAAACTAGCTTCTGGTAGTTTTGGATTTGTGATGTTAGCCTTTGATTAAAAGACTGGATAACAAGTTGCTATTAAATTTGAAAAACCTGAAAATGAACATCATCACTCTTTATAAAAAGAAATTGATATTATTAGACGATTAGAAGGTGTACAAGGGGTACCATAACTTATTTATGCTGGTTAAGAAGATAATTTAAATATCCTTGTTTTATAACTATTATCTAAAGATTTATCAACTTTGATAAAAAAATAAAAGCAATTTACTCTAAAAACTACATTACAAATAGCAATATAATTAGTTGAACTATTTTACTAAATTCATCAAAAAGGTGTATTACATAGAGATATTAAACCTGAAAATATTATGATTGATGAAAATAATAGATTCTATCTTATTGATTTTGGAATTAGTAAAATTTTTCTTAAAAAAAATGGATCTATTTTGTACAATATTCATATAATTAGACCATTTAAAGATAGATAACCATTTATTGGTACTTCTCGATATGCATCTATTGCAGCACATAAAGGCAATGAATTAGGTAGAAAAGATGACCTTGAATCCATGTTTTATGTCTTGTTATACTTTATATATGGGTATAAATAATGTTCAATATCAGTAAATTACCTTGGTAAAACATTAAGCATATTCCAAATGATTAAAAAATTGAATAAGTAGGAGATATGAAACTATTAAAAACAAATGAATTATTAAATGATCTTCCAATTGAATTTAAAAAGATTTATGAGTAATAAAATTATTTAAATTATGGAGATATTTAAGAAAACTAAATTATGCAAATCAACCAGACTACACAGCAATAATTAAGCTTTTTTAGTAAGCAGCTAAAAATTCGAAAATAACAATAGACACTATGTTTGATTGGGATTTATAAAACACAACATAGACAGCAAATTTTTCTCGTTTCGGAACTATATAATTTGAAGATAATTTTTAATTGGATAAACTCTCTTCCAATTAAATAATGTAAGATTCATTATCAAATTAATTTAGCCATTTAAAGACTTAATCTGCTAGTCCTGTAAAACGCAGAACTGTTGGCTCATCATTGATGAATTAACATCAGCCTTTTCTTAAGATTATTTAAGATTAAAAAAGTAAAGAAGGGTTCAGTTAAGTTTCAATAAATGAGATGAGTGAAGATTCAGAATATATTATTCCAAACGAATGTGAAAATCATTCTAATATTCGTGTGAGAACTATGCCGGATGAAATAAAAAAACCTTAAATAAAACCTCTATAATAAAACCAAACATTATGTTTAGATGATGAATGGTTAATAGAATCTGATAAAAATTTAGTAGATAATTATAAAAACTTAGAATCTATAAGTTATTAAATTACTACTATTTTTCAGAATAAATTAAAATGAACTTAAATAATATTTGTATCTTAAATACATTCTAATGACATCATATTAATACATTTATTAATGGTTAATACTATATTAATTATATTTATTGAAGTAAAAACAAGAATTAACTTAGTTGTTGTTTAATATTAAATAAATTAAGAAATATGATTTAATTCCATTTTTAAGTTTTATTTAATAAAAACAAATGATAAAACACAATTAAAATATAAAATTATAATTATATAAACTATGCAAAGACTTTCATCTTTATTTTTTGGATTTGGATTAGGAATAATAGGAATGAGTTTACTCTTAGATCCTTGGAGCCAAGTATTTAAATTTATAATTTGAAGGAAAGATTTGAAAGAATGGTAAGAGAAACAGCAAGATTAGAAAATCAATTATTGAATAATGTTGATGAGTATCTCTAAATTCAGAATGTCCTTGGATATGTTTTTATAGCTAGTTCATTTATAACAATAAATAGGTATTTTTCTTTAAAATTTAGAATTGCAATTCTTTATTTTCTATAAATTCCTGCTTTATTTTTCTACGCTGCAATTAATTATAACCATATTCTTTATAATTCAGAAAGATTTGGAGGTGACTAAATAATTTTAGGGGCTCTTTTATTAATTGCTATAACTGGGGCAATATGTGATGGTTTGATTAAACCTAAAATTTTACCATAAAATTTTGTGAGTTAGAACACTTAAGAAAAATCGAAAAAAGATTGATACAAAATCGTTGTTAAAAAGTTTCATATTTAAATACTTTTATTTGATCATTATCTTCTACTTTTCTTGCGTTCTCGTAATTTAATAATAGATCCAAGATTATTATGCTTTAAATAATTGTCGAAGTTTTTAAATTATTCAAAGCCTTCAAATAGATCAATAAATTATCCTCTAATTTTACCAGGTTCATCTTCTTATTCATTTTATTCTTACACTAACATCTTAATTGGTGAATTTAACATAGCTCCTTCTATGATTACATCTATTAAATTTTTATATTTTGATAATTAAGTTTTTGATCCTCTTTTATTAGAATCTTGATAAGCTTATTCAGATGAACTAGATAATTATTTTGGAAATAATTAATTTGATTAATCAGATCCTTTCATTAAAAAATTGAAATTTTAAGTTTTATCCTCTTATTTTAAGCATGATTTGCTCTCTTAATAAGAATAGAAAGATTCTTTCTTTTTTAAATACTTCACTATATCTTTAATTTTTGATTACTAAATATACTTTAATAAATATTACGAGTTCATCATCCTATAGTGCATCATTACAACCTTAAAAGGAAAGTGGTCTTTTTGATTCTATTTATTATGATACAGTTAAATGATATCCTATTTTTAAAGACTCAAAACTCTCAATATCAGATTCAGTTTAATTCTTTCTTACTTATCATAAAATAATATTTTACTAGGAGAATCTTATTATAAATCATCTATTAATTTATTTTTGCATATAAATAATAATATGCTATTTTTTATATCATGGGATTCCATAAGTGTATCAATTCTTCTATTAAAAGTTCTCTAAAAATGCTTTCTATCAGAAGGAACATTCCTTCTATAATTTAATAAGACTTTTGCTCTATTTGGATACCCACAAACCATAGGGCATTCTTTAATTACATGAGTAGTTTTATTGCATGCTCTACAGGTGACATCTACTATATCTTATTTATTTAAGAAAGTAACTTAATCTTTCATTTCACAAAACGTAAACTTAATCTAAATAATTAAACTTTTACATAATCTTTTGAATTTTATAATAATAACTCTACAAATTGATTTCTGTGTATTTTCAATACATATGTGAATTAAGTTGACTTACATGAAACTTAATAGTTTTATTTCTAGAAAAACTCCAAAACTCCAAATGGTAAAGACTCTCCACAAATTGATTCTAAGTATTTTTAGGATTCTTATTTATTTTTCAGAGTTATATAAAATTGTAATTCTCCCTTCTATAATATATAAAGATAGTCACTTTAATCATTTTACTAGAACAATATATATTTATAAATTACCTTGTATATAATTTATTCAGGAGCGTATTTTTCTTCAATTAAATTTTTTGATAATTAAATCAAAAATTATTCACTAAAATTTTCAGTCAAAAAATTTATTCTTTTTACTACTTTCATATTGATATCTATTTTCATTTCTTCTAATAATTAAGTAGGGATTTATTCAGCAAATTTAAAAGCTTCTCTATCATTTTCCTCTTCTGCATCTGACCATACATACTCAAAATATTTTCTTATTTTTTCTGCTAAATGTTTATCTAATCCTTTCAATCTCATATACTTTTTTAAAGCATTCATATTTTATCTAAACTCATAACTTTTTCTACTCCATTCAGCATAAATACTATTTATATTACCAATAGAATATCCAAAAATACCTACTGCTGCTACTGTCATACAAATCGTAAAAATCCTCTCTCTTAAATTTAATGGAGTTATATCTCCATATCCTATTGTTGTCATTGTTACTATACTAAAATAAAAAGAAGTTAAATATTAGGTATGCCAAGGCTCATTTTAAATATTATTTGCTATAACCCATGATATTTAATCATTTCCAGTAGAACCAACTAAAAACCAAAGACAAGCACAAAAATGAGCAACTGCCAAAATTGTATATCCTAATTTTACTAAATCAAAAATAGCTATTTAATTTGTTGATAGTTCTAATCTATCAAATAAGTTTCCACTAAATTTTTTTATCTGAAATACTTTCAGAATCAAAACTAAGTCCAAGTAATCAACCTCAAACCTTAAACTCAAAAAAAATGGAATTATAACAAAAACATCAAAAAAAAATGCTATATATAATCTAATTAATAAATTACATGTTCTAAAATAGTTTTTAGCAATCTAATATCTATTTTCTATTACTGTTCCTTTATAATAATAGCAAGTATTAAATTTAAATAGTATTTCCAAAATAAAAGAATAAGAAGGCAAAACATCGAATAAAATCTATCTAAATTGTTAAAAGCTATCATCAAATGAATTGCTTGTATCAAATTTAAAAGAAACTCTTGCACTTACATATAATACATTCATATTTAAAATTGTTAATATGTATATATTCCAAGCAATTGAAGTAAGCGATTCAGGTCTTAAAATTAATTTATTTTTGCTTAAGAAATTATAAACCTTCATTTTTCTTAAAGGTACAAATACCTACTGATTTAATTAATATTTCATTTTCTCATAAGGACTTGGTTTCTCAAATAAAATTAATAAATACCTCATATTTGAAATAATCATTAAATAAATAATATCTGAAGTAAGCCGCTTTATCCCCAACAATTTCAAAAACATTTCTATTTATCAATCTAAAACTTGTGGCAAAGTTTGATTTTGTTATAAAACTAATAAACCTTAAGATTATCATCAAAATTTCTAAGGGATATTTTTTCCAAGCTTTATTGCTAAATCCTTCAATATCATCATCTATTTGAGAATCCATCAAAAAAGGACTTTCATCAAAGTTTTTTTTATTCTTTGGTGGTTTTCCTGCATAATAGGGGCCATAATGAGATAATTTAATTTCAGAATTTTTTCCATAATTACCTATAAATTATCTAAATTATTTTAATTTAAATACTATTTTCCTGCTATTAAATCCGAGGCTCTAAATTCTTTCTTAGTTTCCTTCTTGTTTTTTTAATTTTATTTAATTTTTTTTATCAATTAGTAATTTGATTTCTATCTGCTATCAAGTAATTGTCTGCCTGATTAACCATGCAATGTTTGATTGCCTATAATATGGGTTGAAATATAATTTATACTATTTTCTTATTCAGTTCCTAAATTTTCTAATTGATTTGGTTTCATGTTTGAATAAATTGTATTTATAAATAATATCAGTAGTTGATGGTTTAAAGATTTTATATAAAAGTTGAGTGTTAAGAATTAAATTTATTTTGAAAATTGTGAAGACTTTGTGAAGCAGAAAATGAATAATTTAATAAAGGATAATAAATATTGTATCTGAGATGTTATTTTTTTGATTTTGGATTCGAAGTTTTAAAATTCTTTGAATTATTAAATGATCTTAAGATTAAAGATTTTTATTTCAATAAAGCCCTCTTTTTATTAATTAAAAAGCAATCAATATAAAATGTTTTTCCTTAATTAATACTATAAAAATGCTTTCCTGACATATCTTTTTTAATTTTGTTAAGTCGATTTTTTAAAACATATTTTAATGTAAGAAAATCTTTAAAAAATTTATTGCAAGATTTGATAGTTAGCTATAAATTTTTTTTAATCACTTTTAATACAAAAAAAAATTGGCAAATACTGAGAATAAAAAGGAAATATTGAATTAAAATTTAAGAAATTTGAAAAATTGGATGAAAATTTATCAATTACATACTTGAAAGATATCGACATTGAAAATATTAATAAACTGTATAAAATAATTTGCATTCACCATTTATTATCAAAGGTTTTTCTATAATTAAATGATTAAGATGACTAAGTAAATAATTAACTCAATTGCCCATAATTTACAATTATATAAATAGTATTTAAATAATAATAAAATTGATCTTAATATTCAGTTTACTTTTAATTCTAAGTAAATAAATTGTGTGGAATTAGCTATGCAATGAATTTAAATATCTAAATTAACATAAAGTATTGGTTGATTTTTAATTAATTATCACTAAACAGTTCGAGTGATGCAATTAAAATTTATAAATAATGAAGATGCAAATTAATAAAAGGTGCCAATCTCAATTAAATTTATAAACGATTTAGTTTCCTTACTTTATGTTTGTTATTAAACGATTTATTTTCTTGAAATATTTTATTAGTATAATGTGTTTTATTATAGATTAAAGAAGTATTTTTATAAAATAAATTTTAACTTTATTTGATCAGGATATGAATGATTATTATTGTTTAGTCTAATTATGCAATTGAATTAATTAGAAAACTTTCATTAATAAATTTAAGGTTTTAGAATTATTTCACAAGATGATGAAAAAAGTTTATACAGTTCCAACACCAAGGGAGTAAAAGCCCGTAATTTAATAAAAAAGTTAATAAAACATATAAATGTAAAGTTTAAATAAACATATGTAGAAAGTAAAGTTAATTTGGGTACATACCAGATAAACCTAAAAAGAAAGAATAGTCATAAAAGCCTTGTCGACCATATTTAATGTTTAAACCTTAGTTAGTGGAAGAGGTAGATGAGAACAACATGAAAATGATGAAATTATCTTTCCATAATTCAATAACTGACCTATAAACTTTTGAAGAGTTAATGTAAGAATAAAAACCAAGAGAATCGACTCCAAATTTAAACTAAACTCCTTAAGAAAAGACTTAAACATTTGCTAGGTATGTCTTATTTAAAACGATAGTAGGAAGTCTATGAAGCATTTAACTCATCTATGATGATAATAAAAATAGTGAAATTTTATATATATGACTTATTTAAGTCTTTTAATATTGATTTTTACATATCTACATTTTTTTTATTTAAAAAAATTTCCCTATATGAAACACAATTAACAACTTCCAAATGCTCACATGAGAAAACATTGGACAAGATTTGTAAAGACATTTTATAATCAACCAGCAGCCAAAAGAAGAAGATAATTAAGAAGAAGAGCATAAGCTTTATGTATGATTAATTTTGATAATAATAGCTGCATCACCAAGACCAGTAGAGCTTCTTCGTCCAGTTGTGAGAGGTTAAACTATAAAGTATAATAATGTCTAAAAACTTGGAAGAGGATTTTCTTTAATTGAATTGAAAGAAGCAGGACTCAATGCAGCTTTTGCCAGAACAATTGGAATTGCTGTTGATCATAGAAGAAGAAATTAAAGCTAAGAAGAATTAAATAACAATGTTAAGAGATTAAAGGCATACCTTTCTAAATTAGTCGTTTATCCAAGAGTTGCAGGTAAGCCAAAGAATGGAGTTGTTAAGGATTCTACAAATGAAGTTGTTGCTTAACCAGTTGCATAAAATACTAACCCAGAGGTAAAAATCTAATATTATTCAAGGTTATTACATTCTAAAGAACACCAAAAAGAGAAAAGGCTACTGTTATTTCTAAAGAATTAAGAGCAAAGAATGTTTACAGAAGATTAAGATAAGAGTGGTATAATGCTAAATTCGTTGGTGTTAAAGAAAAGAGAAAGAATGCTAAAGAAACCAAAAAATGAAGCATATAATAGTATAATACAATATATTTACAATTAATTTATTAACTTATAAAAAAGCTAAGGATTATGTCAATGAAAAAATAATTTACTGGTGGTAAAACAACCAGATCAAATAGTAAATAATCTGTGAGTAATCCAATTTCGGTGAGAAAACGATTTTCTTCATTGTGTTCACCGTAATTGATATGATTTTATATGTTGAATAGGTCCGACAACTAGAAGTAAACTGCTTGCGTGTTTTGTCAAAAGTTCAAAAACTGTAAAGAAGAATCGTATGCTCCACTTTTAAATAAAGCATTATTTGCAAAATATTCATCCTCCTAAAACTATTATTATTCAAAGGATATCAATGATATTATAGAAGAAGAGTCAACTCCTGCAGTAGTATTTTATAGAGATTTAGAAAGTATGATAGAAGAAGAGGAATATTTGAAAAGGTAAGAATGATACTATATTTTGTAGATCATATGTAAAAAAAGAAGCAATATAAAAAGTGAAAGCCTTATAAGAATATTATAAGTATCACAAGGATATCCCGCGATTATTTATGCAAAATGTTTACTTAACCATAAATAAGTTCCATGAAAAAAAGAGAAGATTGGAATATGCAAATATAAAAAGGAAGTTGAATATTCCAGATGAGGATGTAGTAAGTCAATCACTAAATCTAGTAACCATCCAAAAAGAAGGAGAAGAAAAAACAAAAACATAGTGATGAAGATCTGACAATTGGATAATTGAAATATTTGTTGAAAGATTTAAAATTGGACACTAATTCATATCTTCAAAAAAAAGTAGATGTTTCTAATAGTGTTTAACTAAGAGAATTTATTTAGTAAGTTGGATAGAAGTATGATTGTCTCGGATAAATATCAGGTTTATTAACAATTGATTAGAGCAATAGTTTTCTCTTAAGATCATAAGACCTTTCAACTATTACTAAAAATTTAAAATCTAATTATATGACTAATATTAATCCTAAAATTAATAAAAGTTCTTAATTATAGAATATTGATTCAAAAACAACTCATCAAATTAGTTATTAAGGAAGTTTTGATAAAATTAACATAAATCGATTACAATTTAACTAAGGTGAAATATCTTCTTTAAAGGCAGAAAATTCTGTGAAGGTTGGAGAGTAAACAAAAAGATCAAATTAAGAGAAATCTCCATAGAGATGTTCTTAATAATCATAATTGATGTAAAAAGTATACTCGCAAATTGAAGGATTTGCCAACTTTGTACAATAATAGTAAACTATGCAGATGCAATAATAAAAAGTTAACAATGCTTAAAAATCTAATTCTTAACGTAAAGTTAGTGCAAACTTTAATACAACAGAATGTTAATTAAGATTACCAAGTAGATAAAATACAACATAAAAGTAATCAGCTGATTTGTTATCTTATTAAGTTAATTTCTTGTAATTATTATTGATAATCCATTAATAGAAGAACCAGAGTAGCCTCATAACTATAAAAATATGAAGATGATAATAAAAGTATTTTTAATATCTATATAAAAATAGGTAAATAAGCTTTGGCAACTGATAGAGTCTAAAGATAGAGTGTATACAACACAGGTGATTATAATGTATAGAAAACAGGATCTAAAAATGCGTAATTTATGTTTATTTATAAATCTAGATAAAAGTTACCTCAAAAGTTCACTTAGTATGCTCTGTCTACATTGAGAGGATTATAGGTGAAGAATTCTGATTAGAAGAAGAAATCTACTTTGATATAAAACAATATTTTATCGGCTCCCATTCTAAATGCATAGTTAATGCATTACAGAACTAAATCTCAAGATAATTTAGGAATCCATAAAGGGTCACCTCCAAAATAAAGTTAAAAGCATGAAAATTAAAAGGATCCATTTAGAATAACGAATAATATTTGTGTTTAAGGTTCAACTAAAAAGGGAGGTGGTGTATACAATATCAACTAAAACAATATAGTTAATATTTATATAGAGGATCTGAAATCATCAGCTAAATTGAAATAAGGAGGTTCACAAACTGCTCGAATGAATAGTCCGTTAAAAGGTAATCCTAAAGGAGTGTTCGAAGCTTACAATACCCAGAGGACAAATTTAAGTCCTATGAGTAAGAAAATGCCTTGATATAATTATCTATGTTATTGCTAATTTGTATGAATATTATATCATAATTATTTAAATGTGCTAAATTTATGAGGATTAAATGCTGTAGAGCATTTAGCCATAGTAACTGATTATCTTGAAATAGCATCAGTCATATAGAAATTCTACTTATAATATTAAAATTTACATCGATAAGATCTCTAAAAGGAGTAGCTGAAATAGTTTATTTTGATGATTCAGGTTTTAAAGCAATCTATCCTAACACAGATGGCTCAATATAATCATATTTCAATAGATGGGGAGCAAGTTCAGCAATTCTGTATCTAACCTATAAAAAAATAAAATGAATATACTTCTTCTAAAGTATCATATGGTAAAGCACATCCACATTCTTCAGATAAGGCTCTTAAAATTTCCCAATCTGATTTTGCTCCTGAAGGTGGTAAAGCTACTAATTTAGTTGTTTAAACTCTTCCTTCAGTTGAAACCTTTTTAATACATAAAAATATTACATATGTACCATTCTTTTCTGTATAGGTAGCACCTGGTAATATGAGATCTGCATAATAAGCTCCTTCATCCCCATGACTACCAATATAAATTACATATGCATCTTTTGGAATATCTTATGCATTTAAATTATTATCAACTCCCAATAAAATAACTACTTTTGGTGTTACACTACTTCTTCTAGCTGTAATACCTAATTCAAGAGCATTAATTCTTCCTACCTCTTTATGTAAAAGATTAAATCCATTCCATCCTTATTAAGGATTAATTACAGCTGAATTTTAAGCTATCTTTTTTAATGCATTATGGATAGCATTTCCATCAGTTCTTTCTAAAACACCTGCTCCTGTTAAAATCATTGGCAATTTTGCAGATTTTAATCTTCCAGCAAATGGATGAGATCCATTAGCAATTTCATCAAGAATAGAAGCATTATTTCCTAAATGAACATAATTATATGTTAAATCATTTGCTGGACCTATTAAAAATACTTTTAAGTTGTTTTTTCTCGTAGCTCTTAAAATTCTTGAATTCAATAATGGTGATTCAACTTTAGGGTTAGTACCTACTAATAAAAGTACATCAGCTTCTTCTACTCCTGTAATTCTAGAGTTTAATAAATAATTAGCTCTAAAATCTGCATCTAATTAAGGTACTCCTGTTCCTCTTATTTCAAAATTATCACTATCAAATCTATTCAATAAATCCTTTAAAGCAACTATAGATTCACAATCTGCAAATTCTCCAATCACTCCTACAATTTCTTCTCCTTTTACAGATTACAATTTTTTAGCTGCTTACTAAATTGCCTCTGGCCAATATAAATCTGTAAAATTTCCTTAAGCATCTCTTGCTAATGGTAATGTTAATCTTTATTTTTTTAATCCGTCAAATGCTTATCTTGATTTATCATTTAACCATTCTTCATTTACTTCTTCATGAATTCTAGGTAAAACTCTCATTATTTCAGCTCCTCTTGTGTCAATTTGAATTAATGGAATTATTGTATCAAAGACATCTACAGAATCATATGATTTTAATTCCCATGGTCTCGATGTGAATGCATAGGGCCCGTTGGTTAAAGCACCAACTGGGCAAATATCAGCAAGATTTCCCTATAACTCACTTGTGATCATTTTGTCGATGTATGTACCAATCTCAGTATTTCTTCCTCTTCCACTAGTTCCTAATTCAGTTACACCAGCATATTCATCTGAAAATCTAATACATCTTGTGCAATGAATGCATCTATTCATACTTGTAGCCACTAAAGGACCAAAATTTTTATCCTCAACAGCTCTCTTATATTCATTATGTCTACTGTCTCCATAACTAGACATAGAATATTTAGAGTATACCCATATTACTCAGAAATATCTTATAAATCACATTCGCCACCTTAATCACAGATTGGACAATCTAATGGGTGATTTGCTAATAAGAATTCCATTACACCTCCTCTTGCTATTCTTGTCTTTTCACTTTTTGTAAGAATTCTCATTCCAGGTGCTACTTATGCTGCACATGCTGCTACCTTTTAGAATATTCATTTAATTATACAGGTTTTGGTGATTTTTCTACTTCTACTAAACACATTCTACAATTGCCTGCTACTGCTAATCTTTCATGATAACAGAATCTTGGAATAATCACACCTGCTGAATAACACGCTTAAAATATTGTTGCTGATGGATCAACCTATAAATGATCAATCTTATATTTCTACTTTATGTGGAACATCATCAATGAAAATTTCTATGAGATTCTATTATGTTGAGAAAGCTTAGAATTATTTTTTCAATAATTATTATCCTTTCTTCAATGAGAATCTAATCATTATTTTTATATATCAGATATATTAAAAACTATACTATTATTTTTTATTATTATTTAAACACAAACAATGAATTAATATAATTAGAACCCTTAGGAGATATAGTTTAATTAATTTAGCGAAGAACCTAGCGATCAACTTGAAAATGAAAAAGTTCATATTGAACATCAGCAAGATCCTAATCGTAATCGTACAAATTCTTAGGAAGAACAGTAAAATCAGAATCAAATAAGTTTACCTTCCAATTTAAATGAACATCAAATTCATGTTCAAAATTTTTATTAATCTGAAAACAGTATTAATCCAGATTATAATCAAAATCAGATTAATCTAATGAATGATCATCAATATAATGATATCCATAAAAATTTTGGCTCAGACGATATTAATAATGCTCATGATAATGCAAGATTTTGTGAAACTTAAGATAAAATGAATAATGTTAGTGAGAATTCAGAATGTGATGAACCTTAACCTTAACCTCAATCTCAACATCAACAAAATAATTCTGGTGAAGGCCATGATTACAAAGGAGGAAATGAAAAAGATAAGAAGGCTAATAGAGGAGAAACAAAATTTAAACAAGCTTTAAGTAAATTAGGAATGAAACCAGTTTATGGAATAAACCGAGTTACAATTAAAAGAGGAAAATAATATCTACTTTATATTGATAACCCAGAAATATTAAAATCAGTGAAAGTTAATAATTCCTATATTGTATTTGGAGAAGCTAAAGTTCATGATCCAACAAATTAAATTGGCAAATAAGAATCTAAAAATTTAGCTTAATAAGTGTAAAATTCTACTATTTCATCTTGGCTTAAAAATAATGAAAATAAAAAATAAAAATTAATTTAAAAACCAGAATAAATAAGTGACGAAGGTATTCCACCTGAATCTATTAAAATGGTCATGGAGCATTGCAAATGTGATAAAAGAAAAGCTATTGAAGCTCTTCAAAAATCTGATTATGACATAGTTCAAACTATTCTTACCTTAACTGGATGATAATTAGTTAATGAATGAGTAGAAATATTTCTTTATTTAAATATATTTTATTTCATATATTAATTTATCTAAAATATTTATACTAAGAATATTTCTTATACAATGAATTAAATAAATTCTATCTAGTGGCTTTTTAAGAGCATCTTTACAATAAATGTAATTTATTCTCATTGAAATTGCTAATAATTTCTAATTCCTCATGCTATATAGGATTATATTTCTTTTATTTTTGAATCAACAAAACGAAGCAGCTGCCAATTGACGAGTATTTTAAGTCTAAGGTTGCAAGAGTCAGTTAATTTCAATTAATAGTTGCCAATTAAAAAAATGTTTAAAATATAGAGGGCAGATATTTTCGTATTGTTTATCTGGGCTTTATTTATTTTTTCATTTATAAATCTTAATTAAATTTAGCTATCTTGGATTCTCTCCTTAAATTTTATAATATTTCTGTTTTTTTCTTACCTATTTTTTTTTGACTTAATAAAAATATGTGCAAATGTAGACTTAACTCTAGAAATTGATTTAATTGCAGTATGGATAGACTTATAATAACTCTTTTAGGAATATTATGTTTTTGAAGAACTAAAAAATAATTGTTCAATAAATTACATATGAACCTAAATAAAACAATATTTACTTAAAAAATAAATTACAGTAAGAATAGTAAGATTAAAATTAAGCTGTTTTAATATAAGTGATTCAGTATATAAAATTTATAAAATATTTTTAGAAATTGGAGCTGTCAACCTATATCTACCAAGAAAACTTATAATTAAAAACAAAGTTTCTTATTTCAATCGAAATTTTGCAGATACATCTATTAGTCATTTTATCAAAATAATTTTCCTTTTCTGATTTATTTAAGGCTAATGGTTATAGTATTGTATAGATTTTGAATATTCTTAGAAATTCTAGGCATAGAAAATA